AGTTCCGGGTGAGCTGAACCACTTCCTGAAGCGGTCACAAGTTACGGCGGGGTTAGCGAGGCTTCGGACGCCATCTAGTTTGGCCTCGATTCACGCTTCGCGGAAACGCGAACTCCACTACTCGACGCACGGCTCGAGGCCTTGGCTCATCTCATACGCTATGCTTGATAGAAAACAGTGTATGTTTTTGTAAATGTTTAATTTGAAAGCCATAATTTCAGCAAAAATAAATGGTTGCTTCCTTTAAAAAAAGATACATGATGGTTCAGCTGGGCAGCCCCCCCCCCCCTTAACCCCCCTGTGGATTCTTCCCTGAGTGTCTGACCTTGCTCTGTGTAAAAATTTGAAATATTTATTCGATAAACTAACCCCACTTTAAATGACAAAGGTTGAACTGGATTTCATTTAGGTGTAGCAGAATAAAGGGTTACAAACGCTCACCACTCTTTGCACATCGTTTATTTGTAGAATCTTGTCAGAATGTGTGGCTCTAGAAGTTGACCCAGTTTAAGGCAGGCAGGCAGAAGCGTCTCAGTGAGTCACAGTTTGTTAATGCATTATAAAATAAAACTCACAGTATGGATCTGAACAAGCATGGCGTGAAAAAACATTTTAAATCGGAGAGGATTGGAGGAAATGGATCAGGATGAAAAGCAGAGGAGAACAGGTGGCTGGCGTGAATTCAATAAGCAGAACAAAAGGTCGATCCAATAAACGAATGTATGATGGCAGAGATGGAGGGAGAGAAGAAAGGAATATTGGATTAAAATAGATCTTAAAACATCATAAAGGCTTATAGAAGAAAAATGAACCCAGAATAAACAAGAAAGTAAAACATAAAGAGAATCATTAGAATAAAGACAAAGATAGAGAAGTAAATTACTATGCCACAGTGTATATAAAAAATACAGAATAGTGGAAAAGCTAAACAAGAGCAACACTAAAAAACATGAATTAAAATAAAAACCTAAAATCTCTCTAAAAAGCATTAATCCTTTTACACCTACCTCACATTATGAACTGCATTGTATCGATCAAGAGCAAATAAATAAGTAAACCAGACCAATGTTTTCCAATAGAAAACACACAGAAACTTTCAAAATCTACAAAGAATAGCTCTAGATATCATATATCTTTTGTGTGCAAAGCAGTAGAGTTGCAATAGTCCCTGTACTGTGAAATAAATAAACAGGTGTTCAGAAGGCAAAGCAAGACCTGCAGGGAATATAAAGGCACCTGATGTTTTTATAAAGAGATCCCTCCTCTGAAGAATGAGTCTGTTTATTCATTCAGAGACGTTAAAATCTATATATTTATAGAGTGCAGAATGTTAAATGCTGAGCAAAGATGGAAACTAAGGTTAACGGCCGGCAAATTTTACTTGACATCCAGGAATCGTATTTTTGCATGGAGGAAAGGCTAAGAGACATTGTGGATGTATTTATGTATAAATAACCGAATGTGTGTAGTTTCTATGCATGATGAAGGGACCAGTAAAACCAGTGTGATCGGTGCAAATAGGCTGAGTCATGATGATAATGGGAAGACTTTCAGCAGATGCCTCAGAATGTGACCTGCAAATATTAGTGCAGTAGTTCTAGTTAAACATTACCTTCGGCAAACTATACTATCCAAGCTTTGACATAAAAAAAGATGGTTTAATTGTGGTTCAGTTTCACTTAAATAAATCAATAAATAAACATTTCTCAAGATTTCTCCAGTCTCAAGTAGACAAACACACAAGATGACCCCCAGAAGCCCAGAACTCAAAGCTACACATGGCTACCACCCAACCTATTCTCATTATGAGTGCGTGTGAAATCGTACGAAAAGTTATGCACCGTAATTTCGTACGTTTTGGACGTTTTTTTCGTCGTATGCGCATGCGCATCTGACGATTCATTTCACGAATATAGAATATAAATTACAATTAGCCCTAACCCTGACCCTAACCCTAAGATATAAAACAGCAAGCAACGTAGTTAGAGACATGAATAAGTGATGATTGCACTGTTTTTCCCATTTTTATTTCCGTCCGCGGATCTGCTTTTTTTTCTGTCTGCCAGCGCATGCGCACTGATGTGGTTTTTTGAGGAAAAATGTCCAAAAACGTATGAAATAGTGTGCATAACTTTTCGTACGATTTCATACGCACTCATAATGAGAATATGTTGCACCACCAATGGCGCCATGGCCACCCCACTGGCCAGAAGCATCAATTTAGCATTTCATCCCATTCTGCACAGCGACGTAACATTAAAAATCACACAATAAATCAAGATATGAGAAGGTGTTTTTGTGTTGGGTTCATAAATGTAGGTTTGCAAAAGAAGAACTGAAATACAAAAATATGGATACAATTTCTGCAGAAAGGAGAGACAGTTGAACCCCACTGGACCTCCTCCGCAGAGCGTTTTATTAACAGAACATGACACATGGTTACAAACAGAGTATTGTTCTGACAGAACTGATCAGTTTATAAAGACAGGATGCTCCACTAGAATGACAAGGCAGGATGGTCTCCTGACTGAATCATGAGACAGGAGTGGAGCATCTCATTTCTACAATGTTTTATATGAACACACATTACTTTAATAATCATCTTTGAATAAACCTAACAGTTTCCTTAATTCTTTATGTTTTCTACAGCCAGGTTTAGCACAATAGTAGATTCAAACCCTGAAATTATGGCTTTTAGTTTCAGTGGCCACCCCAAGATTTTTAGTGGCCCCATCTGGCCCCCGCCTATGAAACATTAGGTTAGTGCTGTTTGATTAAATGGATAATTCAAACCTTTTTCAGCTTCTATTTCAGATTCTCTCACCTTCAGGGTTGGTACAGTTTTGCTGGAGAACTGGTTAAAAGCAAATAAAAAAAGCCAATATTTGGATGAGTGATTGATTAAATCTAAATAGCATATAACTGCTGATTTATTTTATACTGCATTTAAAACAGTGAGACGAAGTATTTTAGAACCTTTATTTGTATGCTTTGCTCTTCAAATTCCCAAAAAGTATCACTTTTATCAAGAGTTGGTGGACCTGTTGTACTGTTTTTTAAGGGCAAACTGTTTTTTAACAGTAGAATGGTGACTTGGAGAAATATTGGGGTTGGTCTGACGTAGAACAAACTTGCCATCTGCAGGCTTACACCCCCTGCAGACCTTTAATTTGGGCCTCAAAAGAGATTAAAGACTGAAAGCAAATGTTGATGAATCACCCAGCTGTACACATACAGTATAAACGTGTATCTCAATAAAAGAGAATATAACTGAACAGTACATTTGTTTCAATCTAAACCAAAAATTGAAACATGCAATCTAGATTTACAATGCAAAGTTACATATTTTAAGTTTTTATTTAGACTTTGGTTACTGGTTGCTTGCACACCCTTTGTTCCTCTTTTATTCGTAATAATATTTTGTAGACACTTGTTATATTATTATTAAAATAATGTACGCTGCACATGTTGAAGTAAAGTCGTTTTGCTCTGTCATACTTCTGAGACCAGACCAGGCTGAAATGACATAATGAACTGAGATGCAGTTTGCTTGGAATAAAGTGCGAGTATGTTTGTTAATTTAGGAGAAGCACAGTCTACTTACATCAGTATCAGTTGGATCCGGTAGAGGTTTCAGGTCTTCGGAGAACAGAGAAGTCTGACCTTTAAATAACTTTACAACACCTGATGGAACAGCATCAAAAACAATAGCAAACCGGTTTAAGTTTACGGGAATCTTTAAATGGAATAAAAATTATTGATTAATAAAGAGGTTGCCTTTTTCATTGAAAAGTTGACTTACCAATGTGATTGATACAATTTCTAAACAAGTTATAAAAAAAAAGATATTTTTTTTATAACATATATCTTTGTTATTCTAAAGAATATGGAAGAGGATTAGGGTCACTGAAAAAATAAAAAACTAATTTTTAAAGTTTAATATGGGAAAAAAGTCAGAATTCTGACTTTAATCTCAGAATTCTGACTTTTTTATTCAAACTTCTGACTTTTTTCTCTGGTTTTTGACTTTAATCTCATAATTCTGGATCTTAATGTAGATGGGCACCATGAAGGTAGAGAAGTGGAGCACTCAGCTTCACTGACAAAGATGTGAGTTGTTTGGGAGGAACAGGAACACTTTGGTGGAAAAAGATGGAATTAGGCAACTTTTTACATGCCTGAGGGTCCCTGGTGATGCTATTTGATTAATGGAAGAGCAGAAGGTAATTAAAACAAGAGATAGAGTTTAGTCTCTAAAACAGACATGGCTACGGCTTGATGCTAACATGTTTGTCAGCTGTTAGAATTCAATCAGAATCCTGAGATTAAAGTCAGAATTCTGAGATTAAAGTCAGAATTCTCAGAAAAAAATCTGAATTCTTAGCTTGATAAACCAGCCTAAATGTGAGATTAAATGTATAAAACTCGCAGGCAAAAATTGTTTTGGCCGCTGGCAAGTGGGGATAATTTACTAGGCTACAGAATTCTGAGATTAAAATCAGAATTCTAAGATTAAAATCAGAATTGTGAGATTAAAATCAGAATTCTGACTTTTTTCTCATACTGAAATAAAATTTTAAAAATCCATAAATTTTTTTTTTTTTTTTCAGTGGCCCTAATCATCTTCCGTAGAAAGAAAGAACCCTTTAGGAGACGAAGCTTTAATATGTTTCTACGGAAGAGGATTAGGGCCACTGGAAAAAAAAAAAGTTAACTGTTTTTTAGATTTTATTTCGGTTTAGCATGGTAAAAGAGTCAGAATTCTAACCTTTTTTCCCATACTAAACCGAAATAAAATTTAAAAATCAGTTAGCTTTTCTTTTTTCTTTTTTTTTTGTCCAGTGGGCCCCAATTCCAATTCCGTATGTTTCTGAATTTATTGGCGTAACGTTTAATTCACGGTTTCGCCTACTCCGTCATGCTTGATTGGTCAAACTTCAGAAGAGGAGGGACAACTCATAAAGCTATAATTTGATTGGACAGTGGCTTCGAGGGGCGGAGCCTGCTAGTCTAGTATCGTGTCGCGTCGGACGTGCACAGCTATTTGGCCGCTGCTCCACCGAGGAATGAACAGGAAGAATTTAATCCTTCAGAGGTTGTTTGTTTTGTCGTAATTTGCGGTGAAAACAGGCGGTTACTCATTCCTGCTGTTCGAGGTAAGAGTCCTGCTATGTGGGTGACTGCCTGATATCCTGCGGTGTTCAGGAATGATATGAGGACGGTTAACTACGCAGAATGCACCAACTGGGCTCAATCCAGGACTATTTTCTCCTAATCTACATTCAGAAAGCTCCTGTTTACATCCGGCTTTGATTCTACAAGGCTGTTTTTTTCGTCTGTTTACTTTGTATTAAAATTCTTTCATCTCAAATAAAACGATTAGAATATCTAATTTAACTTCACGGCTGAAATTAATGTACTCTTGTTGTTAGATATTGAGAATTGTGCACAATCTATTATGTGTTTGCTGTGGAAGGTGTGGCTCTACTGTATGTAACAATATCTGGGTTTTAAAACCACAACCAAATCTGTTGTCACATGAGTCTGTAGGAGTCTTAGCATTTGATTCATTTGCAAAGAAAAAAAAAAGAAAATATTACCAGAAGTTACCTGAATGGCTTGTTCATTGCAACTGTTCATTGAATAAATAAGTTTTCATCTCTGTTTTGTAAGAAATTTGAGGCACCAGCAGCAAAACAGGAAGTGCATTTTTTTCCCCTACAAGATTTTATGAGTTGCAGGCCCATACAGCCTTGGTGAATGTTGCTTAACAGATGATGTTTGTTTCTTTTCGTAAAGGATCAGACTCAGAATGGCTTGGCTGTGTCGTCTGAGGCCGTGCCACCCCACAGGCATGGCTATCTCTCATTTTCACACCAGCATCCGTGCCTCTGCCAAACAGCACTACAAGATGTTGGTCCTTGGAGGGGGAAGTGGGGGCATCTGTATGAGCTCACGGATGAAGAGGTTGTTTGGGGCCGAGAACGTGGCTGTTGTGGAGCCATCCGAGGCAAGGATCATAACCGTTAAGAAATGGAAAGTTTAAAAAGTAGTCATCAGTATAATCTTCACAGTTTTTTGTTTTTCTTTCTTTCTCCCAGGTGCATTATTATCAGCCAATCTGGACCCTCGTCGGGGCCGGGGCTAAAACTGTTGCCTCATCGGCTCGTCCCACTGCCAGCGTTATGCCGTCAGGTGTTAAGTGGGTGAAATCCAAGGTTCAGGAAATAAACCCAGACAAAAACAGTGTCGTTACAGAAGATGGGACTGAGGTGATTAAAACGCTACTCAAATGTTACCTGGCAGAGATTTAAGGTTAGCATGATTTTAAAATCAGTCCTAAGTGATTCTTTGTTCTCTACAGATCTCTTATGAATATTTGATAGTAGCTCTTGGCTTGCAGCTCCATTATGAAAAGGTAAGATCATCTTATTTTCTCACCTATTCCACATAAACGTAATCGCATGGAGTGCTCCTATCACCCACAGGGAGCAGGAAGTTTCCCATAATTTTATAGTTTGATCAGGGGTCATAATCTTTTCTACTTCATAAAATCTAACTAGCCTCAGCTAGGATCAGACACAGAGTCTATAGAAATAAAAAAATCACATATGATTTAAAAGATTTTTGTGTTTTATGATAAATTAAATAATTTAACAATCAGGGAAGAATGCTTGTATCTCTTAAGGGTTATTTTTTTTAATGATGGCTTTCAAACCCAAAGCTCAGACTGTCAAAAACTGAATTATCAAACAGGACCATAACAAAAAAAGATGTTTAAGAAAGAAATGAACAATGCAGGAACTAAATATATTCACTAAAGAAGCTGGTTGTTAGGAGGAATAAGTTCAACCATATTAATGGAAGGTTGAGTGGAAGAAAAACATTTTCTTTTTTAGTTTCTGCAGTTCTTGAGAAGATTGTGAAGCAAAGTAAAGGTTTGGACATCATGGAAATCCAGTGTTGTCTCTACTTGGACAGAGAAGAGAAGGGACTGGAGTGTTTATCAGTGGACTAAAGTTCTCTTTTTAGATGGAAGTAAATCTTTCACTTCATTTGGAAATGAAGGTCAGAGTCAGAAGGAATGGGGACAGAAATCAGGTCGTTTGATTTAATTTTCAGTAGGGCGACATTTCTGTCTTGATCGGATTTTATTTGTTTTTACATTTTATTCTGCAAGTATTCTAGGATAAAGAAATTAAGTTAAGATTGCCGCTCACACTGAAGGCTGAGTTATGCTCAGAAATCAGGTCGCCTGCTTGTGCGTCGCAGTGAACCCAGAAACGCCCCCTTCTGCACCACTCTGGTGCACCTGTCCAAAATTGTAGGTGACTGCAGATTGGAGGCCTGGAGGTCAATTCTACACCCGCTCTACTCTGTGTATTTCCTGTTTGGTTCCTTACCGGCTTGTTTTGTTTGTATGACCACCATTGTGGAAAACGACTGAAGTTGGACCAGCTAGAAGAGCGTATCTAGGCCCACAGCTAGTTCCTGATTGGCCCTCTGGTGTTGTGGCGTGGAATAACATAGCGCAGACCACACTTCAATATTGGGCATAAATCAAAAATGTCTGCATCATACGTCCGACAAGCTGACTGCTGTGGGACGATAACCAGCCCTTGAGCCTGGTTCTGATGGAGGTTTCTTCCTGTTAAAAGGGAGTTTTTCCTCTCCACTGTCGCTACAAGCATGCTTAGTGTGAGGGATTGCTGAAGAGTCAATGAGTCGATGCAATCAGCTGGTTTTCCTTAGATAGAAAACTTTGAATCAATCTGACTGGATGATCTGGTTGAACTGGAAAGTGACCTGAGATGATATGATGTGAATTGGAGCTATAGAAATAGACTGAATTGAATTGAAATAAGTTCTATAACATTATTTATTTACAATATAACATTATTATAAATATTAAAAAATAAACTTTTGGATGGTTATCTAATTTGTTAATCTCTACACTAGTATATGGATATAATATTGATGGATGTAGGGCCTAACATGTAATGCATAGGTACAAAATGGTTGTTCCAGTTGGCATAGAGGTGAAGTAACGACCAGTCCTTCGTTTTCCTTGTGGGTTTTGTTTGTGTAGATTAAAGGCTTGCCAGAGGCTTTTGAGCATCCAAAGATCGGATCCAACTACTCTGTCGAAACTGTGGAAAAAACCTGGAAGGCCCTGCAGGACTTCAAAGAGGGCAACGCTATTTTCACTTTCCCAAACACTCCAGTAAAATGTGCCGGAGCTCCGCAGAAGATCATGTACTTAACGGACGCCTACCTCAGAAAGGTAGCTCATCTTTGGGATGTAATTATGCCTTTTAAAATGAGCCAAATTAGTTTTTTTTATTTTTATCAAAACACTTTCCTGTTTATGTATTTAAGACGGGGAAAAGGGCAAAGGCCAACGTGATATACAACACATCTCTACCGGTGCTCTTTGGGATCAAGAAGTACGCCGACACGCTGTGGGACATCGTGAAAACCCGTGACCTGCAAATTAACCTCCGACACAACCTGATTGAAGTGCGGCCCGACAAGCAAGAAGCTGTGTTTGAAAATCTGGACAAACCAGGAGAAGCCAAAGTGTTTGAGGTAGCTGCCTGCCTCTCACGCTTTACACCGTGCAAACCTCTGAAAATGAAGCCCTTTCTGATTTATCCTGATCATTATTTTTTATCAGTATGAAATGCTTCACGTTACGCCCCCCATGGGGCCCAGCCTGGTGGTTAAAGGCAGCCAACTTGCTGACAAGAACGGCTGGCTGGATGTAAACAAAGAAACGCTTCAACATAACAAATATCCAAATGTGTTTGGGATTGGAGACTGCACCAACCTTCCCACCGCCAAAACCGGAGCTGCAGTCGGTAAGTGATTGCCGAGCAATCAGAATTTTCTTCGCATTATTTTTTTCCTGGGCTTTAAAGGCACACTATTTTTCAGGAAAATTTTTCAGTTAATTAATGTGTTCCATAACGTTTTGGATAATTAAATGAGTCATTTCAGGTCGAACAAAGGTTTTCTCGGCCGCCCTGGTGGTCTGTTGGGGAAATACCGTACTTGCAATTGCAGGAGCCCTCGGCCCGCACCCACAGGCTCAGAAGTCTCGTGCGTCGCGAGAGTCGGTCTTGCTTTACGGCGAGAACTGCTACACGCCCCCAGTGAAAGGCATGCTTGTTGCTAGCGCAGTGGCGATCTTTGTGCAGTTATCATGGCGGAACCAGCGAGAAAACAGCAAAAGCTCATGTCGGAGTAGGCAAGAAAGAGGAAAAGGGTCCAGTGTCTAGTCATACTATGGCAGACTAGAATAGTGATTATCTACCATACTATTTCAAATATTTCTGATGCATGCATAAGGTTGTTTAGATCATTTTCAATTCTTTGAAATGTACTAATTCAGTGCTCGAGGTACAAAACCACAGAAATCAGAACCCCCTTCCCCGAACGACAGTCGGATAAATGTATGGGAAACTCCAGCTTAGCTAACTACAATTCTTTGTTATTTAGACACATGCATAACAAATAATGTATGAAAACATGCTAAATTTTCAAACTCGAAAATTGGAACAAAATAGTCACTTACCGTAGTAGACGTGGTGATTCGTTGCGTTCGCCTGTCTGCTAAGCTCAAAACAACCGCGCCTGGCTTGACGGAGAAACCAGGAGAACAGCTGAGCATATTTACGACAGTGCACTTTTACTTTCGCCCTCTGGGGGGAGCCTCGCTGGAAAATCAACACCGGTTACATAGTAGACATTTAATCTTCAAAATCCGTGTTTGCAGAGCATCATAAAGGTAAAAAACAAACTTAAATAATTAGTAATACTGGTCTTTTTTACTTGTTATCTCTTTAGGCACATCTTTGCATTCAGGCATCCTTATCTCCGGGAATAATAATGATGTAATTACATTTTATGAATGCAATATAAATCAGTTCCACCCTGTATGCCTGGTTAAATGAGGTCCCCCCCCGATACAGGTTGTAATCTAGGTGTTAAAGTAAAGTTGGACTCTTTATCTCTCTGTACACATTCACTGTAAACAACATGAGGTGTTTCCAGAGGGGATTCGGCGCTCTGTTTTTTTTCCTTTATGGAGGAGAATTATTTTTTTAATTACTTCTTTCGCATCAGCATTTTAATAGAAAATGACAAAAAGCATCCTTAACCCTTTTAAAGCCCGATCCAAGAATAAAACAAAACAGAAAATTACTTTTTTTTGGGTTTGAATTCTTTATTTGGCCTTTTAACAAAATATGTAAAAAGAAAAAACACAAATACATATTTGATATGAATAATTTATTACTATGCGATAAGTCAAGATTATTTTTTGTGTAGTCTTCTGCGCTCTGTTATCAGGTATATCTGATTGTGTACAATAGGATTTTGAGCGAAGTTTTTACCATAAAATTATGCAAAAGGTGTCAGACGCAAAACATTTCAGAAACCGTATGTATCAAATATGATACATTTGGCATTATAGGGTTAAATGCCTTTTGTATTTCTTTATTTTTATTAGGACCTTTAATTATATTTGAGATATCAATCGTTGGGTCCATCGGGTGTAATGAAAACTGTCCCACCAACATTAAACGACACAAGAACATAAACTGATATCATGTCTTGTTTCAGTGGCCTAATAAAGACAAAGTCTGGGTGGATTTGTTGACCTCCATATTTAGATCTCTCCTTATTGTTGAATGAAACAAATGTTAGTCTGTTGTTTTCATATCAGATCCAGCCTCCTCTGGAGTCGCTCTTTAATCTGTGTACGCTGCAGCACAATACTATCTGTCCTATAGATGCTCCATATAAAGGCAGAGGGTGTTGCACACGAGGTCGGGAAATGAAACCAAAAAAAATGCTATAGTCTTATTATCCACATGTAGTTTAGACTCAGTTTACTTGGTTTGATCCAATTTAGGACGGAGTGAAATTCCTTAAAGTCATTATCTGTGCCAGATCATGGATCTTTTTGTTTAAATTTCACCATCTGCAGTCCTGTTACTGTAACGAGCGTTTCTTGCTCGCTGTGAATTATCCTCCTAATGACGTCTTTGCCTCTGGTTGGACCCGTCTGGTTCAAATAATTTCAGACTTTTTACAGACCGTCCCCCACCATGATAGAGGGAAGGAGGGTTGTGCAAGTGTGAAAACGGCATGTCCTGATGCCAAACCAGTTTGGCTTTTAGCTGAGTCATTGTTACACTGAAAGACGACTCTTGTTGCATCGTAGGGAAAGGGTTACCTAAAGGCAGCGGAAGTAGGTCAGTGAAAGCCTTTTATTGTTGTTGTTAGGCAAAACATTTAAAAAGTACAATCAGCTTACATTACGTTGGAAAAAGTATTGCTACCTTCTTAAGCATTTTACTTCTAATTCACATTAAATTACAAACGTTCCTTTTTATGGTTATTCAGCCTGGAGACACTCAGATAAAAGCTGCATTTATAAAAGTATGAATTTATTTATACAGGTAACACAATCATTATTATTATTTAAAGACAACCAGCTGATTGCAAGGACTTAATGACTCTCTACAATCCCTCACACCAAGCATGCTTATAGCGACAGTGGAGAGGAAAACTCCCTTTGAACTAGAGACTGACACAGGAGTGGATTTTCACTCCTGTCCCGTCCCACTCCCACAGAAAAAAATTGTGTCCCAATCCCAGGCCAGAGTAGAAATCTAAATCCTGTCCCGTCCCACTCCTGGTGAAATTACTTCCACTCCCATCCCGCTCCCATTCAGAATGACTCCCGCTCCTGCACCACTCCCATTCTTGTTGTCTTCAATAAGATTTCTGCCAATACTCTGGCTGCGAATTGAGATTCAGCCATTGAATCTGAATTTGTTGTTTTTGAGCGTGGGTGAAAAACTCAGAGCGGAAGCACTGTTGGTTTTTGGGTCGTGTAGTTTTTTTGACTCGCATTATAGTGTAGGCTTCAAGGAAAAAAACTACAAAATGGCGGCGCCAGTACTGGATTTTTTTTCTTTTTATTTTATTTTTTGGCATTGATCCTAGTTTTTTTTTTTAGTTACTATTGGTTTTTTCCCGCTCCCGTCTGCTCCCGTTAATATTTAATCCTGTACCGTCCCAATCACGTGATCGTTACTAATACTGACTCCCATTCCACGGGAATCCCATGGGAATCCCGTGACCCGTGGGATTCCCGAAAAAATGTCAGTCTCTACTTTGAACAGATAGAAACCTCCAGCAGAATCAGGCTCAGTGTGAGCGGCCATCTGCTGAGGCCGACTGGGGTTCAAGGAGACAGAAGCAGATTAAGACATAAATGACATGAGTTATTTGACGCTTGGGCCCCGGCACAAGACTTTTATCCTGTGAATCAAAATTTGCTTGGACGAGTAACCTAGAGAAGAATTAAGAGTATTCTTCCTCCGGTGCCTGACGCTGGTGGTGGAGTAAAGTTCTGGTTCTCCTCCTGCAGCAGCGTGTCGCAGATATTTTTGATTTATGCCCAATATTGAAGCGTGGTCTGCGCTACGTTATTCCCACCACAACACAAGGGGGCCAATGAGGAACTAGCTGTGGGTCTAGATACGGCCGAGGCGGTGAGGAAGTGGGGGCAAGTTTGTACGACAACGGAGGGACATGAGGGCCAAAAAGAGTGGGGATCCAGGTGGAAAAGGATCCCAGCGTTCTCACGCACCTCGCTCTTCTAGCTGCTCCATCTTCACCAGTCGTTTTCCACAATGGCGGCCATACAAACAAAACAAGCCGCTAAGGTACCAAACAGGAAATGGGCATAGTTTAAAGCGGATGTAGATTTGACCAATCAGAGGCCTCCTGTCTGCGGTCACCTACAATTTTGAAGAGGTGAAGCAAGTGAGCGTCTGTGGAAAGGGGCGGGGGCACATTTGCATTCACTGCGACACACACACAGACGACCTGATTTCTTAACATGAACCAGCCTTAAGTCAGAGGAGAATAGTCTGAGAATGAGGGAGGAGATGGGGGGAGGTGGGTGCAGGAGAGAGAAGCTAGGCTAGGAGCTAAATGTAGGGGGGTGTGTGTGTGTGTGTGTGTGTGTGTGTGTGTGTCATGGGTACTTGTTGATGGCAACCTGGAGAGAAATATCAGCTGTGCTGCTTCCATCAACACCCTTGTTTATAGATGCTGGAGATCGGCCTGTTTTCCAGTGTAGTCCTGTTTCTCTGACCGTGACTGGCTGGATGTGCTCTCTTCATCCTCTGGCATGGGAGCTGGCTCAGAGCTCATCTGCCTGGCTGCGTGTTTCCTGGACGTGTCCGCCTTTTACAGCTGCTTTTTACATCTCTGCTTCTGTCTCCTTGAACCCCAGTGGGCCTCAGCAGATGGCCGCTCACACTGAGCCTGGTTCTGCTGGAGGTTTCTTCCTGTTCAAAGGGAGTTTTTCCTCTCCACTGTCGCTACAAGCATGCTTAGTGTGAGGGATTGTATTTGAGTCGATGCAATCAACTGGTTTTCCTTAGATAGAAAACTTTGAATCAATTTGACTGGATGATCTGGTTGAACTGGAAAGTGCCTTGACATGACATGTGTTGTGAATTTGGCGCTATATAAATAAACTGGATTGAATTGAGTTAAAATTATTTCTAAGAGCATTAAAAAGTATTAAATTAGAGGTTCGGATCCGGACCGCGGTCCGCTAATCCGTGACCTCTGGTTTAAGACTGAAGAAGTGTATCAGAAGACGATGTGGTTTGAGATTTACTAAACCAAGTGCCTGCATTTTTGAGACTCTAATTGCTAATTGTTTATTAACTTCTGGGGTGAGGACAATGCCAATCAAGGGGTAATTATGTTTTATTACAGGTAATTAAAAGATAGCTTGTTATTATCCCTTTTACAATTACTAACACAGATTAGCAAGTCAGAGGATTGTCGCCGTTGGTTGGAAAGCCAATTAAAACTTCCATTCTGAGAACGAAAGTGGCAAAGTACAGTTTGACATGGGTGGGATCAGGATCAGGGATGAGCGTGATAAATACCAGCGTGCTCTTATAATCAGAAGTCCGGCTTTAAAGCTGATGAACCTATGTGCTGCTCTCATTGTACAGCCTTATTGTGGCAGCATTCCTGCTGCTGAGAAACTCCACCTCAGAGTCAGATTTGCCAGGGAGGATCGCTCTGTGGTGTTTACCCAAATACAGATAATCCAGTTTATGGCTCTCGCTCAGATTTTAGAGCTTTTCTCTTATCTTTCCAGGGTAACTTTGAACTCCAACTGGGTGCGCTTGTTGCAGGTTGAAGTCTGGCTTTGGTCCAGCTGCTCTACCATATAGTCCGAAATGTTGGAACGATTGTTCTGAGAGATTCTACTATTTTTACAGCTGTAGCTCAGGATCAAGTTCCACACACAGTTTCCTGACCTACTAGCTTGCTGTGTCTGTGTGGTTTCAGGTTACTTATATTTCACAGCTATTTAGGTCAGTGTGCCATAGAAAATCTCAGTGCCAAGAAAATAAATCAGAATAATTCAGCTTTGTTTTTTATTAAAATTGAATATACAGCAAAGAGCCTTTTCAGACCTTTAAAGGTTTTTTAACCGGCAGCTTTAGAAACATGAAATACCTGGATTAGCTCCTCCTGATACGGGTTTAAGCAGGGTGTATGAAATAACATTTGTCCCCAGTTTGTTGTGGTATTGCTAAAGGTTAAATCTCACTACCTTTACAACTGTGTGCCTAATTTAGAGCAGTGACAGCTGCTGGCAGCCGATTGGTCCAATCTTTTTAACGAGCCTCCTGCCCTGGGTGATAAATTTAGTGTTCGCTGTAGAGGGTGGAGAGCAGAGGAGCTGGTGGTTTGCCAGGCCTGTCATTTCAGGTTCATTTTATTTATGTTTCATGATGATTTTGTTTAACCAAAACGCTCAGATAAAAATGACTTTAATATGGAAGAAAAACCGTCTCATTGGGATCTGCCTTTTTTTGAATTTTTTTTAACACTGTATTTTAAACACTGAATTGTTTACACATTGAATTCCTTACACTGAATTTTTATTTGATGAAAATTTATAGTACACTAAGAGTGTATATAATCGATGCAGCGATCCACCAGCTGATGATCCGATGTATCGATACGTCCGCAAGATAATCGATTCATGTTTTTTTTTTTTTTTTTTTCCAGTCAACTTTTATCCATTTGCTCCTGGGCGTAATTCTCCCTCCCGTGCTGCGGTGGCGCTAAACCTATTTTGCCCTCCTACCTCGCTTCCTGGTTATTCTCTTACAGCAGTGTGTTGCAGTGAGCTTGACACAGACATTTTTAAATTATGCTCAATATTGAAGCGTGGTCTGTGCTACACGCTGTGGGTCTAGATACGGCCGAGGCGGAGAGGAAGTGGGGGCGAGTTTAGTCCGACGACGGAGGGACATGAGGGCCAAAAAGAGCGGAGATCCAGGTGGAAAAAGGGTCCCAGCGTTCTCGCGCACCTCGCTCTTCTAGCGGGTCAAACTTCACGAGTTGTTTTCCGCAATTTCGGTCATAAAAACAAAACAAGCCGGCCTCCTGTCTGCGGTCAGCTACAATTTGGGAGAGGAGCAGCGGAGCGTCTGTGGAGGGGGCGGGACGTCTGGAGCCGAGGTATTGCATTGCACTCATTGCACTGATTCTGTGCAGTATTTTTTTATGCAAGGCCTTTCAGAATCTATAACACCGGGGCATTATTTTTCAGTGAATGAGGTTTTAATAGCAATAGATGGACTACAACTTTTCTACTTCTGTTATTTGCTGTTGTTTTTTTTTTTTATAAATTGCACAACGATATTACAGCTTTCATTGATTTTTGAAACATTGTTTAGCCTGTAAGGTGTAAAAAAAAAAAAAAATCGAATCGTTGGGTCAGGAAATCGATACTGAATAGAATCGCCATGATGGATGTGATTTACACCCCTAGCATACACTGCAAATATATTAGAATCTGTCCTTAAATTCCAGCCAAACCCATTTACACAGTAACAGAAAAAAACATTTAAATAAATCAAACATTACCGCTACATATCAAACTCGATAACCATTAAAACAACTATTTTCATTCATTTCAGACGGAACTATTCACATACTTGTATTATATATAATATATTAATAATAATATATACATATATATATATATATATATATGCTATATCAACCATCTCTGGGCGCGCATTTATGCATGTATGTGGCGTCGCGGTTGAAGGAAAGAAACAAAGTAGACTATAAAATAAAACCGTGCATCTTTAACTTACCAGAATGAAAATGCAGGGAACACACTCTCATTGACATCGGGATGCTGTGGAAAGTTATGTTCGGTCGTCTTACAGCCGCGATCCAAGCTAGCCGACGACTCTTTATCTCTGACGCTTGGTCTCCATGGTTACGCCTCCAGGCAGGAAAGCGGTGGAAAGTTAACCCATTTTCTATGTTTTTCCCATGGCGATCATGTGTTGCGCTGTTACTCCCCACAATACAGCAACGGTTTACCATGGTTGAAATCAAGTTAAGGTGAAATTAATCAAATTAAAACACGGCTGAGAGGGAGTGCAGTACGCGGTAGTCATAGGCAGTAGTCTGAGTAGCGGTAAAGGAGGCCATCAACATGGCGGCCGCGCAAAGTAAATACATCATGACGCCCAAGCCCTATTTTTCTGCACGGCAATACGAAAAAAAAAAAAAAAAACGGCAAATGGACTTGCGAAACAATGTTTTTAAAAGAATTATTGGAAACTGTTCTGCCATCACAGCAAAATTTTATTTGAGGCAGGCTAAGTGGAAGTAGGCTACCAGTATCATATATTTCAAAGGAAATTCAGAACTACGAAGGCCAACGAAATTCTGTCATTTTAACGCTGCCTGGTTACCACCAGACCTACAGGTAATCACATGAGTCTTTCAGATCAGAACGATTGTGTAAGGCCACTACGATCATGGGACTAATGTCTTGGATTCATTAGCAAACATTGCCCCCCTGTGGTACTTGTATGTTACTATCACAAATTGTTGAGGACTGCCCAGGAACATTGTTGGTTCTAATTATAGCCCCGGCCATCATTTACCTCTGCTGACAGCGAGACAGGCCATTGTTAGAGTCCCGGCCGCTACTGGAATACAGGCCAATATTAGAGGATTTACGGTATTCAGTAAAGAAACCTTTCTGGAGAAACGAGAGGGAGGAAAACTAACTGGGTCAGGGTATCGGACGCCTTCTCCCTCTCTCCTCTTCCTCCTTCCTTTCTGTTATTTTTGAAACCCAGACTTTTATGCGCTGCTTTTTCAGCCACGGATGTTTTTTTTTTTTACCACATTGCTGCTTATTTACACATTTTCTTGTTAGTTTGTTTCTTTAGTAATCGCCACACTAAAGGACGTGTGCGTTGCATTTAAGCCCCGGTACGAGCGAGCTGCCGGTGGCAAACTGGGAGACCTGATGTGATGCAGGACATGAGGATCAAACCATTTATTGCAATTTCACAGGAGAGGGGGGGTGTCAATATATTCATGCTTTGTTTCACAGTTTACTGCTGAAAAATGAGGGAGAACATGAAGAGTGTTTATTTTACTGCTGGATTATCTTTTTATATTTGAAAAATATAGGGGGACTATTCTTCTTCTTCTGCCCCCCTCCCTCGACATTTCCCTCCCCATCCAGGAAGCGTAACTTCATCAAACTTGGAAACAAATTTCAGTGGATTGTTTTTTTTTTGTCTTGTTTTTTTTTTTTTTACTTTTTTGATTGGGCTGAATCTGATCACTATGTTCCAACCATCAGCCTTTTATTCCCATTATGTCTATGCAAACGTAGCTTTAGTCTCCATCTTTGTCAGGAGTATGAAGACAACATGTTTCTGTTGGTGAATACCAGCAGATACGCCTGAAATGCTGGCATGCATTTTTGTGTTAAGGTTCTTGGTTTAAAGAAAAAAGAAAAAGAAAAAAAATCAGGTAACAGATTGCAGTTGTGTAACAGAAACCTCCTGCCAAAATGCAACTTTCCTTTTCAAGGTGTAATTATCTACGTTCATTCATCAGAGCAGCGTGTAGCAGGATCTGTTTTTTTAGCTAAGAGCAAGCTGGGGCACGCTGTAACCTTCAACCTGATTATGATGAGTGCTGCTTCAACATTGGTAAAAGTGTCTGGGTTGGGTTTAATTTCAGCAATATCTTTCTTCCATAAAGTAAGTTAAACTTTTTTGGTTTTTGTTTTTTTGTCTATTTAGCTGCACAGTCTGCAGTTCTGAGCAGAACGATCAGCAAATTCCTGAAGAATCAGAAGCCAGATAAGAAGGTAGGTGCTGCTAATCAGTGTTTAGATTTTGAATAATGTTTCACCCTCTTTAAACTCATAGGGAAGTCATATTTAAATGTCAAATCATTCCGGCTTAAACATGTATATAAATGTACTCTTTATCAGACCATATTGTCCCAAGAGATAGAAAATTCCTATTTTAACAAAAATCCTGTCTTAAAAACTGTTTTTTTTTTCGTTATCTTCTGCAGGCCAGTTAGTTCTACGTCAGCCTGAACACTTAAATTCAGCCAATCATATATAACGCTCATCTGTCAATCAAATGTTTTCGGTCATAGCATCTTGATTCATATGTCGCAGCTAATATACGCAACGGTTGAAACCAGAATCCTTTCCTTTCCCATTGAGTTGCGTCCCAGTGTTCACGGGGATGGACGTCTGTGTCTTCAGCAGGCGTAGAGCTAACAGAACTGGCAGCGTTGTGAGGCAAGGGCTCAAACATGTACGGCTGGAAGCCTTCTACACCAAACCAAACTTCTGCCGCCCTGGCGTCCTCTTCCACAACATCTTCGTCCCCGCTTTCCTCCTCTAAATAAAAAATGGATGACGGAGGAGACTCATCCACGACCTCCGACACTAAACTCTCCTCCTCTTGCATGTTTCCGCTGTCCATAGCGTTCCTTGACAGCGTCGTTTCTAAGTTACCAATTTAGTGCTACTTGGTCCCAATGGAATTTCCCATTGGGAACCTGCTAGCACTAAGTTGCTAACTGGTTAGCAAGATGCTTCCGACAAACCGGCCACAACCAAACATGCTTGCGAACCTTCCGCCACAACAATCCCGCCCCCTTGATAATCGACCAATCACATTCACTTTATTAACTCGTGTAAAGTCGGGAACCACTCGGTAGAATTCGGAAATGCAACAGTTGGAACAGCCGCTTCTCTACGACTTTAAATGTTTACGTTTCTGCTTTTAGAGAACCTACGAGATTTGTACAGAAAATAATCATGCGTTTTTGTCCATCTGAGATTGGGTTTACTCATTTATCAGCTGTGTTTATTTGGTTTGAGGTAAATAAGACTGAAGCAGTGGGTAAAATCCCCCAAAACAATTAAAAACTTGCTTTTTTCTTCATATACAAGTATGACGGCTACACCTCCTGTCCGCTGGTCACGAGCTACAACACAGTCATCCTGGCAGAGTTCGACTATGACGGACAGCCGCTGGAAACGTTCCCAATCAATCAAGCCAAAGAGCGACGATTAATGTACTACATGAAGGCCGACGTGATGCCTCACCTCTACTGGCACGGCCTTCTCCGGTATGATCGTGTTCCATAAAATGCTTTATAATTCATTCATTACATGAACTGCTACATTTTTATTGCTGTTTCCAGGGGCCTGTGGGGCGGACCTGGACCATACAGGAAGCTCCTGCATCTTGGGATGAAATGAAACTGAATGTTTCCTACAACTATACATCATGTCATAAACTCCTGGTCTTCATCATAAAACAGCAGACTCATCTCAGCTGCCTAAAGAGAGGGGCGGGGCTTAATTACAATGGAAATGAATGATTATAACATGAGTAACTCCTTTTCATTTAGATAGCTTCTACATGAAGCTGTTGCTCAGAACTCCATCAGGTAAAGTGAAACTCCTCCTGAGTCAGTGTCATAAAGATGGGTCCACAATCCAGATTAATCCAGCAGATTAAGAGGGTCACAATTGGTGTTGCACAATGTTGAGTACACCTTTGTTTTTTCTTAAAATCATATTAATCAGTTATCGGAAAATACCATAGCGATGCCGTAGACTCTGTGGTTGTCTCTAAAAACTACATGAATGTGTTTTCTACAATAAAAAGCCCGCAGTGCTGGAAGCAAATGGCAGTTGTTTCAGCGCCGTCCGATTATGTTTGTTTTGTCTCGCTCATTATAAACAACAAGTAATCCAATTTATCATTTCACTTTTAAAAGAAAAGGCTTGACCGTATACATGAAAGCTCAGTGCTTTATCTGACTTTTTATATATCAGTGCTGGAGTTTGTTTTGCTGTTTTTTAAATGTTATGATTTATGCTTTGACACCTGGCCAATATAACTATCATGGGTGTATTGATACTAAATAAATAAATTTAAATCTTAAAAATACATTTTTTTTTTGTGTTTAACTATAAAAGTGTGGAAACAAACTGCTTTTTGTTAATTAGGGTTTTACTCTTAATCATTTTCCATTAAGATACAACTGCAACTTGCATGTATCTCACATGTTAAGATATATTGAATACATGTCGGTGTTTATTAATGAACACCTCCCTTTACTGCTGCATTATCGTTATCTCTATGCTGCAGAAATGCTTCTTTTTTTTGTGGCTCAGCGTAAATAAAGGTTGTGATCCAGGGTTGGGAATTCAGGTGGGTTTTTGTGTTGTCACTAATAGAATTTCACTTTGGTTACAGCATGCAGACATAAATATATAAACAGCTGCATGTTGTAGTTATATATATGTAAAAGAATTGTGATTTTGATTTCTCAATTATTGATGAAAGTAAAATTTTTGTTGCAGTTTTCACATTTATGCAGACGATAGATCTACGTCCCACTGAGGCAAAACTGAATCTTTTGAAATGTTTGGATAATGTAAAAGCACGAATGACTTCAAATGTTTTCCATTTAAAATTTTTATGAAAAAAGGAGAATTTATGTGTTTTTTTTCTAGGCACTTCAGAGAGCCTACTTTTAACCTGGGCTATCTGGATCACTTTGTGAAGACGGTGGCCCTAAATTTCTATTTTAAAATGGACCGCCATCTTAACTTTGACAGCAAGATCAAAGTTGTCAAATTAGGCCTCTTTCAGCTGCGGCAGGTGAACAAAATAAAGTTGGCTGGGTTACTGTAATGAACTTTATTTGGGTGTAAGTGGATCTTTAATTTCCCGTCTGTAGACGGTTCAAATTGCTGTTGCATGACTCCATAGTTTTAAGTTCACTTCATTGGCCAGTGGTTAATTTTAGAATTCATTTTAAACCTATTTTGTTTGTCTTTGAATGGCCTTGCCCCTTCATATATTGCTGATCTCCTGCCTACTTATGTACCGCTTCGTTCCCTTAAGCCAGCTGATCAGTTACTGCTGTCAGTACCTAGAAGGAGGCGTAAACTCAGGGGACTCACATGGGCAATGTAGGCGTTTTGGGTTTAACCCTCAGAAGAATGTTGGCGTTGGTTGATTTTATGTTGTACTATTTTTCTTATTTTTTTATTTTATATTTCTTCTTAATCTCATTGCATTGTATGGTGTTTTCATTTATGCTTTTATGCTGCACTTTGGTCCTATTGTTCGTTTAACGCTTTATAGGTCACTCAGTGAAATACTTTGAAAATCAAAAATTTAAGCTAAGAGTGTTATTGGAATCCAGGACCAGACCTTATTACCTTTGTAACATTTAAACAAATATGGATATTTTGATGGGAAAAATGAATGTCAATGTAATAACAAAAAACCCCAACTTGCCCGAATATATTAAGAAAAAATAACAAAAGTGCTTCTATAAGAAATTAATGAAAAACACTCAGAGTGAAAGAACTTTTTTTTTTTTGGGTCCAAATAACCTTAGTGGCATTAATGCTGATACTGGCACTTACATTTTTTTGTTTTGTTTATAACCCTAAATAAAATTGTTAACTAGGCTTTTTAACTTTACTTTTTCACTTTTCAATTAGCGTTTTACCTTTATTCTTTCGACTTAATTTCCAGTAGGTAATCTATCATTCAAGGGCTCATCTAATTGGTCAAATGCCAAAAGATGTACAGCCATGTAGCAGGATCTTTGCTGAATGGATGGATATAGATCTTGTTCTTCTAGACCTCACTGGGGGGGGTCCATTTGTAAGGGTGATCAAAAACGCTAACTTGCCCAATAAAGTATTAAAGTGCTATAAAGATAAATTTGGATTTGGATTGTAAAATAACACGGGCTCTAGAATCAAGGATTATTTGGAAAGTGAGCTGAAGTGTGACTATCTCCTCCTGTCTGTTTATAAAATGATAAAGCGGCTTGCCATACCGCATCATCAGTTCCTCTCTGTCGCATTCCCCTGCGCTCCGCCAGCGTTCTGTTTGTGCTGAGGCGGGAAATGGCGTCCGAAGACACGGCTGTTCTGCGACTTTAGCCACTGAGAGACGGACACAGCTGGCGGAAACAAGCACGGCTCGACCTCCAAACGGCGGCCGCCGCGGTCGACACTGACAACGCCCTGTCGGATTTTTTTTTTTTTTTACGAGCATCCGAAGTGATCGGTAAGAAAGAGCCGCCATATAAACAACAGATATCTGCCCCCTGTGAAAGTCCAACTGCTGCTAGCTAGCGGCTAACGTTAGTCAGCGAAGGGGGCGTAGTCTAATGGCTGAACATAGTTATGGAGCGAACAAAACGACATGTTCTTTAAGGTTGTAAAACACATTAATGAACGGCTAGTTTAAATATAGATATAATATATTATTAGAAGAAATGATGGTTGATGTGTGCTGTGCGAAAACTAACGTTACGGAACCGCTTGTTCTGCCTTTGGGGTCTCGTTAGCCTCGAAGCTAAATGTAGCTTGTTAGTCACTGAGCCCACTGACAGCATTTCCTTTAACGGTATTTAAACTGAGAGGTTAAACCCATAAATGTGATTTGAATCCAAATTGACTCAACGCTGTGCGATGGATCATAAAGCAGCAGCAGCAGCGTCAATCTGTTCGGTGTCAGAGAGCCCGGTCTGGGCTAAAGCGGTTTGTTACGTAACGACAGACAGCGGAGCTGCTGGCTGTCAGACACTATTTAGCAACAAAGCGCGACTCCTGAAACAACCCTAAAGATTATAACTAATTACAACAAAGTTGTAGTTTTTCAAATATATGGTAGTCCAACCTAACGTTTTTTTTTTTACTGACAGCAGGTTAAGCGTTTAAATCGACTCTTAAATGACTTTTTTTCTTGTCACAATGAGTTTAAATAGTGTTTTTATTTTATTTTACCTAATTTAATTCTGATTAATGTGACGACATGGCTCAGTTTAAGTACAGGTGCTGGTCATAAAATTAGAATATCATGAAAAAGTAGAGTGATTTCAGTAATTCCATTTAAAAAGTGAAACTTGTATATTATATTCATACATTACATACAAACTCATATATTTCAGATGTTTATTTTGTTTAATTTTGATGATTACAAATGACAACAAATGAAAATCTCAAATTCATCATATCAGAAAATTAGAATATTACTGAAGACCAATAAAAACAAAGGATTTATAGAAATGTTGGCCAACTGAAAAGTATGAACATGAAAAGTATGAGCATGTACAGCACTCAGTATTTAGTTGGGCCTCCTTTGGCCTGTATTACTGCAGCAATGCGGCGTGGCATGGAGTCGATCAGTCTGTGGCACTGCTCAGGTGTTATGATAGCCCAGGTTGCTCTAATAGTGGCTTTTAGCTCTTCTGAATTGTTGGGTCTGGTGTATTGCATCTTCTTCTTCACAATACCCCATAGATTTTCTATGGGGTTAAGGTCAGGAGAGTTTGCTGGCCAATTAAGAACAGGGATACCATGGTCCTTCAACCAGGTACTGGTAGCTTTGGCACTGTGTGCAGGTGCCAAGTCCTGTTGGAAAATGAAATCTGCATCTCCAAAAAGTTGGTCAGCTGCAGGAAGCATGAAGTGCTCTAAAACTTCCTGGTATGTGGCTGCGTTGACCCTGGACCTCAGAAAACACAATGGACCAACACCAGCAGATGACATGGCACCCCAAACCATCACTGACTGTGGAAACTTTACACTGGACTTCAAGCAACGTGGATGAAGTGCCTCTCTTCTTTTCCTCCAGACTCTGGGACCTTGATTTCCAAAGGAAATGCAAAATTTACTTTCATCAGAGAACATGACTTTGGACCACTCACCAGCAGTCCAGTCCTGTTTCTCTTTAGCCCAGGCAAGACGCTTCTGACGCTGTCTGTGGTTCAAGAGTGGCTTGACACAAGGAATGCGACAGCAGAAACCCATGTCTTTCATACGTCTGTGTGTGGTGGTTCTTGAAGCACTCACTCCAGCTGCAGTCCACTCTTTGTGAATCTCCCCCACATTTTTGAAGGGGTTTTGTTTCACAATCCTCTCCAGGGTGCGGTTATCTCTCTTGCTTGTACACTTTTTTCGACCACATCTTTTCCTTCCCTTCGCCTCTCTATTAATGTGCTTGGACACTGAGCTCTGTGAACAGCCAGCCTCTTTAGCGATGACCTTTTGTGTCTTGCCCTCCTTGTGCAAGGTGTCGATGGTCGTCTTTTGGACAACTGTCAAGTCAGCAGTCTTCCCCATGATTGTGTAGCCTATAGAACTAGACTGAAAGACCATTTAAAGGCTTTTGCAGGTGGTTTGAGTTAATTAGCTGATTAGAGTGTGGCACCAGGGGCCATCAATTTTGAACCTTTTCACAATATTCTAATTTTCTGATATGATGAATTTGAGATTTTCATTTGTTGTCATTTGTAATCATCAAAATTAAAAAAAATAAACATCTGAAATATATGAGTTTGTATGTAATGTATGAATATAATATACAAGTTTCACTTTTTAAATGGAATTACTGAAATCAATCTACTTTTTCATGATATTCAAATTTTATGACCAGCACCTGTATATATCTAGAAGACATACAGATAGAGCAGTGTTTCCTTTTTTTTTTTTTAAACAACTTTGTCAAATTGATTTCTACGGAAGAGGATTAGGGACACAGGGAAAAAAAGTTAACTGATTTTAAAATATTATTTTAGTTTAATATTCTGACTTTAATCTCAGAGTTCTGACTTTAATCTCTGGGTTGTGACTTTAATCCCAAAATTCTGACTCCTCAGAATTTTGACTGAATTCTGACAGCTAACAAACATGTTAGCATCAAGCCATAGCCATGTGCAGAGACTAATCTAGCTCTCTGTTTTAATCTCCTTCTGCTCTTCCATTAATGAAACAGCATCACCAGAGACCCTCGGGAATGTAAAAAGTCACCTAAGTCCATAATTATTCACCATTGTGTTCCTGTTCCTCCCAAAAAAACTACCATCTTTGTCAGTGAAGCTGAGTGCTCCACATCTCTTCCTTCATGGTGCCCATTAAGATCCAAAATTCTGAGAAAAAAGTCAGAATTATGACATTAAAGTCAAAATTTTGAGAAAAATGTCTATAGGCTGAATTCTGAGATTAAAGTTAGAATTCTGTCTTTTTTCCCCAAATTAAACTGAAATAATATTTAAATATATATATATATTTTTAGTGGCCCTAATCCTTTTACCTAATTTTAAAACCACACAAAGCTTATATGTTTACATCTTGAAGAGCTAATTTTATACAGCTCCGCCTGTGTGATGATAAAAGTCCCAAAGCCTGCGAAGTTGGACCAAAGGTCCGTATGGAAGCTTCTGTGTCCATACGGACCTTTGTCAGAATTCTGAGTTTTTTACCATATTAAACTGAAATTATATTTAAAAATCAGTCAACATTTTTTTCTCAGTTGCTCTAATCCTCTGCCGTAGTTTTCAGTTCCTGTTAGAGACATACAGGTGTTAGCGCTGTGCTATTCAGCCTAAAATTACATTTTATATATTTGCTCTGAGTTGATTTAGAAAAAGGAAATAATATTTTTGCAAACAAAACCACCTGATAACATTTTTGCTTTTAGTAAAATCCAAACTATGCTAAGCTAAGCTAAGCTGTCACCTGCAGATCGGACATGAAAACAAAAGTTTCTCTTTATCACATTTTGTCATTTTAAAATTATACTTTTGTTGGTTGCTGTTTTTGGTTTGTTTTTAATAACTAAAGGTAATATTTTCCTTACTATTTCCTTCTAAGTAAGTAATGTTTATATATATATAGCACCTTTCGCAGACATAGAGGTCAGAAAGTGCTTCACAAAATTACAATACAATTAAAATGTATTTACAGTCATAAACGACATGGTCATAAAACAAACCTGAATCTACTAGATTTAAAATGCTTTCTTAAACAGGTTTTTAGTTCACTCTTAAAAACATCAATTGAATCAAGTAAGAGCAAGGAAAGCGGAGGATCGTTCCAGAGCGCCGGCGCGACCGCCTGAAAGGAGCGATCCCTCCCTGGTCCTGTAACGAGTATGAGGGAACATGAGCAGGTTCAGCTCCTGAGACCTCAGCCTCTGAGAGGGGGGGTATAAAGACACAACTGGCCTCTAATGTAGGAGGGAACCTGACCATGGAAGGCCCCTTTAAGCGGTCTTTCCCAGGTTTACATGTGGGAATATATGAGAAATATTAGATATTTCTGCTGATTTTTCTTTGTAGATCAGCTCAAGATTAGTTCACAGTAAGATGGTTAGAATATCTGATTCAAACCTTAACGCTAATTGCTTGGTTTAGGTCTGGGCTTTGACTAGGCCATTCTGTATGGCTTATTGCTTACTTTAAAACGGGACATCCAGTTGCTTTCTTTGTAAAATTCTTACAATAAGGGAAGATTTAAGGAAATTTTCAGAGCTCATGATGTTGGTTTATAACTGTGCTTTAAACCTCTCTACATCTTTTTTTTTTCCTCACCCGTTTACTGATGCTTGGTGTTTATGATTCTGGTTGTTCACTGATGTTCTCTCTCAAAGGCTGTTCAGAACATCTGTAAAAATACCAAGATCTAACTGAATATGGGTGGAAACATTTTTTATTATACTTAATTTTATGTAGGTTCAACAGAGTAACAGAGAGCAAATATGAATGTATACCACCAAATGTCTACAGATTTCAATTAGTAAAATAAAAAAATCTTAACCTTGATCCTTTTTCTTCCATTTTACAAGAGTTTGTTAAAGTTATACTTTAAAATGACAATAAGCTTTGAAGTTTTTCACTATAGTGACTAAAAAGAGAGAAAGGATGGTAAGGTGTGATTACTTTTGCAGAGTGATATGTAGTACTAAGAGGAATAAGTTGCGTAAACAGGGCAACTAATGATTATTTTGCAAATCAGTTAATCTGTTGATTATTTTTTCAATTAATAATCAGCCAAAAGGTACTTGAAAAATACATTTTTTACTAAATTAAACCAGTGAAACTAAAACTTTTCCACTGTTATTATTGTATATTAACAAAAGTTTTTTATCTTAAATGCAAAATGTTTACATCTTGATATAATTGCTGCTCTAAGTGGGTCAGTCTGTCAACTAAAGGCATAATTTAGAGTCTATACTACAGTTAACGATTAATCGATTACTAAATTAGTTGACAATTTCAATAATTAATCACAGTTCATGTGATTAATTGTCACAGCCGATGTGTAAATATTTCTTTCTTTGGAAAGTTTTTTTAATTAAGCTCTCAACATAAAGACTTTGTTAGTCCTAAATCTCTCCTTAAATTCAAATGCTATTCCTTCATATTGCATGGAGTCTGATTTAAGAGACCATCAGAACTAAACTTTACTTTATTAACATTTAATGTTGGTTAAAAATGGAAAATATTTAAGAAACAATCGTAGGCAATAACATTTTTAATGCATGCTGTAACCATGTACTTTTATTAACATTTAAGTTAACAAACATTCTGCATATGGAACCTTTTTGTTCCAGTTATCTGTCCACATTGAACACTATTAAAGCAGAAACTAAATCATAACTATATTTTTCAGCTGGTGTTTCTGTTCCTCCTCAGGTTTTTCTATGTGACTCCGGAGCATGATGAGGCTGAGAGTGCGTAAAGCTCCTCAGCAGCCAAACAAAGGCCACCGAACGCACCCGTCCCCGGCCAAACGAAAACACAGAGAGGTGGAGCCGTCCCCGCCGAGAGGCCGAGGCAAAATGCAGAAAAATGAAACTGGGCTCCTCTCCACCATAAAGAAATTTATCCGTGGGAATGCTGTGAAGGTAAACACGCAGAGCTTTACTGCTTCTTGCTTTTATTCTGTCACCTCTATTTATTAAAATTACAGATTTTATTGTAATATTTTCTAGCTTTAGGATTCAGGAAGGATTCTATTCAACTTCATTACTTTTTTTTTTTAATCTCAAAACAGACTCAGCCTATTGTGATATTAAATCAGTAAAATTAGTTTCACGCTGATGATCGGTGGGATTACCTAAACCCATCTAATCCCGTTCCTCCTCCATGCGTTAATTTTCACTCCTCTTCTAATATTTATACTTTACACTGCAAAAATGATCTAAAAATCAGTAAAAATTTGTTAAATTAAGTGTATTTACCCTTAATTTGAGCAGATAATTAAGATGATTTGCCAATGGAATGATTATTTTGACTCTTAAAAAAAGATAATTAGATTATATGCACGTGTAATAAGACAATATAATTGTTTTCCTATTTTAAATGTAAATGTTCTTGTTCCATTGTCAAAGTGTCTCACTTACTTCCTTAATTCAAGCAAAAAATGCACTTATTTTAAGAAAAAAATCACTTATTGAGATTTAAATTTTTTGCAGTGTATAGATTAAATGCACATGAAGCTTAAGAATAAAAATTGATAAAACTTTTCATTCACATATATCTTATAGTTTAAATAAAAAATATCTAATCAGGGAATTTTAAATAAGTTCTCTAATAAAATGGAATTGGGATCATTTAATTAATGAGATTATTAAGGTTGTCTGGCATTTGTTCATATTTAACATCTACCTTGTATTATCTTCTACTTCATCTAATCAATAAAACGTATTTTATATTTTACATGGTACTATTAAAATAGAATGCATGATATCCCATAATAACCATATTGTAATATAATCTTTGAATTGTTTTATGCCTTAGGCTTGCTTTAGTTCTTAAAATTTTGTTTAGTTTAAAATTAGGTTTTACTCCTTTTATTAAAACCCCCAATTTTAAAACTGATGAATTAATTGAAACCCATCCCTTCCCCCGAACAGTCTTGAAGGGTTGTTTAATTATTAGTATTATTATTTGGATTTCTTTGTTTTTTTTTGGGCTTTTCCCCCAAATTCAAACTCTTTATTTTTTTACGAAGCAAGTTAATTTTAAGCATATTTAATGTATAAAAAGTGTTCCTGTTTTCCAGATAACCAGCTTTATTGAGACGATTAAATTTCTTATTCTAATTAAATACTTTTTTGTTTACTCAATAACTGCTTCCTTAGTCTCTGCACAGTAACTTGGATGTTACAGTCCTTAGCTTTCACTTGTTGATTTTGTCGTATATATTGAACATTGCATTAAGTCTTTATCATGTGTATTATCATGCATCAGTTTTGGGTTTTTCTTTTTTTCATTGAACTTTAACAAATTGAGTAAAGTGTCCAAATTTGACCATTTTTATTTGTCTGTTTGCTTTTAGGTGGAGCAGGAAATCCCGGCCAAGCGAAGTCGCATTGATTGTAATTCAGACGATGAGCTCATTACTTCAACGCCTCAGACCCGGGGTCTGGCCAACAAGTCGGTGTCAAGAGTTTGCAGAAAAACTCAAAGTAAAGGTAAAGCAGAGACGGCCTTCTGGTCTCTGTCCTGTTTTACGGCAAATGTAAAAGAGAAAAAAAAACATCTTTCAACTCTAAAACATTCGGTGTTCATGTTTTCTGATGAGAATGGGACTTTAGGAGGAATATGGTTAATATGATTTCAGAAGAACGGCAAAGTGTCTGATGCCTTTTATTATAGAGAACATTATTTAGTTTATTTAAGCTAAAAAATACCAGAAACTGGATTTATTGAAGCTAACTTGTGGAGACAAAAAAAAAAGTGGAAAAAAGAGTTATTCCACCTTTCTGATTCCTGATCCTCCACGGACGGGTTGGTCGTTGGATCGCCAACTTGAAGAGGGAGGATTTGCCATCGAACTTCTGGCCAGAGAAAAAACCCGTAATATGTAGCCAACATTTGGAAGAAGAATGTTTTCAAGATGACTTGGATAATAGCGCGTTGTGACAAACACCAGATACAGCACTGGGACTTGATCAACAGCCGATACCGCACCGTGACGTCACAAACCAGTAGGTGGCAGTAGTGTTCTTTGACAAACATGGATGCCTCCAGTAAAGCACATTCACATGAAAATTACTCTGAATTAAAAACACTGATCATTTATTGAACAGGATGGAATAAAATGTCCATGAATATTCCTTTAAAGTCGTAGGGAAGCGGCTGTTCCAACCGTTGCATTTCCGAATTCTCCCGAGTGGTGCCCGACTTTACACGAGTGAATAAAGTGAATTTGATTGGTCGATTATCAAGGGGGCAGGATTGTTGTGGCAGAAGGTTCGCAAGCAAATTTGGTTGTGGCCGGTTTATTGGAAGCATCATGCTAACCAGTTAGCAACTTAGTGCTAGCAGGTTCCCAATGGGAAATTCCACTAAATTGGTGACTTAGAAACGACGCTGTCAAGGAACGCTATGGACAGCGGAAACATGCAAGAGGAGGAGAGTTTAGTGTCGGAGGTCGTGGATGAGTCTCCTCCGTCATCCATTTTTTATTTAGAGGAGGAAAGCGGGGACGAAGACGTTGTGGAAGAGGACGCCAGGGCGGCAGAAGCTTGGTTTGGTGTAGAAGGCTTCCAGCCGTACATGTTTGAGCCCTTGCCTCGCAACGCTGCCAGTTCTGTTGTTCCATCCCCGTGAACACTGGGACGGAACTCAATGGGAAAGGAAAGGATTCTGGTTTCAACCGTTGCATATATTAGCTGCGACATATGAATCAAGATGCTATGACCGAAAAAATTTAACTGACAGATGAGCGTTATATATGATTGGTCGAATTTAGGTGTTCAGGCTGACGTAGAACTAACTGGCCTGCAGAAGATAACGGAAAAAAACACAGATTTTAAGACAGGATTTTTTTTTTAAATAGAAATTTTCTAAATTTTGGGGCAATATGGTCTGATAAAGACTACATTTATATACATGTTTAAGCCAGAATGATTTGACATTGACATGACTTCCCTACTACTTTAAATACACGACTCCATGTTGAGTGAAATCCAGAAAATCAACTGAAGAGCTTCATTCAAGCGGCAAATAAATTGGAGCGATCCAAGTTTGGGTTTGCTTTTTTTCCTACAGTGTCTGATTTCCAAAGCAGAGGGTGCAAATAAAAAATAGAGACGGACACAATTATATATATTTGTATTAATTAAATCTTATAATGTATTGTTTATTTTATAGATGCAACGACCTGCAACAGTAAACCTATGAAACCAAATGGTAAACTGGAGGCTACAGTAGACTCACCGAGCAGCCCGCCACGCACAACCCTCCTAGGAACCATCTTCTCTCCAGTTTTCAACTTTTTCTCACCAGCAACTAAAACTGGTAGGGAATAGAAACAACTTGTCAGCTTTATTAGGCCGTAAAGCTACTGAAATGTCATTTGTGTCACTTTAAGCCACTCCAGGCTCAGATTCGCCGGGCCAAGCCATGGAGGCGGAGGAAATCATTAAACAGCTGGACATCGAGCAGGCAGAAGAAATGCCAAGCAGTACTCTGACATCCAGGGATGGAATCACTCCGTGTCACACCATCCAGATGTCGCCTCAGAGGCTTCAGATCCCCTCCGAGACGACCATCGAAGAAGGAGAAATCGTCACTGAAACGGACATACCCCCATTAACAGGTAACCAAGTTTCTTTTTATTATTATTGACAAAACAACAACATGACGTTTTCTGCTTTTGGACAGACCTCTTCATTATAATGTCGGGCTTTTTGGTTTAAATAGAGCTCATTTTTAATTCTCTGTCTGCAGCTCCTGGGTGTATGCCAGATGGCAGCTACCAACACTCTTTACCTTCAGCACCTGCAGAAACCTCGTATGAGGAGGACTGGGAGGTTTTCGACCCGTAAGTTGATTTAAAACAAAAAAAAACATCAAAAAAACATTATTTATTTTTAATAAAATTCAAGTTTCCAGGTTTTCATAATGGGAAGCTTCTGACCACTAGGTGGCAGCAGAAAGCTGTGTTATTGTTTCAGCTCACAGTTTTACAGCTAAACCTCAAAAATTATTTTAAAAATATATATATTTTACAAAATCTTTTGTACTTTTCTGTTAGGGCTGGTCGATACGTCTTAAAATAAAAAAAATAAAAAATAAATAAATAAAACTGTATTTTTCCCCCTACCAAGTCCGATTATTAGATTTATTTATTTATTTTCCTTTATGGTTATGATAAAAATGACTTTTAAAACTAGCTTTAATTTTGGTTCATTCCCTTTAGGAGGTGACCTTAATTTAAAGAGAAACGATTCAAGTTGTGAAAATGCTTGCTAAACAACGTTTCACAGCAAATAATGAAAATGATAAACAGAATGTTTGCAGCCAGTGGTGTTACACAGTCAGCAGATTTATAAGTAATCATCTAATAACAAGAACGGAGGAACTGATGTCATCCAGGGCTGTGGAAGCCCAGGAAGTGCTTTGGTGGGAATAAAAAAAATATCCAGATTTTCCCAAAATGTAATCTTCATTTCCATCAATCATCCTCTCCTGGTATCTTTACGTCTCTGACATCAGAAAAGTGAAGGACTGAATTTCAATTAAAGTTATGAAGATAAAAATGACGACAAATGAAGACTTTAGATATTTCAATGTGTGTCATTAATCCTTATCATGTTTTACTTTCTGACCAGAATGAGAAAAAAATGACTTTTGCCCAATTGTCAAATATTTTAAGCTGTTCCTGCCTCATTAGTGCCTCATTTCTCTGGCCTCTTTCGGCTCTTTCAGTCAAACCTGTCATCCTCCATGTCCCCTAAGGACAGTTTTCATAAAGTGTTTTCAGTAACTCACAACTTCCTAATATTTCTAGCAAAAAAAAAAACTGGTATTGAATCTTTGAAGCAAGTTTCTGATCACAGCTAATAATAACTTGGCTGCAGGACGAAGCCGTTTAACCGATTTCCTACTATTTAACCCTTTATAGGGCAATTTAGCATTTTTGATCACTTGCATTCCCCTTACAAATGGAGTCCCCACCGCCCCTCAGTGACGTCTAGAAGCACAAGATCTATATCCAGCCATTCAGCAAAGAGCTTGCTACATGGCTGTACATCTTATTTTGGCTTTTGACCAATAAGATGAGCCCTTGAATTATAGATTCCACTGGAAATTAACTTGAAAGAACAAAGTTAAGAAAAAAGGTAAAAAGTTCATTGAAAAGTAAAAAAGTTAATAAGCCTTGTTAACAATTATATTTAGGTTTATTAACTAAAAAATGTCAGTGCTAGTGTCAGCATTAATACCTTGTAAGGTTATTTGGACCAAATAAAACATGTTTCTTTCACTTTCAGATAGGGTTGTCACGATACTAAACTTTTCAACTCGATACCGATGCTAAGGAAAATATTCGATACTCGATACCATTTTCGATACCACAAGAATAAAAACAAAGACTCCAAAATTCAACAGAAATATTTTCATTAATAAATAAAATACAATAAACAATAAGAACAATGTTTTGAGGTTGTATGCTGTGCACAATATTAAGCAAGCTTGATAAAAAACTTGGCACTGTATCAATACTTTTAAAAACGAGTATTGTATCCGGATACAACATTTCGGTATCGATACTTTTGACAACCCTACTTTCAGAGAGCTTTTTATGAATTTCGTATAGAAGCACTTTTATTTGTCTTAATATATTCGGGCAAGTTGGCATTTCTTTTTTTTCTTTTTTTTTTCTCTCTTAGTTTTATATTTTATTTGAACCCAAAGCAGAAAAGCAGTAAACAATTTATCACTAGAAGTGTGAAATCTCATATCCTCCACCGGCATCTTCTGTTTCTCTGCAGGTACTTCTTCATCAAGCATGTGCCTCCGCTGACAGAAGAACAGTTAACGCGTAAACCAGCTTTACCTTTGAAAACACGCAGCACACCCGAGTTCTCGCTGGTCTTGGATCTGGTAGGAAGTGGAATGTTTTTTTTTGTTTTTTTTTTTTAAATCTTTTTAATTAGCTTTTTTATAATTCTTTCATCTTCCTGCCAGGATGAAACCTTAGTCCACTGCAGTCTGAATGAATTAGAAGATGCAGCCCTGACATTCCCTGTGCTCTTTCAGGATGTAATCTACCAGGTAACTTTAGGAAAAAAGCCCGTCTGTTATTAAAACCTCTCAGGTTTTTATCCACATTAACAAAAACTCTGCTTGCCTTTGAATTCTCCAGGTCTATGTCCGATTGAGGCCCTTTTTCCGAGAGTTTCTTGAGCGCATGTCTCAGTTGTACGAGGTGAGGTTCTTCTCTGCGGCCGGCGGTTTTTCTTGGTGTCGCTGAATCTCATTACAGCTTAAATTAAATTTAAAAAAAAAAATGTTTGCCTTCAAATTTCAGATTATTCTCTTCACTGCTTCAAAAAAAGTCTATGCAGATAAGTTGCTCAACATACTGGATCCGAAAAAACAGCTAGTAAGGTAAGTTAGCTCAATTTAAAAACAGCTTTTAGAAAAGAGTTTAACTTTATATCTTCTCAGAATTTAATAACTATATTTCATATATCTAATGATTATATAACAGTAATAAAAAAACTATTTAATCATCAATTATAAAATGGTTAATTTTGTATTATTTATTACCCCTTATTAACATCACTTAACGTGTTTACAGGATGTAACCACAGTTTATGTTGTTAACCCTTTTATTGCTGGTGAGCATTCTCCTCCAGGTCAAAAAAAACAATCCGCTGGACTTTGTTTCCAAGTTTTAAGACGAAGAACGCAAGTATGGACCTGTGTCCTCCTCGCCAAGTATGTTCTTGAGAAGAAAACAGGAAAGTGTGGACTTGGGGAGAACGGGAGCATGCAGCATAAATCTGGGTCAATTGGAACAGAACTGATGACATCATCGCACGCTCTGCTCGTCTGGAGCTGCTTTTCACTTGTTACTAATAGTCTCTAGATAAAAATAAATGTTGACTTTTTCTTTTGTTGGGGGAATAATAGTTAACAGTCAGATAAAAACAAATCAAATGAACATTTTTCAATAAAAAACAAACTCGCCATCAGAGCCAGCGGTTCTTCGCAGACGGCTATACTGAGAGAGGACTGCCGCAGGCGGGCTAACGTTAGCCCTGGCTGTCCTTGGAGGGCCACTGGTTGCCGCGGTCCTCTCAACTTCAGAATTGTTTTTTAATTACGCAGTAAATCAGTAAATGGGCCATATAGTGCATTTAAAGTATACTGGTAATGTTCTCGCCTCAAATGATCTTAAAATGTACTTTTATTGAACAACGGCAACAGAACAGAAGACTTTCAACTTAATCCTCTGAGCTCTGTGAGCGCTAACCTGGAAGCTGCTGCTGCTGCAGTGCATGCTGGGACAGCTGTCAGTCTGCTCTGATGCATGCTGGGTAAAGAGGGAGGGGAGTGAACAACATCCAGGGACTTTGTCCGTTCTTGGTCTTCTTGTTCTTGTGAATTGGAACAGGGCTGAAGCTGAAGACGTTTCACGAGTACATTAGAACGCACAGATTGAGAAACAGCCAAAGTCTTGTTTTGTCATAGAAAACTGGGCTAATGTGTCCGCCCCTTTCGAATGGACGGTCGTTTGCCTTCTCCAAAGGGTGAACTGGTTCAATTTGCATGTTTTCTAAACCAAAACAAGGCTTTGTTTTAGTCCACTCTATAAAACCTGGAACTTAACGCTATTTCTGCCATTTTGAATTGAAAAAGCTTCCTGGATGGAAGAGAAACGTCTTCAAACTTGGAAACAAAGTCCAGTGGATTGTTTTCTTTTTTACTTTTTTGTAGTAACCCTTCTGTTATTTATTTTTTCCTCAGACATAGACTGTTTCGGGAGCACTGTGTTTGTGTTCAAGGAAATTATATCAAAGACCTGAACATTCTCGGACGGGATCTGGCAAAGACGGTCATAATCGACAACTCCCCCCAAGCCTTTGCCTATCAGGTAAAACCGTGTCACCGGAAGCAGAAAGACAAACTGGTGTTGGTTTTTGGTTATTTTTCTTCCCCCCACGGTTCTCCACCAATGAGATTCAATCATGAATTTTGTCTTTTTCAGCTAACTAATGGAATCCCAATCGAAAGCTGGTTTGTGGATAGAAACGACAATGAGCTTCTAAAGCTCATTCCTTTCCTTGAGAAGCTGGTGGAGCTGGTATGTATTTGATCGAACCACTCGGCTCCGTGGAGCCTGATGTTTTCTAGAGGTTTGGGATTAAACTTTAAAGCACGAAACTAAGGCACGGGGTTTAGCGTTCTGTAAATTTGTATTTTTTTTTCTTTTCTAAAGCTTTCGACAGTTTAGATCTCAATAAATTGGTCAGAGAGAGAGGGGGGCGGTTTACAGTAGATGGTTAACAGCAGGGTTTCAGGTCTAGTCTCAGTTCATTGGGCGCCTGCTTAAGACGGCGTATTCCTGACGTCCCAAATCTTCTAAAAGGTTGGCATACGCTGAACTTTCTATGTATTTTTTCAATTTTTGGTGTATACATAGAGTATTCATAAGGTGTCCAGCGACAGCCTGACTTAAACATAACGCACAGCATCAGTTAAAGCTGCTTCCATTAAAGCTACAGTGTGTAATAATTACAGGCATATAAATTCAGAAATTTAATATATTATACATAACTATGTTATTTATCATCACCTATGAGCTCAGCCTTTTAACCATAACATTTGCGTTGCCTTAGAATTCGTTATTTATAATTACATAGGAGCGGGTCTCGCAGCCATGGAGGCTGACATCTTTGCGCTACGGCAGCGCAGAGGCAACAAACTAGCGATTGCGAGATCTCCCATGACGCTCGAAAATAACTACGGCAAGTTGAGAGAGATGAACTGAGACGGTACTGAACAGTAGATGGCAGTATTATGCCTGAGAAGCGTTTAGTCTGCCTGAAACCAAAGAAGAAGAAGAAGCAGGTATACTGCGCCTCGGTAACAAGAAAGGTAAACAAGGCGGCAGGCGTGAGTGACTTTGCAAACTGTTTGGCACTGTGTGGCCAAACATCAGACGAATGGAGGATCATGCCTACTCTGTATCACAACGAAAAGCGGCGGACACCGAACCCCCGTCATCTAAGAAGCGGAAACACGACGAGAATAAACGCAAGAGTGACAAGAAACGACAAAAAACACGGATCAACATTGGCACGGCATTTACACGATGGAAGTCACTGATGGAGGAAAAAGGTTTTCAAAGTGACGCTCAAGTTGCCAGTTTTCTCTTGGACAGGTAATTAATCCTATACACACAATTGTCTAATATCACTGCAGTTTTTGGAGTACAGGATGCTCAGACCTGTCTAAAACAATAACATGCTGCGTGATGATGCTGTTACTCTCCAGTATACTTATTCAGCAACGTCCCTGACGTTTCACAGGTAATGATTCAGTTATTTTCTGTAAAATAATTTTCTGGATATATACCTCGGTTACTTCTCTCCGGCTCCTTTGGAGATCTTCAAGCCTTTCCTCCTCTGCTCTCACCCCGCTGGCTCCCCTCTCTCGCCTGGCCCCAGCTGCACGCTCACCCCGGCCTCTCTGCCCTCTTCCTTTCCCTCTTCCTTGCCTTGTAACCCCCGTGCCACAAACAAGACTTGGACTCTGTAAACGGGGAATATATATTCTTCCAGCGAACACAATCTCGCTGTTAAACTAATGACTACAATTACTTCGTCTGTTTATATCACCATGCAAAGCAGCTCACCAAAACGTCACAACGACGTAGAAAAAATAACGGGTATATTTATTATCTTAAGTCTACATGAAATCTATACCCTACACAGACTAATGAAATACTATCTGTAAAATTATCTATGTAAACAAACCTCATCACTTGAGAAGGTAGGTGATGCGGACGTCGTGGAAGACATTTTGTCCCGTAACGCTCGCCGTACTGTTGGTGGGGGGGAGACGTTCATGTTGCTGCAGTCTGCAGTCTGACCGCTAGATGTCGCTGAAAATTACACACTGTAGCTTTAAGCGCAGAGCAGCGATGTTCCCCGGTCTGCATCCAAAGATGTCTTTGACATGCTATTGACCTAGAAGTAAGCTGCTGCTTAACCCGCCCTAAACAAAATAATGGAAAAAAAAGAAAAAAAGGTAGATAAGCCCTTTAAAAGGAGTGAGTCTACTTTAACCCCCCCCCAATTGGTGTTTGAGCCGCTTTGAGCCTTGGCTACCTGATAGCAAAATATTCCAATTGCGGCAAAAAAAAACAACAACACTGCAACCCAATAGAATGAATTCCAATTTAGTCATCAATCGTTTACATCAGCGGTCCCCAACCTTTTTTGCGCCACGGACCAGTTATACGTCAGATAATATTTTCACGGACCGCCCTTTAAAGTGTGGGGGGTAAATACGATCAAATAAAATGATACGACTGGCATAAGATCAAATACAAACAGCATAAAAATAAAACTCACCATTATGTTGAATTAGTGGGAGCACTGAGCTTGTTTCTCCAAAACAAACCGGTCCCATCTAGGCGTAATCGAAGACAATGACAGACCAAGTGTGCTCCTGATGTCCAGTCTGCTCCGTAGCTTTGTTTTGGTCGCTGTAACCGCAGAAAATCCCGCTTCACAAAGATAGGATGTTATAGATAGGATGAGACTGGATCTGAATTAACCTGTGTCAAGAGGCACAGATGCACCGACTGATGGAATTGGGAGAGAATACCCTAATGTTTTGTATTTTTCAAAATAAAACACCACTCAGACTCTGATCGTCGATAAAATATATATAAATATATTTTTTTTTTCCTGTGCGGCCTGGTACCAAATGAACGACGGACTGGTACCAGTCCGCAGCCCGGTGGTTGGGGGCCGATGGTCTAAATGACCAGGTTTTTTGATTGGGGCACCAAAACACTATTTTAAAATGATGCCGAGTTCTTGCCAGGTTCAAGTAACTTTCAATTCAGTTTATTTCTATAGCGCCAGTTCACGCCACATGTCATCTCAAGGAACTTTCTAGTTCACCAGATCATCCAGTCAGATTGATTACACTGGAAAAATAGAAATTAAATTAAAGTAATTTTTTCTTACAATAAGTGCATTTGTTCTTGAATTGAGGAGGTAAAAGAGACATTTTGCCAATGGAACAAGACAATTTACACTTAAAGCAAGAAAACACAATTGCATTGTCTTATTTCAAGTGCAAATTCTCTAATTATCTTATTTTAAGAGTAGAAACACTCACTCCACTGGCAAACTATCTTATTTACCTACTTAGAATAAGGATAAATACACTTAATTTAAGAGATTTTTACTTATTTCTAGATCGTTTTTGCAGTGTAGAAGTTTTCTATCTAAGGAAAACCAGCTGATTGCATCGACTCATTGACGCTTCAGCAATCCCTCACACTAAGCATGCTTGTAGCGACAGTGGAGAGGAAAAACTCCCTTTGAACAGGAAGAAACCTCCAGCAGAACCAGGCTCAGTGTGAGCGGCCATCTGCTGAGGCCCACTGGGGTTCAACGAGACACTTTAAATTTATGCTTCCTTTCAGCTGGAGTCTTGTGGATTTGGAAATAATTTTCCTCAAGTTTTGCAATAGTCAAACTTCCCCTATAGATGCTAGAAGACCTGAACTCTTCTTCCTCTTATTTTTCTTTTTTTTTAATTGAATTCTTCTGTCACAGAATGAAGACGTCAGACCGCACATCAGAGAACAGTTCCGTTTGCACGACCTCCTTCCTCCAGACTGAGGAGCCTCCGTTCATGCGTCACTTCAACATTGTTTGTGGGAAAGACTCGGCAGAAGGAGATGTTCAGTGGTTTTCTGTTTGCGTAAACATTGCCATAGCTTAAAAAAAAAAAAAAAGAAGAAAAAACAAGCTCTGATTCAAAACATCCTGGGTGTTGAACAGGAGCAGAAGACCTTCTGGAGGGTAGTTTGTCTCTAACACAACCATTTTGGATTGACAGAAGTGAATGTGGCGTGACGTCGGTTCGTACGGACCTCGTTGGTTCCAGCCTGACTTTAAGGGGCCGGGCAAACCTGTATATTATTCATTCTGGTTACTTGTAAATAATATGTATATAACTGTTTTTTGTTTTGTTTTTTTCTCTAAGGTTTTTAAGTCGTTTTATTTTCACTTTGGATTTTAGTATGTACTCTTTTGATCGGTTGCTTTTTATAAAACCCACAAACTCTTGTGTTTTCTTTAAAACTGTTAAGCAGATGCTTATTTTTTTTTTCCTGTTGTATGCCTGCAGTATTCCTGTGATGCTTTTCCCCGTAACATGCAGTCGTCTGTAATAAGGTCCAGTTTTTAAAAAGAAAAGAAAAATAAGACTGTTTCTGAAAGGTTTTAAAATTAAGATATATAAGCTAGGATAAGGTCTCAAACGAATACAAAGCCATAACGGCCAAACAATAATTTTAGAGATTTGTTTCCGAGTATCCATTTCTGATTTCGACACTTTGATCGTCCTCTTTGTGGGGTGCGGGGGGGGGTTCAGGCATCTTGCACTTTGACTTCCAGCCCTTTGTAAGTTGATATAATAAAATCTTGTCACTTTTCTACACTGGTGTCAATCACCTCAATTTGATATTTAGGGGGAAGATAAAATTTGTAGCACCAGCAAATGACCAACATTGCTTTCAAATCTCGTTTTCCAAACATCTTATTTGTCAGATCTCTGTAAGAGTCACAGGTTTAATTGACTATTGAATGATCACTCCTGGTGTATTCAGTGTTACTCAATGGATCTCTGAAAATAAATACATTTTTATACGACTTTAACGTTTCCTTTTTGATAGGAATATTAATGCATTTAGAATAGAAATACTTTATTTTATGTTTGCAGAAATTTGTCTTTGGCTTGCTCACACACGACAGTCATAAAATAGATTAAAATACAATTATAAAAGAGTTAATTGCAGACAGAGCAGCAGATTCACTTGATCAAGGAAAAGGAAGCAGAACAAATGCTGATGAAGGTTCTCAGTCATCCAGGGGTCATAGTCATTGCAGAACAGACTGAGAAATGTACAACTTGTTCAACTCTTTGATGGCAGAGTGAACAAAATCATTTCTGTACACATTTTCTGGGCATAAGGAAGTCGGACTCTGCCGTGATGGAAGGAGCTCAAAGTGACGGGAACGTGAATACAGTGCAAATGTGTGGGGACATAAAATGTCCAAATAAAATTTCTTACTCTATAGACTCTTTACTATAGAAGAAAAACAATCTAATAAAAATCTGCCATTTTTTTTACTCCGTATTTTAAATACTGAAATTTTTAAACAGAATTTTAAACACTGAATTTTTATCTGGTAAAAATTCACTTGCAAAAAATTCAGCTGCAAAAAAATTGCCTGCAGAAATTCAAAGTTTAAAATTCGGTATATAAAAAAATATATATTTCAATGAGACTGTTTTTCTTCCATACCGATTTCTCAGATGATTAAAATATTACATTATGAGGTAACATATGGCCTACATACTGGAAGACTATACTATATATCTATATATATATATACACTCACCGGCCACTTTATTAGGTACCCCATGCTAGTAACGGGTTGGACCCCCTTTTGCCTTCAGAACTGCCTCAATTCTTGGTGGCATAGAGTCAACAAGGTGCTGGAAGCATTCCTCAGGGAGTTTGGTCCATATTGACATGATGGCATCACACAGTTGCCGCAGATTTGTCGGCTGCACATCCATGATGCGAATCTCCCGTTCCACCACATCCCAAAGATGCTCTATTGGATTGAGATCTGGTGACTGTGGAGGCCATTTGAGTACAGTGAACTCATTGTCATGTTCAAGAAACCAGTCTGAGATGATTCCAGCTTTATGACATGGCGCATTTCCCTGCTGAAAGTAGCCATCAGAAGTTGGGTACATTGTGGTCATAAAGGGATGGACATGGTCAGCAACACTACTCAGGTAGGCTGTGGCGTTGCAACGATGCTCAATTGGTACCAAGGAGCCCAAAGAGTGCCAAGAAAATATTCCCCACACCATGACACCACCACCACCAGCCTGAACCGTTGATACAAGGCAGGATGGATCCATGCTTTCATGTTGTAGACGCCAAATTCTGACCCTACCATCCGAATGTGGCAGCAGAAATCGAGACTCATCAGACCAGGCAACGTTTTTCCAATCTTCTATTGTCCAATTTCCATGAGCTTGTGCAAATTGTAGCCTCAGTTTCCTGTTCTTAGCTGAAAGGAGTGGCACCCGGTGTGGTCTTCTGCTGCTGTAGCCCATCTGCCTCAAAGTTCCACGTACTCGGTTTGAACTGCAGGAGATTGTCTTGACCATGTCTACATGCCTAAATGCACTGAGTTGCCGCCATGTGATTGGCTGCTTAGAAATTAAGTGTTAACGAGCAGTTGGACAGGTGTACCTAATAAAGTGGCCGGTGAGTGTAGATATATCTATATATGATAAGGATTGATGATAAAGCATATTTATGTGATGAGGATGCATCACTTAAAATTACCGTTATACCTATGGTTAAAAGAATTATTTTTAATTGTTTGTATTCAAACTAATAATCTGGATCAAGAGTTCATTCTGGTTCCATTTTCTGAGTCAGAAACCCAAAAGTTTGGGAACTGAAATAAAATTTTTAAAAGTGAATAAAAATATATATCAAAAAATGAATGGAGATGTTTTCTGTTTGCAATTCACTAGTTTTTTCCCCCCCTCCTAAATGAAACTTAATTTAGGAGGAAATAGACTTTACACGGTAGAAGGCAAAAGGCTTCATGCTCCAAACATCCGACGTGCACAAAAGTTAATTATTCAGCCAGATTTTGTTGCGCTGTGAATCTATAGAAGTTCTACTTTTTAAGTTGATGTGCAAAACTGAAACCACCTTTTCAGTGATGCTCTAATTCATCGCTGAGTTTAGCCAAAAATACGTTTTTTCTTTTTATTCAGATGGTTTGCTTCTAATCTGGTCTCTCAAAAGATGAAAGCAGTAAGAAAGGATTAGCAGTTTTTAAAAGATGTAATCCTGATATTATATTTTTAAGAGTAAAAACATATTTTTCAGTAATCTTCACAAGAAAATCGTAATTGGCTCTGCAGCAATCAAATCAAACCCTTCTTCTCTCTGCTGACCTGCTTTCTGTATCTAATTATTTATCGTTTTATCTTTTTCTGACGAGCTCCATGGTTGGAAGGCCTCCTTACCATCACCCTAATCATTTGCTCCCTCCACACACGGTTCATGTCAGGGCTGTCTGGATCGCTTCAAAACATTTATATTAACTTCTCTTAGAAGAAACCTTTGGGTTAAATTATATAAAAGAATGTTTTGGGTTTTAATTTCATTTATTTATAGTAGTGTTGCACCGATACCAGTATGGGGCGGGGCCCCGATCCAGCACTGAAATGGTGGTATTGGTATTGGCGAGTGCCAACCAATAGGGCACCGATACCATTTTGAGAGCCAGAAGTTTATTCAACTATTGTCACCCATTCTAGGTAAAAAGTTCTACTGGATTCACTTTGTTTTAGTCTGTTTCCTGCTTAACGAAGGTAGGCAGCAGCTTGACATTAGCCTCGTGAGACCATCCTGATCTCGCGAGCTTTCAAGGTTTCACTCGCAGATCAGTCTGGAGACTCTCCGTTAAAGACAATTTGGAGCCGTTCACCAAACGAACGTCCAATCAGCGTTGGCTTTGAGGCGGGTTGAGGTGTGACGCAACGAGAAGCGCGACAGTTCAGTCTAAAGAACATGGCGGCTTCAGCCGATGAAACTAGCGTTAGCGTGGCTATCGAGCAAGTTTTATGGGAATTACAGAGTATTTCTGCACTGAAAGAAGAGCAAAACACTGCTCTGGAGGCTTTTCTCAGAGGAAAAGATGTTTTTGCTCTTCTCCCGACTGGTTTCGGCAAGAGTTTGATCTATCAATTGGCTCCTCTTCGTCGTCGCTCTGTTAGTACGTCATATGCTTCGTTGATCTGATTGGTTTATTTGGCCCGTCTATCACCAACATAGGCCAATCAGCTAACCAGTATTTTCGCCCCTTCCCAAAATTACTTCAACCGAAGGTTTCCAGATGGATATGGGGAGCAAATCCATCTGGCGGAGTCAGGTTAGCATGACAAAGCTTTGATGGAAATTATTTTACATCCAAGTAGTCTGCAGTTCTTCATATTTACACACAGATGGTATCGGTATCGGCTGAAACTGCACGGCCAAGTATCTTTCATCGGTATCGGGGTCATAAAATGGCATCGGCGCAACACTAATTTATATTATATTAGACTTCAGGCAAGAATGGATACAGATTTCACAATATATTGGAAGGATCTGAAACTTGGCAAAAATCTATTAAAACAAAAAGGAACTTCAGTTTTACTGAAAATAGAGGTAATCTGAAATAACGGAACACATTTTGTTCTCAATTAGTCAGTTTGATTTATTCATAGAATTTAACATAAACAAAAGAAACTATTATGCACTATGGTTGACTTATAAATGGAATACAGAGGAAAGGGAAACGATGGTCCAATTTACAGACTCCATCGTCTTTCCTTTAATTGGTAACACGTGAAATGTATTCTATATTGAAGAGATTTATGGAATCTTCCTCAGTTTTTATAAGGAAAGACAAAGAGGATTCATGGATGGTGATGCAGAAGTTCTGCAGAGCTGATTTAATGCGGTGAAACATAAATGTTATGATGTTTAAATGTTTTAAAGTCTTCCGCTCTTTACAGTTTTTTTCTGTTTTCTAGCTACTATTGAACTTCTAATGTTATTAGTGTGAGCTTTATAACTATTAACCCATAAAGATTCAACGCGTTAACGTCATGGCAGCGATGGTTTCACCTGACTTTTACTATTATGCAATTTTAAATAATTCCCTTAAAAATATATAACAATTTATTGGTGAAATGTTCCTATCGTTAAAACGTTCACTTTCTGTCTTTTAGTTTGAAATTTAAAATAGCTTAGAAGGAATGAGACTTTTAACAAATAATATTTTACTGATTTTGAATAATTATGGTCAAATTTTTTACATTTTGGTCTATTTTATGTAGTTTAATCATAAAATAAAATGCATTCACATCTAAACACTTTTTGTTGGATTCCTTCTATTTTGAGTATTTTAACATTTGCTTAAATGTTAATTTACTTATCCAGATAAAAAAACTTTCAAGAAATTTCTGAAAAGAAAAAAAATGTTTTGTAGAAATAAAAAAACCTTCTTAAAAAGCAAAAAAATAAATAAAAAATAAGTGCTTCTTTTAGTGTAATGAAAACATATGGAAACACAGTTGTTAAAATGTTTTTATACATTTAATATATTTTCTAAACTAAATAACCAAAGCAGATGGATTTTAGATAGTTTGCTGTTTTATACCAATTTGAACAATAAAACCGAAGAAAAAGATTTTCTTTCTCCAACATAAAATGAATTCTTATGACCAAAGGAATTCATTTTTCCATAAAACTTCAAAAGTTACAAAAAGTCAGAAAAAAATCCAATAATCGCGTTTTAGAAAAAATATTTCTGAAAACTGCAAATTTTACAGTAAAAACTTTTTTTTTCATTATAGTTTTAAACACTCAATATGGGCAAACAAAAATAAATTTTAATGGATCAAATCTAAAATCAAACTTTAGTCTTGATTTACCAGTTTAGTTCTGTAATAAAATATAATGAAAATAAAATGTAATTCATCTAAAATCTAAATATCTTCCACCGCCCAGAAGTTCTGCCTTTTTTGTTTTTCTATCTGCACTAAAACTTTTATTTTCTATCTATCTATCTATCTATCTATCTATCTATCTATCTATCTATCTATCTATCTATCTATCTATCTATCTATCTATCTATCTATCTATCTTTTATGTATCTATTTAAGAATTATTATATAATCCAACAAATAAAAAAAAATTTCAGCAAAATATTTCAGACCCAGTGTGATAAATGTTTGTTTGATCTAAAGGTTTTAGGTTGTTTATAAAATAAAACCCCTCAAAAATAAAAATAAAACTGGTACCTGAAATAAATAATTACTACACAAACAAGTCGATTTATTTTATTTCAATGAAATAATGTTTGACTCTGAATCATTTCATAGATCACTGAATATTTTCAACAATAATTCCTCATTAATTAATTTTATAAACAACTAATTTAACCAGACTTTACTTTTATAGAACCACTCGATCACATTTTTATCACATTTTAATCGAAGAAGCCTTCCAGGAAAATAAAGGCACAATTATAAAGAGAATTTCATGAAAATAATAAATAATGTTTAAGTATAGAGAAAATAAACATGAAAGCAACAAAGAAATGTAAACAGTTTTATGTATATATCCATAACACACACACATATATATTTTTATATATATATATATATATATATATATATATATATATATATATATATATATATATATATATATATATTCTTTTTAGTTTAAACGGCTTAGAAAATGGATTTCCAGCGTCAGTTCTTTGAATATTTTCTTGCTTCATAATCTGGGATTATGAGGACCACCTGCTTTTTCAAAATATCTAAAAGATGCTAAACATTTTCTAAAATGATATTTAAATTTGATGATTTGACAGAAAGGTGTAAGAACCTGAGTTGTTGGCTGAGCAGCGGGATATATCGGGAACCGTCGTTTATTGTTCACATCCTGCCAGTTTTTACTCACCGGTTGTCTTGATCAGATAACCTGTTGTTGTCTCAATCTTTTGTTCTTTTGAGAAACGGGTCATTACCTGATCGTAATTGTACAGTGAATTGCCCCCTCAGAGGTCATGTGACTCCAAACACAAAGGGGGCCAGTCTTTCCAGCTTCATCTCGCTTATCTAACTGTGTTCAGGAGAACAAATTGTTTCTTAAGAAAACTCTTTCTGTTGATAGTGTGAAGATAAGATGAGGGGCTGATCAACACCCCCCCCCCCCCCCCCCCCCCCCCCCCCCCCCCCCCCCCCCCTCCTCATCTATTGGCTGCCACAGGAGGTTGTGCCTCACAGAGCCTGACTGGTTTGACCCTCCAGGTCCTCATGACTATAAAAGCTGCCGGGTTCCCTCCACTGCAGGACTGCAGGGCGTAAACTCCAACATGTGGACGCTCCTCCTTGTGTGCTGCCTGTTAGGGGTGTTGGGGACAGAGGACATCCTCCCTGGGGACGCCCGGCAGCTTCAGACCCTACACTGCCCGCCCTGCGAGCAGATACACTGCTCCTCCAAGCGGGCGCTGAGGCTCCAGTGCAAAGGTGGCGTCACGACGGGCGTCTGCGGCTGCTGCCCCGTCTGCGCCCGGATGGAGGGGGAGACCTGCGGGGGGAACTGGGACTATCTGGGGAAGTGTGACGAGGGGCTGGTGTGCATTCATCAGGCGCCAGCAGCTGATAAACCAGGAGCAGAGAGGAAGGGGGTCTGTAAGGCAGGTGAGCTTAACGCCCACATTTATACGTTTTCTCACTTTATGAGAGAAAATGATTGAAAATGATGAAGATTTTAAAGTTAAACTGAGATGAACTGTAATAAATTAGCATATTTTTAGCTACTGGTGCCTTAAAAATATGTAATGTATTTATATACATCAAATTTAACAGATAAAAAAGCTTTTTTTACGGCAGTTTTCCAAATGGCCACACTGGAAAAAATCGAAATCTAGATAAGTAATTTTTTCTTAAACTAAGAGCATTTGTTCTTGAAATGAGGAGTTAAAAGAAACATGTTGCCAATAGAACAAGACAATTTAGACTTAAAATAAGAAAACACAATTGCATTGTCTTATTTCAACTGCAATTTATCTAATTATCTTATTTTAAGAGTAAAAATACTCATTCCATTGGTGAACTATCTCATTTACCTACTCAAATTAGGGATAAATACACTTAATTTAAGACATTTTTACTTATTTTTAGATCGCTTTTCCAGTGCAATAAGGCTTTCTGCTCAGGGCAGCATGGATTAAAGGGCGTCAAAACAAAGATCTGTCAGTTGACTCGTTTATGAACTATTACCTGTTTGCATTTTCATAAAGAACTTCCTATTATCTAGAAATGTTGACTGGTCAGACCTTAACTAGAATACATTAGGAATTTCTATATTCTACTTCTATTTTTGTGAAAACAGACATAGAACTTTTAATAACTTTTTGCAGTTGCTGCCAATTAAGATTAAGAGAAAAATAACCATATAGACAGAGATTATTCTATAGCAACTTCAGATGGTTTTAAGAAGTTTGCAATCTCCTGCATTTCTTCAATCGAAAAAAAAACAAACCTTCCATGTTTTGCCAAATTCATTTTGATCATTTTTTATAATTTTTTCTCTATTGTTTAATTTTATTTGGGGTTTTTATGGAGTGGCACAAAGAGCCGTTCTCTTTCTATCTGAGTTTTAGATTCTGGCATTAAAGCACGGAAACAGCTGATAGAGATTATTATTATTATTTTATTTTTTTAAATATGGAATGCTCCATTCCTGATGCTACCCTGGGCCCAGGGGGGGATTTACCATTAGGCAATACTAGGCAGTTGCCTAGGACCCCAAGTTCCTGGGGGGCCCTATAAAACTCTGTTAAAATATATGGCTAACACACCTATTCCTTACTTGTGCACTTTAATTATTTTTTTGATAAAAATCTTTTCGCTAAAAGGACAGCAGCAAACATTTGAAAAAAAAAAAGATGCAAAGAGCGATGTCGCATTTTAACGACTTTTTAGGCTCCTCTAGCACTTTAATTTAAAAAAAGCTCCTAGCGCCAAATTTAGCGACTTTTTTCTGCTACTGGAGACTTTGGCGACTACATTCATAGGGCCCCCTGCCTGTCTTTGCCTAGGGCCCCAATTTTCCTAAATCCGCCCCTGCCTGGGCCACCGCCCCTGCACACTCCGTTGCATTCGATCTGTACGTGGGGTTGCAATGGGAACGACGCCAATATGGTAAACTACGTTTATGAGCTGCGAAGGCTGATAGCGTGGTCAAGGCTTCCTTTGATCCAAAGGCTTCCGCTCACATAATCATACCTCTTATCTGTCGGTGATGAAAAGAAGTGTCACCGTCACCGATAGGAATCGATGTCATGCATCCTACAGCAGGAGCTTCTGGGGATTTTGTTTTAGAAAACTGGGCTGATTGTATTTCCTGTTGCACAGTGATTGAAAGCCTGAACCCAGAGAGCTGCAGCCCAGAATGCACCAAGGAGTACTGCCAGGCTAACCCCGCTGCAATCTGCTCTGCCAGGTGACTACATTAACCCTGCAGTCCAAGCCTTTTATAATCTGTCTGGATTGGAAACTGTAACTGTTATTTTTGCAGGTTTGCATCCCTTGAGAAGAAGGCATGCCAGGGCTCCTGCCAGCACACCTCCTGCTCCAGCTGCCTCACGCTGAGGCGGCCTTCATGCCCTCACAGCTGCGCGCCCTCCGATTCGGCCTGCATGCACCGCTTCGGCAGGTGTGTTCACAATCACCTTAGAGGTCATCCTGCCTGCAGCAGTGACATACAGGTGAGAGGAGAAAAACTGGAAAAAAATCCAAATCTAGATAAACCATTTTTTCTTAAAATAAGTGCCTCTGTTCTTGGATTGAGGAGGTAAAAGAGACATTTTGCCCACGGAACAAAAAAATGTACACTTAAAATAAGAAAACCCAATTGCATTGTCTTATTTTAAGTGCATTTTATCTAATTATCTCATTTTAAAAGTAAAAATACTAATTCCCTTGGCAAACTATCTCATTTACCTACTCAAATTAAGGGTAAATACGCTTAACTTAAGAAATTTTTACTTATTTCTAGATCATTTTTCCAGTGCACCAACAAAACTTTACACTGTTTCGTTCCAACGTGTTTTGTTTTCGTTTCAGAATAATGGCGAAGGGCGTTTAGTGTGTTTGGTGCCGGATTGCTGACAGCCAATCACGCGCCTGTAAGACCACCGCAGGAGGAGATGAATGAAACCAAAGGAGAAACTTCACAAGTTCATGTAGCAAAATATAGGAAAAAAGGCAGCTATCTTCCTAACATCAATACCTGGAGAATAAATGTGATCTCATTTTGAGATGTAAATTGTAAATTGTAAAATAACTTTGTTTACATTTTTGCAAAATAAACATTTAAGTGATAATTGAGTGTCTGGGCCTTTTTTAATGGTCATCCTGTTTATATTTTATATACCTGAATACACATGTGGAGTAAAAAATGTTGAGATATGTCTGTTCTTAGCCTCACAGGCTCCAAACGAAGGTCATGAGAGATAAGAATGAGTCACACAGCTTCCTTTAAAGGCATAAAGGGAAGAAAAAAGTTATTTTTCCTCCAAATGTGTTATTTTTCCTCCATATGTGGGGGGTGGGTTGGTTCCCCTGGGGGGGAGTGTGTGTGTGATGGGATTATTGTAAGGTAAAAATGTATGTACCAAAATGCCTCAATCAGAGCTCTACCTTTCTGTCTGAGGACGTTAAATTAATATGAACCTTTTTTTTGCAAGAAACGCCTCAGCCTCTGCCTCCTACGCTGGAAAAACAAGCTAGAAATAAGTTAAAATGTCCTAAATTAAGAGTATATACCCCTAATTTGAGTAGGTAAATGAGATAGTTCGCCAATGGAATGAGCATTTTTATTCTTAAAATAAGATAATTAGATAATATGCACTTGAAATAAGACAATGCAATTGTTTTTTTTCTTATTTTAAGTGTAATTTGTCTTGTTCCATTGTCAAAATGTCTCTTATACCTCCTCAATCCCAGAACAAATGCACTTATTTTAAGAAAAAATAACTTATCTAGATTTCAATTTTTTCCAGTGTAACTTCACACACTTGAAATGTTTCGTGCAGTTTGCAGAGTTCCATCTTCATTATGTTTTAGCAAATAGTCGTATTTTATGGAGAAATTGATCTATAAATCATTGCAGATAGACACACTGGAAAAAAACAAAATCTAGATAAGTAATTTCTTCTTAAAATTAGTGCATTTGTTCTTGAATTGAGGAGATAAAAGAGACACTTTGCCAATGGAACAAGACAATTTACATTTAAAATAAGAAAATACAATTGCATTGTCTTATTTCAAGTGCATATTATCTAATTATCTTATTTAAAGAGTAAAAAACACTCATTCCATTGGCAAATCTTCTTATTTATCTACTCAAATTAAGGGTAAATACACTTAATTTAAGACAATTTTACTCATTTTTAGATTGTTTTTGCAGTGCACTATATAAACAGTTTCCACTGCAAAAAAATATATAATCAAAGTAAGTTTATTATTCTTAAAATAAGAGCATTTTTTTCTTGAATGAAGTAGTTAAGTTATACACTTTGCCAATGGAATGAGGCAATTTACATTTAAAATAAGAAAAAAAACAACTGCAGTCTCTTATTTCAAGTGCATAATATCTAATTATCTGCTTTGATACTTATTTTAAGAGTAAAAATGCTCATTCCATTGGCAGATTATCTTATTTACCTGCTAAATACACTTAATTGACATTTTTTTAAAACTCATTTTTAGATCATTTTTGCAGTGTAGTGGGTTTGCCTTCTGAAAGTTGTTGAAAATGATTTTTAGTTTCTCGGCTTAGAAAATGAAACATTTTTCTAGGAAAAATCAGAAGGATTTAGGTCATCCTTAAAACAACAACTACAAACTTCTGCTGCATTTAGCTGAGTCAGATTTAGATACATACAAATATGGATCATTTGTGCTTTATCCAATATTTTTATTATTAAGGTTTCAAACAGTCTGGTTTAATAGAACACATCTGCAAAGTATTTAGAGCGTTGCACTTTTCCACTTTTATTTATTCCTTATTCCAGATAGCAGTCATTTAATTTATGATTTAAAGAAACGAGTCAGAAAAGATGAACGTGAATGCTTGGTCAGATAATGAATTACTGTGCATCTTTAAGATTTGTCTTTATTAAGTCACAGCAGTGTGAATTCAGAAGTTCAGCACAGAGAAATAAACTATCATTTAGCAATAAAACAAAGAAAAAACATGCACAGGACCTCAGAAGAGTACACATCCATGTCAAACTGCCATGGTTTCATAAGAAGACTGGTTAGAGGTGCTTAGAGGATTGATTGCACTTGGAATGCAGAAGTTCTGTAGCCTGGTGAGACCATCCTGATCTCGCGAGCTTTCAAGGTTTCACTCGCAGATCAGTCTGGAGACTCTCCGTTAAAGAAAATTTGGAGCCGTTCACCAAACGAACGTCCAATCAGCGTTGGCTTTGAGGCGGATTGAGGTGTGACGCAACGAGAAGCGCGACAGTTCAGTCTAAAGAACATGGCGGCTTCAGCCGATGAAACTAGCGTTAGCGTGGCTATCGAGCAAGTTTTATGGGAATTACAGAGTATTTCTTCACTGAAAGAAGAGCAAAACACTGCTCTGGAGGCTTTTCTCAGAGGAAAAGATGTTTTTGCTCTTCTCCCGACTGGTTTCGGCAAGAGTAGCCTGGCTTGTGGTTGTGTTTTCATCGTCGCTCTGTTAGTACGTCATATGCTTCGTTGATCTGATTGGTTTATTTGGCCCGTCTATCACCAACATAGGCCAATCAGCTAACCAGTATTTTCGCCCCTTCCCAAAATCACTTCAACGGAAGGTTTCCAGATGGATATGTGGAGCAAATCCATCTGGCGGAGTCAGGTTAGAAGTTCTGAGGTTCGAGACCCACTCCCACAGACTGCCACTCTGGGCCCCTGAGCAAGACCCTTAACCCCCACACTGCTCCCGGGTGAAGCACAATGGCACCCACTGCTCCCCAAAGGGATGGGTTAAATGCAGGGAGTGAATTTTGTTGTGACAGTGTACTGACCATTAAACAGTAAAAAAAAAACAACAACAATTTTTAATCCTTCAATAGAAAAAACATTTTTCTGGGTGGAACGTCCAGTTCAGCACAGTGATAAAATGCTTCAATTCTTTCAACTTTTTCTTTCCTTCCATCATTTTGATCTCTTGGATAGAAACATCATCTTTATTAATGATCTGAAACAGGCTGACCTTGTATTACGGCTCATTAGCCTGATAACAGCCAGTTTGCAGAGAGGTTAAAAGGCTCCTGAGGAGGCCATCGTGGATCAGTCAGAAGAAAAGTATAAAATATTCAACCATATCAGAAATATGTATTAGAGCAGTAGAAAAAGTTAGCACTGAATGGAGAAATGGGAGAAACAGTAAAGCTGCATGAACCAGATGTTTTCTGTTTTTCCTTTAATTTAAAAAATGATCCGGGATACACTTTTAATTCAGTTTAATTCAGTTTATTTCTATAGCTCCAATTCACATCATGTCATCTCAGATCACTTTCCAGTTCACCAGATCATCCAGTCAGATTGATTCAAAGTTTTCTATCTAAGGAAAACCAGCTGATTGCATCGACTCATTGACTCTTCAGCAATCCCTCACACTAAGCATGCTTGTAGCGACAGTGGAGAGGAAAAACTCCCTTTGAACAGGAAGAAACCTCCATCAGAACCAGGCTCAGTGTGAGCGGCCATCTGCTGAGGCCCACTGGGGTTCAAGGAGACAGAAGCAGACATAGAAAAAGAAGCATAGATACAAAAGGCAACTGTCAACCAGCTCCACAGGCGGCCCTGTCCAGGAAACACACAGCCAGGCAGACGAGCTCCGAGCCAGCTCCCATGTCAGAGGATGAAGAGAGCACATCCAGTTAGTCACAGTCAGAGAAACAGGACTACACTGGAAAACAGGCCAAGCTCCAACATCTAGAAACAAAGGTGTTGATGGCAGCAGCACAGCTGATATTTCTCTCCAGGTTGGAGTCACAGCCAAACAGGAACAGACCAGATGAAGCTACTATGAGAAAAAGCAGAGAGAGCAGAATGTTAGAGATTGAACTAACAGATTCTGCAGAGTGGGAGAATAGAAATAGAATGATGCAGAATGATGAATTTTATCATGGACATTTTACTATCATGGAGTAAAACATGGTTTCAGCAAAATAAGGACAATCAATCTTGTAAGTTAAATGAGTGAATGTGCAAAGAGCTGAAAGTTAACAGCAGAACACTGATGAGAAACAGATGTGAAGAAGGTTCAACAAAACAACCTGTAGGACTTTTCTTCAATCTGACCATGCAGGCTAATAAATCTGATGCCACTTATCTTGAAAGATATGCACTACTTATGACTGTAATGCAAAGCCACCAACTAAAAAATACATCTAAGTCCGAATATAAAACACTCCAAAGGAGACTTTCAGCCATCCATTGTTGGCAAAAACATCCAGAGCCTGTGTGGCCGGATGCGCTGTTTTCAATAAAACAAATGTTATTGTTCCAATTCTGTAAGGTCACATTGGCACACAATAAAACATGGCAGAGGTGGAATCATGGTCAGGTCAGGCGTCTGCTTTAAACCTATAGATAGGTACCTTTTTTCTGATGCTGCATGAATTCATGTTTCCAGAAACAAAAAACGATTTTAATCAGAAGAACTAAATGTGTGAACCGGTGATCTCTTCACATTATGCCTCTTAGATCTGAACATTTTCGATCAAGGTAGAACAATTGAGCACATCGCTGGTGAAGATTCTCAGTCATCCAGATTATAGCCACTCCAAAAAAAGTTAAAAAACAAACCACTGGACTTTGTTTCCACGTTTGAACATGTTTTGCTTCCAATACAGGAAGCTTTTTCAATTCCAAATCTTAGACACAATTATTGGCACTCCCTCCATTGTCAATATTTTATTAATGAATGTCTATTGTTTACTTTATTGTAACATTTGTAACCATTATTTAATTTCTATCAAGCAAATGGAAGAAGTATACTTTTTTTTTTCACTGCAAAAACAATCTAGAAATAAGTAAAAATGTCTTAAATTAAGTGTATTTACCCTTAGTTTCAGTAGTTAAACAGGATGATCTGCCAATGAAATTAGTATTTTTACTCTTAAAATAAGATAATTAGATAATATGCACTTGAAATTAGACAATGCAATTGTTTTTTCTTATTTTAAATGTAAATTATCTTGTTCCATTGGCAAAGTGTCTCACTTACCTCCTAAATTCAAGAAAAAATGCACTTATTTTAAGAAAAAATGACTTAAGAATAAACATTTTTTGCAGTGTTTTTGTATTTTCATCCTTGATGTTGAATTGTAAAAGAAATGTAAAATCGGCTTGGGAAAATATTTGGAATGTTTTTCTATTTCTACGTACATTGAAAATAACAAAACAAAATCGTGTTATCATAAAAGGTTCGTGGAAACATCTGAGTGGACTGCCCCCGATGTTCAAAATGTCTAAACGCCATCCTCGTATCACTGCAAAAACGATCTAAAATTGAGTAAAAATGTTTTAAATCAAGCATATTTTTAACCTTAATTTGAGCAGGTAAATAAGATGATTTGCTAATGGAATGAGTATTTTTACTCTTAAAATAAGGTGATTAGATAATATGCACTTGTAATAAGAATAAATGGCCTGGTTCCATTGGCAGTGTCTCACATTCTTAATTCAAGAAAAAATGCACTTATTTTAAGAACAAAATGACTTATTCAGATTTATTTTTTTTGCAGTGATATACAGTGGGGCAAAAAAGTATTTAGTCAGCCACCAATAGTGCAAGTTCACCCACTCAAAAAGATGAGAGAGGCCGGTAATTTTCATCATAGATATACCTCAACTATGAGAGACAAAATGAGAAAAAAAAAATCCAGAAAATCACATTGTCTGATTTTTAAAGAATTTATTTGCAAAATATGGTGGAAAATAAGTATTTGGTCAGTTACAAACAAGCAAGATTCCTGGCTCTCACAGACCTGTAACTTCTTCTGTAAGAGGCTCCTCTGTCCTCCACTCGTTACCTTCATTAATGGCACCTGTTTGAACCCGTTATCAGTATAAAAGACACCTGTCCACAACCTCAAACAGTCACACTCTAAACTTCACCATGGCCAAAACTAGAGAGCTGTCAAAGGACACCCGAAACAAAATTATAGACCTGCACCAGGCTGGGAAGTCTGAATCTGCAATAGGTAAACAGCTTGGTGTGAAGAAATCAACTATGGGATCAATTATTAGAAAATGGAAAACACTGATAATCTTCCTCGATCTGGGGCTCCACGCAAGATCTCACCCTGTGGGGTCAAAATGATCACAAGAACGGTGAGTAAAAATCCCAGAACCACACGGGGGGACCTAGTGAATGACCTGCAGAGAGCTGGGACCAAAGTAACAAAGGCTACCATCAGTAACACACTACGCCGCCAGGGACTCAAACCCTGCAGTGCCAGACGTGTCCCCCTGCTTAAGCCAGTACATGTCAAGGCCCGTCTCAAGTTTGCTAGAGAGCATTTGGATGATCCAGACGATGACTGGGAGAATATCATATGGTCAGATGAAACCAAAATAGAATTTTTTGGTAAAAACTCTACTCGTCGTGTTTGGAGGAGAGAGAATGCTGAGTTGCATCCAAAGAACACCATACCTACAGTGAAGCATGGGGGTGGAAACATCATGCTTTGGGGCTGTTTTTCTGCTAAGGGACCAGGACGACTGATCCGTGTGAAGGAAAGAATGAATGGGGCCATGTATCGTCAAATTTTGAGTGAAAACCTCCTTCCATCAGCAAGGGCATTGAAGATGAAACGTGGCTGGGTCTTTCAGCATGACAATGATCCCAAACACACCGCCCGGGTAACGAAGGAGTCGCTTCGTAAGAAGCATTTCAAGGTCCTGGAGTGGCCTAGCCAGTCTCCAGATCTCAACCCCACAGAAAATCTTTGGAGGGAGTTGAAAGTCCGTGTTGCCCAGCGACAGCCCCAGAACATCACTGCTCTAGAGGAGATCTGCATGGAGGAATGGGCCAAAATACCAGCAACAGTGTGTGAAAACCTTGTGAAGACTTACAGAAAACGTTTGATCTCTGTCATTGCCAACAAAGGGTATATAACAAAGTATTGAGATGAACTTTTGTTATTGACCAAATACTTATTTTCCACCATATTTTGCAAATAAATTCTTTAAAAATCAGACAATGTGATTTTCTGGATTTTGTTTCTCATTTTGTCTCTCATAGTTTAGGTATATCTATGATGAAAATTACCGGCCTCTCTCATCTTTTTAAGCGGGAGAACTTGCACTATTGGTGGCTGACTAAACACTTTTTTGCCCCACTGTATTTCGCTTCAAACGAGCAGAAGAGAAAAAAAATCTAGAAATAGGTAAAAATGTCTTAAATTTTGTGTATTCACCCTTAATTTGAGCAGGTAAATGAAATAGTTTGCCAATGGAATGAGTATTTTTACACTTAAAATTTGTTAATTAGATAATATCCACTGAAATAAGACAATGCAATAGATTTTTTCTATTTTAAATATAAAATGCCTTGTTTCATTGGCAGTGTCTCACTTGCATCCTTAATTCAAGAAAAATGCACTTATTGTAAGAAGAAATTACTGATTCAGATTTATTTTATTTTTTTGCAGTGATGTTTTTTTGCTTCAAACGAGCAGAAGAGAAACTGCTACACTGGAAAAACAATTTAGAAATAGGTAAAAATGTCTTAAATTTTGTGTATTTACCCTTAATTTGAGCAGGTAAATAAAATAGTTTGCCAATGGAATGAGTATTTTTACTCTTAAAATAAGATAATTAGATAAAATGCACTTGAAATAAGACAATGCTACGGTTTTTTCTTATTTTATGTGTAAATTGTCTTGTTCCATTGGCAAAAAGTGTCTTTTACCTCCTCAATCCAAGAACAAATACACTTATTTGATCTAGATTTCAATTTTTTTCCTGTGTTTAGCCTCCTTCTGTTTCCAAATCTTAAAAAACAAACATAAAAGATATGAAATTTGCAGACTGAAACTACAATCCAGTTAAATAAAAACTACCAATCTACAGCGTTCCGGCGTCTCTCCTTGATGTAGCGTTCACATTTCTTTTTTTCTGCTGTTTTCTTTCCGTTCAATAACAAGTCCCCTCTACCCTGGCTGCCCCCCTCACAGCCAGTAGTTACTGAATAACAGACGGTTTATGAGGCAGCAATAATGAGGAAAGGGACGGAAGCGTGGACCAACAATGGGTATTTGTTCTCTGGCCTTCAAAAGTGAGCAGCTTCTGTTTATCTTAAGGATTTCGCAAGAAGGAACAAGTTTTAAAGCCAAAAAAAAAAGCCTGCATTTGCTTTCATCTTTTTTTAACTGGGCACTCATCTGCAAACCACTTATGTCGGGATATTCTTTAGTGTTTAATAGGGATAAACAGACATGCTTTAAGAAAAATAAGCTGAGATCATGAAAAGTCTGTCTTTATGGTTCATGCTAATTTAATCAGAGTTTAGAGCAAATATGTTTACATGCAGGTTAAAATGGCTGCATCCAGCTTCTGGTTTTATCAGCAATTAGGACGAGGAGACCCGCCACCAAAGCAGACCGCCTGTTATCAATCCGTCGGACTTTTCCACCAACACCAAACGCCTGATAGCAGAGGACTGTGAATGTGCCAGCAGTAATAAATGTCTCTGTCAGAGGTGAGCCATGAATGCAACACAAAAAGCTGTCCATGTTTTTCACTCTTTAATGTCACTGAAACCCACTTTTGTTTAACAAATTTATGTAGTTTTTAATTAAGTAAAAATAAAATAAAACTTCAATTGAACAAAAATATGATTATCAAATTGCTTTAGAATTTGTCGCCAGTCTTAATGAATCTGGAAGCAAGATCATCTAAACTTTGTCTTTGCAATGTTTTTTTATTGATGTTAAATGCTTTATCAGGCTTTTTAAAGCTTCAAATATCAGCAATAAACCACAGAAATTACACATGGAGGATTACAGATCTTTATTAAAACACAGAGCAGCCTTATCTGAACAGGATTAATACAGAACAGGGTCCTATAACCGCTGTTTAAAGGATCTGTTATCCATAACAGCAAACAAGAGTTTTTACAATATTAGAGCAGAGTTAAAGGTGCATAAAGCATAATCGTGTGTCTGATCAGAAAAGGCACCACAGATGATAACGTCTGGGTCGTCGCTCCTGCTGGCCCGTCACCTGAACAGTCTGTTCCAGAAGGAGACGAACGACGAGGAGTTCAAGGCACCGATGAATATGAGCAGCAGAAGGTAGAGGCTCATCATGATGGCGAAATGGTGTCTAAGAATCCACGACCTGCTGCGGGAATGCCTGATGGAACAAAGGGAATACAGATCATCAACAGCGCTATCTAAATACGTGACTTAATTATAACCAATGCACATTTTAATATTTTACACTGCTCTATATCCTTTGATCCAAACTGGATTACTTCAGATGTGTTACAGGAACTTTCTTTATATAAAGATCATTGCAGAAGAATTCATAAAACCTTGAACTTTCTGCATTAAGCTGGGGACACACACCTTTTTCAGGCGGATTCTCCGGTCATGCCAGAATTTTTTTGGACGTTCTGAGTTTCAGCCTCATAAAAAGGGGTGATTAGCTTCTCACGTTGGAAATTCAGTCGGCTGTGAAAGGTGTTCGTGAGCAAATCGTGGCGTTGAAGCAGAAATACGAGCCGATTTAGCAGAACCTGACGCTCACTGCTCATGTGCAAACAAGGGAGTTCTTCTTCTTCCAGATTGACCAGCGCCATCTCTTGGCGCTCAGTCCGACGTGCGGTTTTTGGGCGTACAGTGTGAGCAGGTAGATCGCATTAGACGAGCAGAGGCAGCAGGAGCAGCTGGTTTACAGAGTCGATGGTTGATGCGCATCAAGGCGCAGCAAAAGGTCCTGCAGCGCGTTTTGAGCAGCTGAAGCAGCGCCTCACGAGGTTCTGAGCAACTGAGGCGTGCAAAGCGCTTCAGAAGCAGCAGCTGCTGGAGTTCTAAAAATTAAACTTTAGCTGCTGGACGCGCCACATCAACCAATCAGAGAAGCTGATCTGGGAGCTGGCAGGGAGTCAGACGCAGCACTGCTGATGCAGAGCGCTATGATCACTCCTCTGAAACAGTTTATTAACGCCTAAATTAACTTCAAATGGGAAAATATGTTCACTTTTATTATTCTGATGCCTGCAATTTGGATTATGTACGCGAAAAACGCTAACATCTACTTCCAGGTGCCGCGAACACTAGCAGCAAACCACAAAGAGGCGAGCGGGCCTGAGGCAGCTGCTGCTGGGGATTCCCAGTGACAGCGCAGCGCCGGTATGTGGGGGTCTGAGCGACTCCCACAGAGAAATAATCTTTGAAGGCAGGATGGTAATCTGGATGAACTGACTGCACAGACCATGTTTTCAGGAGGACTTTCTCACTTCAAACATTAAAACTACTTTTTACCCGCTGATCAAACGTAGCATAAGGCCTGGTCAGAATCCCAGCACCAAAACTTTCTTTTTTCTTGTGCTCCTGTAGACTCTTACCTGCTCAGGTGTTTCCCCTGAGAGTAGACAAACAGGTATTTGACTCGTAAAAGCTGATTGTTGGTAACTATGAAGTATTTCTGCGGAACGTCGCCCCCTTCGCTGTTCTTGGCTCTGGAGCGCTGCCGGTCTATGGTATCAGAATCTGAAACGGCCAACCAACAGCAGCCTTTAACACACAAAAGAAGTTGAGCAGCAGCGCTTCGTGTGCTTCCTGTGGCAGAACACACCTTTTTTCTTCACCTGGCATTTAACGTCTGGATGGTCGATAATTTGACACAGGGCGACACAGCTGAGCTGAGGACCCAGGATGCTTTCTCTCCAGCCACTGCTGTGGGGGCTGTAGAGGACGGCCATGCTGAGGTCACTAGTTAGGTAGGTCCCTTCTCCGAATACAGAGTTCTACACAAACACACATCACACCAGGTTGACAAGGTTCCTACAGCATAAGGCAAGTTTTTAAGACTTTTTAATGCCACTTGAAATAAAAATTTAAGACCAAATTCACAAGAAACACCAGAAAAACCTGATTGCGACAACTTAACCCAAAGGTTTATTTTAACATAAACCGTTGCACTAATGTTTCAAATGTTGAAAAGCTTCCCATACAGGAAGAAAGCTAAAAACACACAAATGACAGATATATTTGAACAATTATTTAACTGAATTCACAAACTTTGTTTTAGCAGGGAACAAAACAAATCAGCTTTAAAGCCCCAACATAACCAGTGCTAAGTCTTTTTTGCAGCTATTTTTCTTTCTATGGTTTTCTTAGTATGTTTGATTTGGTGATAAGTGGAGGCGTTGCAGAGACAAGGGTGGAACTAAACTGAGAAATACCGGCTGTTTCTCTCTAACTCCATTTTGACGCTTTGTGTTTCGTGCTTCGCATGTGCGACTCCACTGCCTTAATTCCCATCGTTCTGAGCTTGAATGACTTCTTGCACTAAATCCACTGAGCCTCATGTATGTTCCCTGGTTTTAGCCATGGAGGAAACTCTTGGCTGGAGACAATTTCGGTTACATTTACACTTGCTCAAATTTTCCAGACAAAAAGTTAATGGTGCATGTCCCAAATGTCCCGGCCGCAACAACGCTTTATTGGTTCCGCTATCGGGACGGAACCAGTAATGGGAGAGCCATTATTTCTTTTAAATACCGGTAAATAAAAAAAGGTCAATTTTAATGTTTTATTTAGATTACAAAAATAAATCATAATAAAAATAACCCTATTTATGATGTTTTAAAAATTAAGACCTACGAAAGACTGATTTAAGTCATTTTAATACAAATTAAGGCCTTAGTTTTATTTTGAAGAATTCAACGCCTGTTAAGACTTTTTAAGGACCCGCGGGAACCCTGAATTGAACAGAAATATGTTTACACATCAGAAAGAAGGTGGATTCTTCTAAATTTTTCTGCCTAAAGCTCCTGTCACACCTTGACGATTTAGACCAGCGTATGCCTGGCCTACGGAAAATCTGGCAAAAACGCTGGCCTACGTTGGATAAGTTAAGGGTACACTGAAGTACGCTGAAAAATAATTGCACACGTCGGCATACGGCCAGTACGACGTATGCCAGCGTATGCCGTACTGATCGTTGACATACGTCAGGGTGACCAGATTTGGAGTTTCTGCTGGGCCGCTGACTGGACCTGACCAGGCTAATCGAAGGGAGCCCGGTCCGGTCCGGAACCTGCTGGGGACGAAGCGACCGAACCCAACGGTATGCTTCCCACCGCACGGTAAGGCAAAAATATACAAAGGCTTGAAATGGAATAAAAATGAGTGTCTTCATCAGGCTAATGTAGTAAAACTAGTTCACATAGTCTCCAGTCCATCGCAGGGAAACACAGAGACAAACAGGACAGACAACCGTTCACACCTAAGGAGAATTTAGAGAAGCCAATTATTTAACAGTTTTTTTAGTCTGTGGGAGGAAGCCAGAGTACCCGGAGAGAACCCACGCATCCTCAGGGAGAACGTGCAGAAAAACCCCGGGCCGGGAATCAAACCCAGAACCTCTTTCTGGAAGGCAGCAGTGCTACACACTGCTCCACTGTGCAGCCCGCAAAGTGCCCGGCATACGCTGGCTAAATCGGCAGGGTGTGACGGGCCCCCCAAGTCAAAACGACTTCATAAGAAACATAGGATTTATTTTTTTATGGCAGAGACCTTGTTGAGGTGGCAGTGGAGCCCGTTGTGAATGATTGAATGAAAGTTCTCCAGGCGGCTCCCGTGGAATGCGTAGAAGACATCTCTTCCTTCCCTCGTCTTCTCAAACCTGGAGTTTAAGTGATCAGAGTACTCCAGCTCAAACAGGAAGTCAGGAACAGGTGCAGAAATCCCTTCATTTTCTGTCAGCTTACAGAGTTTGGCGTACTAGAGAAAACCAAACAAACACACCCACCGTTAATTTAAAGTGCTAATCGGCCGTTATTGTTGCTAATGCATGTGTAAATATCGGTCTGCACCTCATCCTTTGGTAGAGTCTTCACAGCCAAGCTCTTTGAGGAGAGAATCCAGTGAATGAGGGCCAGATGGTGCTCTCCTTCATTTGGACGTAACCTCACCAAATCTCTCACACCAGGAAGGGAGTTTACATCAGCCAACTAAAGATTAAAGCACATTTTATTTGGTCATTAACATAAAAGCTGAATGTAAGCTATGAGCATCTCATTAGATGAAGATCAAACATACTGCAGACAAACTAAGAAATTTGTTGGGGAATTAGGAATTTAAATTAAATATTTAACATAAAAAGCAATCTCTATAACGCCTCCCTCAAGTGTTTCAGACCCCGCCCCCCGTAATTGACATTTATGCCCTATTTTTGCACGCCACGTATCACTTTACTTGGATTGATCACTTTACTTGGATTATCACTTTACTTGGATTATCACTTTACTTGGATTTATCACTTTACTTGGATTATCACTTTACTTGGATTTATCATTTTACTTGGATTATCACTTTACTTGGATTTATCACTTTACTTGGATTATCACTTTACTTGGATTTATCACTTTACTCTTGGATTTAGTTTTACATATGCATATATATACATACATATATATATATATATATATATATATTCAGAAGAGCTATATGTGTATATATTTTATCTTTTTTATTTTTATCTTTATTATCTTGTGTAGTTGGATGTATGTATGTATGTATATATATATATACATATATACATATACATATATATACATATATATATATATATACATATATATATATATACATATATATATATATATACATATACATATACATACACTATATTGCCAAAAGTATTTGCTCACCCATCCAAATTATTGGAATCAGGTGTTCCAATCACTTCCATGGCCACAGGTGTATAAATTCAAGCACCTAGGCATGCAGACTGTTTTTACAAACATTTGTGAAAGAATGGGTCGCTCTCAGGAGCTCAGTGAATTCCAGCGTGGAACTGTGATAGGATGCCACCTGTGCAACAAATCCAGTCGTGAAATTTCCTCGCTCCTAAATATTCCACAGTCAACTGTCAGCTGTATTATAAGAAAATGGAAGTGTTTGAGAACGACAGCAACTCAGCCACGAAGTGGTAGGCCACGTAAACTGACGGAGCGGGGTCAGCGGATGCTGACGCGCATAGTGCGAAGAGGTCGCCAACTTTCTGCAGAGTCAATCACTACAGACCTCCAAACTTCATGTGGCCTTCAGATTAGCTCAAGAACAGTGCGCAGAGAGCTTCATGGAATGGGTTTCCATGGTCGAGCAGCTGCATCCAAGCCATACATCACCAAGTGCAATGCAAAGCGTCGGATGCGGTGGTGTAAAGCACGCCGCCACTGGACTCTAGAGCAGTGGAGACGCGTTCTCTGGAGTGACGAATCGCGCTTCTCCATCTGGCAATCTGATGGACGGGTCTGGGTTTGGCGGTTGCCAGGAGAACGGTACTTGTCTGACTGCATTGTGCCAAGTGTAAAGTTTGGTGGAGGGGGGATTATGGTGTGGGGTTGTTTTTCAGGAGCTGGGCTTGGCCCCTTTGTTCCAGTGAAAGGAACTCTGAATGCTTCAGCATACCAAGACATTTTGGACAATTCCATGCTCCCAACTTTGTGGGAACAGTTTGGAGCTGGCCCCTTCCTCTTCCAACATGACTGTGCACCAGTGCACAAAGCAAGGTCCATAAAGACATGGATGACAGAGTCTGGTGTGGATGAACTTGACTGGCCTGCACAGAGTCCTGACCTCAACCCGATAGAACACCTTTGGGATGAATTAGAGCGGAGACTGAGAGCCAGGCCTTCTCGTCCAACATCAGTGTGCGACCTCACAAATGCGCTTCTGGAAGAATGGTCAAAAATTCCCATAAACACACTCCTAAACCTTGTGGACAGCCTTCCCAGAAGAGTTGAAGCTGTTCTAGCTGCAAAGGGTGGACCGACGTCATATTGAACCCTATGGATTAGGAACGGGATGTCACTTAAGCTCATATGTGAGTCAAGGCAGGTGAGCAAATACTTTTGGAAATATAGTGTATATATATACACTATATTGCCAAAAGTATTTGCTCACCCATCCAAATTATTGGAATCAGGTGTTCCAATCACTTCCATGGCCACAGGTGTATAAATTCAAGCACCTAGGCATGCAGACTGTTTTTACAAACATTTGTGAAAGAATGGGTCGCTCTCAGGAGCTCAGTGAATTCCAGCGTGGAACTGTGATAGGATGCCACCTGTGCAACAAATCCAGTCGTGAAATTTCCTCGCTCCTAAATATTCCACAGTCAACTGTCAGCTGTATTATAAGAAAATGGAAGTGTTTGGGAACGACAGCAACTCAGCCACGAAGAGGTAGGCCACGTAAACTGACGGAGCGGGGTCAGCGGATGCTGACGCGCATAGTGCGAAGAGGTCGCCAACTTTCTGCAGAGTCAATCACTACAGACCTCCAAACTTCATGTGGCCTTCAGATTAGCTCAAGAACAGTGCGCAGAGAGCTTCATGGAATGGGTTTCCATGGTCGAGCAGCTGCATCCAAGCCATACATCACCAAGTGCAATGCAAAGCGTCGGATGCGGTGGTGTAAAGCACGCCGCCACTGGACTCTAGAGCAGTGGAGACGCGTTCTCTGGAGTGACGAATCGCGCTTCTCCATCTGGCAATCTGATGGACGGGTCTGGGTTTGGCGGTTGCCAGGAGAACGGTACTTGTCTGACTGCATTGTGCCAAGTGTAAAGTTTGGTGGAGGGGGGATTATGGTGTGAGGTTGTTTTTCAGGAGCTGGGCTTGGCCCCTTAGTTCCAGTGAAAGGAACTCTGAATGCTTCAGCATACCAAGACATTTTGGACAATTCCATGCTCCCAACTTTGTGGGAACAGTTTGGAGCTGGCCCCTTCCTCTTCCAACATGACTGTGCACCAGTGCACAAAGCAAGGTCCATAAAGACATGGATGACAGAGTCTGGTGTGGATGAACTTGACTGGCCTGCACAGAGTCCTGACCTCAACCCGATAGAACACCTTTGGGATGAATTAGAGCGGAGACTGAGAGCCAGGCCTTCTCGTCCAACATCAGTGTGCGACCTCACAAATGCGCTTCTGGAAGAATGGTCAAAAATTCCCATAAACACACTCCTAAACCTTGTGGACAGCCTTCCCAGAAGAGTTGAAGCTGTTCTAGCTGCAAAGGGTGGACCGACGTCATATTGAACCCTATGGATTAGGAACGGGATGTCACTTAAGCTCATATGTGAGTCAAGGCAGGTGAGCAAATACTTTTGGCAATATAGTGTATATACATATATATATATATATATATATATATACATATACATATATATATATACATATATATATATATATACATATATATATATATATACATATACATATATATATACATATACATATATATATACATATACATATATATATACATATATATATACATATACATATATATACATATACATATATATACATATACATATATATACATATACATATATATACATATACATATATATACATATACATATATATACATATACATATATATACATATATATATATATATATATATATATATATATATATATATATATATATATAAAACTGTAACTGGAGCGTGTAACAAAAGTTATTTCCCTATGGGATTATTAAAGTATTTCTGATTCAGGGTTAAATTTCTGATGGTAACAGTTTGTTTCAAATGGACTTCAACCTAAAATGATCTCATAACTCTGCAGTAATTCTCAGTGACAGTATTTGACCTGTTTTCATCTGAATGTTTATTTAGTGGCACCTGAGGAATGAGTGTTGGGCAGAAAAGGAGGATCCTGAGTTTTCATAAGGGGTCCGATGAAATTTGACACTGCGAATATTAGTAAAATAGATATGACGTATTTACTGATCCTAAGTTATAATGGCTACATTTTTGTGAAATGCATCCTACTAAATCCATGCATGGAATATTAGTAACAGGATTTGTAAGATTTGACAACTTTGAAAAGAGAAGCTAAAAACTAAGCTGAAACAACCTGAGAAAATAGGAAAGAGCATCATCATCGACCTCTTTTAGATCCTCATCTTTTCTGTAATTAGTATACACAAATCAGTTATTAATAAGAGTTGCAACTAACAATTATTTTGCAAATTGATTTATCTGTTGATTATCTTTTTATTAATCGATTGTTAAATCGAATAACCAATGGTTCCTTAAAGAAGATTTTTTTATTAATTTAAACAGGCTGTAACTAAAACTTTTTCACTTGAGGAGTTCTGGATAGAGCAGAATGACAAACAGAAAATTATATTTTTTATTTATTTATTTTTATTTATTTTGATATTATTACTGCTGTAAGTGGGCCAAACTGTCATGCATATTTTAGAGTCTCTATACTCCAGTTAACGATTAATCTATTATTAAATTAGTCAACGATTATTTCAATAATCAATTATTCATGATTAATCTGATTAATTGTTTTAATATTGAGTAAAACTGTACCGTGGGTTAATTAATTTTGTTAAAAAACCATGTAACACGTTAGAAACAGGTATTATGGTTTATTGCCTTTTTATACAGCATCTTTAAACAAACTCTGTGTTCACAATCAGCACAGAACATATGGAAGAGAAGACTTATTACCAACTAGATGTTTTATATGCTTCCAGTTTATTTAGCGACATTTTGTTTAGTCAACATGTAGAAATGGACTGTTGAAACAATGTTCTGATCTGAAGGACCCTGTAAGGTGTTTATCCAATCCAATCCAATCCAATCCACTTTATTTATATAGCACGGTTTAAATAAACACAAGGTTTCCAAAGTGCTGCACAAAAAGATAAAATAACTAAAATAAATAAAAGTAATAAAATAAAATAAAATAAAAGCACTGCCCGCACAGGATAAAAAAATGCATGTGTATACATAAAATCAACATGTGTACATAAAATCAACACTCTACATGGTGTTAAAAGCCAAAGAAAAGAGGTGGGTTTTAAGAAGAGTTTTAAAATGAGACAGAGAGGTGGCCTGTCTAATGTGCAGCGGCAATGCATTCCAGAGTTTTGGAGCTGCAACAGAAAACGCTCGATCCCCTCTGAGCTTAAGCCTTGCTTTAGGCACTGTCAGGAGCAGCTGATCAGCTGACCTGAGAGATCGGCTGGGAGTGTAGGGGTGCAGAAGCTCAGAGAGGTAAATTGGGGCAAGGCCATTCAAGGCTTTAAAAGTAAATAAAAGAATTTTAAAATGAATCCTAAAATGGATGGGCAGCCAGTGGAGTGAAGCTAAAACAGGTGAAATGTGCTCGTACTTGCGTGTGCCAGTTAAAAGACGTGCAGCAGCATTTTGAACAAGTTGAAGACGAGCAATTGAGGACCCAGCAATCCCCACATAAAGTGCATTACAGTAATCCAGCCGAGTGGTCACAAAGGCGTGGATTACTGTCTCAAAGTGCTTTCTCTGAAGGACTGGTTTGATCTTTGCCAGCTGCCTTAGCTGGAAAAAGCTAGATTTCATTACAGCTTTTATCTGGCTGTCAAATTTAAGGTCTGAGTCCACTTTTACCCCGAGGTTTCTTACAGTTGGTTTACTGTATTGCGATAGAGAACCTAGATCAACTAGGGAGGGGGTCACAGATGTGCCACCAAAGACCATGACTTCTGTCTTTTCTTCATTAAAATTCAGAAAATTTAAAGACATCCAAGCTTTAAGGTCATGTAAACACCTTAACAGTGGTTCAACAGAGTAGGAATCAGCCTTTTTGAGGGGGACATAAATCTGGCTGTCATCAGCATAACAGTGAAAGGAAATGCCATGTTTCCTGAGAATGGAGCCAAGTGGGAGTAGATAGAGAGAAAATAAAAGAGGGCCAAGCACGGAGCCCTGTGGGACCCCACATGAGAGAGGAGCAGTGGAGGACACAGAGTCATCAAGGCTGACACAGAAAGTCCGATGTGACAGGTAGGACATGAACCATTCCAGTGCTAAGCCCCTGATGCCCACCCACTGTTCCAAACGAGCAATCAGGATTTCATGGTTCACTGTATCAAATGCTGCAGTCAAATCTAAAAGTACAAGGACAACACAGTGTCCAGAGTCAGTAGCTAAAAAGATGTCATTAAAAACTCTTAAAAGCGCTGATTCTGTGCTGTGCAATGTTTTAAAACTAGATTGGAAAATCTCAAGAACATTTTGTTCATTTAAAAAGTCCACGAGCTGAGAATAAACAATCTTCTCTAAGATTTTTGAGAAGAAAGGCAACTTAGAGATAGGCCTAAAATTCGACAGAACAGTAGGATCCAGCCCAGGTTTTTTTAATAAAGGCTGCACGACTGCATGTTTAAGATTTAAAGGGACTACTCCAGAGGACAGACTGCTATTAATAATTGTGAGACACGATGGCCCGATAGTGGGAAAGACCTCCTTAAAAAATCGGGGTGGGACAGTATCATCTGGAGACCCTGAAGGCTTCAAGTGACCCACAATCTCCTGCACAAAAGGCAGGGTCACAGGTTCAAACATGTCAAACACAGCAGAGCAGGGGACAAACACCGAAGGATCAGAAGCAGGAGGTGAAATAAGTGCTCTGGTAGAAGTGACTTTATCAATAAAGTAGTGAAGAAAGTTCTCACACACAGCAGGGGAGGCCTCAATTACAGTCTGAGGTGCATTCAGAGCAGAGTTGATAACTTTAAACAACACATAAGGGTTACCACAGTTTAAAAGAACAATATCGGAAAAATATCTTCTTTTAGCCTCTTTCACAGTGGATTGGTAATGACGCCAACACTCTCTCAGTAATTGAAAAGATATTTGCAATTTGTCCTTTTTCCACTTTCGCTCAGCTCTTCGACAATTCTGTCTGGCAGTCCTGGTTGTTTCATTCAACCAAGGCTGATTTAGCTTTCTGCTGCCTGATCTTTAATGGAGCTGCAATGTCTATGGCAGTTTGACAGGTGTCGAGAAACCATGAGTTAAGAGCCTCTGTATCCTCATACAAAGACTCAGGAATAACGCAGTTCTGACTGTACACTGCGGAGAAGTGAGCAGCAGTGGAAGGGTTAATCACTCTGCATCTGTGAGCAGCAGCGTGAGATTTAACTATGTGACAGCAAACAGGAGCTTCAAAAAGTACAGGCATATGATCTGAGAAAAAAGCGTCACAGACCTCCAGGTTAAGAACAGGCAAACCATAAGATAAAACAAGATCAAGTGTGTGACCACGTTCATGTGTAGGCCCGAGTACAGACTGAACAAGATTAAAAGAATCAATGATATTTAAAAATTCCCGCACTAAAGGGCTTTCAGGGCAACACACATGAATATTACAATCTCCAACAATAAGGACCCGGTCATATTTGGGCATGATATCAGCCAAGAACACAGAAAAGTCTGTTAAAAAGTCTCTGTTATATTTTGGAGGCCGGTAGACCACAGCACACAGTACCCTGTGAGAATGCCCCAGCTCAAACAAACTGAGTTCAAAGCTGGTAAAGGAGGTTAAGAGCGATATCTGTTTACAATCAAAGTTACTCTTAAAAACAGTCGCAATTCCTCCTCCTCGGCCAGACGTCCGAGGAGAGTTAAAAAAGGCGCACTCATCAGGTAGAAGATCGGTGAAAACACTGGACTCACCAACCTTCAGCCAGGTCTCAGAGATGAAGAGGAAATCCAAATTCCGGGATATGAAGAAATCCTTAAGAATAAATGATTTATTCACAAGCGATCTGGCGTTTACCAGGCCAAATCTAGCATGAGCTGGCGGGTCAGGGCGATCAGCTGACCGGGAGGCCCGACACAGAGGCCGCAGGTTCCCCAGATTTACTCCGCGCCAGCGGGGACGAAGAGAGCATTAGCGTTAGCATTAGCATTAGCGTTTAGCTACATTAAATGTTTTGTGTTTTTTTTCCTTTTAAACTTCCACATATTCCTCTTATATGTTTAGGGCAGTAGGCATGTTTAAAAATAATATATAATTCACATCAACTAAATAGGATTTGGTACCTTTGATTCTGTAATCATGTGTAATAATTATTTTACAGTGTAGTCATCATTTTAATGTAGCACTGAGCTATTCTAATTATTAAATACAGACAGGGGTGCCGATTACAAATTTTTATCCAGTTAGTATATATAAGAACTTTATACACCCAAAAAAAGGTGCATTCATAACCCAGGCATTCTGTGTGATGGAGAAAAAACATCACAACACTGCCACCTAAATTGTTTTTCTTTTCCAATCTTTATCAAAATATTTTAAATAGAGTCCCATAAACTATGTACTTCAACATCTACAGCAAACGTCTGCAACCTTTGGCATCATAAAAGGCATTTAGTCCAGGTAAAGAATATTAATTAAAACCAAAGTTGTTAAATTATATTTATGGTAAAAAGAAAATTGAGAATTATAACTAAATATCTAGTGGCCGCTCCCACTCAGTGATCGCGGTGAAAATAAATTTATTTTTAACAGATTAACGCTAAATTCATTAAATCACCGCAAAAGTATTAGTTTTACGTACAACTAATGATCCATGCATTATTCCTTTCTGACCGGACTTCTTATTTAAAGCTATTAGCTGAGTCTTTATTTTTGTTGCTAAAAATATTAAGAGCCATTGTGGAAGGGCATACCAGCAACAATATAAGTATTTATTTGTCAGTGGAGCTCTTACCAGTTCCTCAAAGTCCTTAATGTCGCCACTGATGTAGCGAGGAGGGAAGGGTCTGAGCAGAGAGTCCCTCTTGTAGCTCTGAGCTGCAGCCACAAACAGGCTGCAGCGTAGATCTGCAGCTGCAGGGTCTCTGTGCAGACAGGAGCTCACCAGCTCTCTGACAGCCTCAGGTGGCAAAGGTGGCTGCATTCCCAGCACTAAACACACACAGGCGATAAGACAGCAAACATCAGAGTTAGAATAACACAAAAAAGGCTGTTTATTTAAAGGCACACTATGCAACATTTTTCAGTTAATTAATGTGTTCCATAACGTTTTGGATGACTAAATGAGTCATTTCAGGTTGAACAAAGGTATTCTCGGCCGCCCTGGTGGTCTGTGGGGGAAATACCGCACTTGCAATTGCAGGAGCACCGACCCGCACCCACAGGCTCAGAAGTCTCGCGAGAGTCGGTCTTGCTTTACGGCGAGAACTGCTACACGCCCCCTGTTAAAAGCATGCTCGTTGTTAGCACAGTGGCGATCTTTGTGCAGTGCTGCTTTTCCACCGGACGCAGCAAAAGCAGCAAAATCGCGTCTGCTGCTTCATTTTTACTGCTTGTACCAGTTAGTTCTGATGCGCGGCTGAATCAGCTTTGCTGCTCTGGCTGCGCGGTGCAAAAGTGTGTCTGACGCGCGTTGGGCGGAGCTTCACTATCCTTTCTCTGCCTTGCAGCTATATTTGCTGTGATCAGTGGGAATAAAGTAGTTTTAATATGTTTTTAAGTGAGAAAATACACCTGAAAACGTAATCAGTGCAGTCAGTTCATCCAGATTACCATCCTGCCTTCCAATGTTATTTCTGTCGGAGACGCTCAGACCCCCACATAGCAGCGGTGCGCCGACAGTAGGAATCCCTTCATCAGCAGCCTCTGGCCGGGTCGCCTCTTCGCGGTTCAACGCGGCAGCTGGTAGGTGTTTTTCATCTAAATAATCCAAACTGCAGGCAGGAGGATAATAAAAGCGAACATATTCTGCCGGCAGATTTCTGCATTTTAAGTTAATTTAGGCGTCAATAAAGGAGTGATCATAGCGCTGTGATCATCAGTGCTGTGTCTCTCTCCCTGCCAGCTCCCAGATCAGCTTCTCTGATTGGTTGACGCGGCGCGTCCAGCAGCAAAAATTCTATTTATCCATCTCGAGCAGCAGCGCGTTTGCGGCGCGTCACGCGCGTCAGATGCTTAATCATTCGTTGCGTTCGCCTGTCTGCTAAGCTCAAAACAACCGCGCCTGGCTTGACGGAGAAACCAGGAGAACAGCTGAGCATATTTACGACAGTGCACTTTTACTTTCGCCCTCTGGAGGGAGCCTCGCTGGAAAATCAACACCGGTTGCATAGTATACCTTTAAAGTAAAACTAATGTACAGCCTCAGTGCGGGGCAAGTTACCGTTAAATGGATCTGTTTTACAGTTTTAATGCATTTTGATGCTGAGTTTTTACACCTTTCCGATTGCCAACGTAAAGAGGGAAGATTCGCCATCGAACTTCTGGCCAGAGAAAAAACACGTAATATGTAGCCAACATTTGGAAGAAGAATGTTTTCAAGATGACTTGGATAATAACGCGTTGTGACAAACACCAGATACAGCACTGGGACTTGATCAACAGCCGATACCGCACCGTGACGTCACAAACCAGTAGGTGGCAGTAGTGTTCTTTGACAAACATGGATGCCTCCAATAAAGCACATTCACATGAAAATTACTCTGAATTAAAAACACTGATCATTTATTGAACAGGATGGAATCATTTCACATTTAAAGTACTTTAAGAAGTTTCAGTTCTGAATATGACCGGACTTTTCCTCTAACCAAACCATGCTATATTTGATGTTTCTATCTTTCGACCTGATTTCAGAATTTAAAGTGGAAGTAATTTTCTACAGAAGATATAAAACTTTATACCATATTTACCTGCTGTTGTTTAACTGCAATCTAAACGACCAAAACACATTTTTAAACATAAATGAAAACTCCAAGCGCTAAACACTAATATTTAAATCCTGCCTTTAGTTTTCTGTTTGTTTTTTAACCAGAGGCTGATAGTTATCAGGAAGCTAGCTGGTTAGCATTAGCTGCGACATAAATAACTTCCTGAATTGAATGATATTAATGAGGCATATAAACACACCGAAATCCTGTTATCTGATTTAAATGCATGGAAAAACATCCGCTTTGTGGTAATTATGTTTAAAGGCGACATGGTTTGTGTAATAACTGGCCTTACCTGGCTTAAGTCTTGCTCAACTCATAACACCACAGTAAAGGGAAAAGCTAACAAACGTTAGCTTGATTACTGCTGCGTTCAAGGGCAGTTTGGATTTTCTGGGACACCAATCCAAATCAGAGTTGAGAAGGGAAAATAACCCACGAAATCAAAATATATCTAATCCAGGAAGTAACATGTTTGTTGAAAATTGCATTAGCTATTCTTTAATGAACTGAAGGTTAATGAAGATATTTGTATATTTAAACTCTCTCCATGTTAAAGCATTAGAAAGTGGCAGATCCGAGGGCGCGCAAAGGCAGCGCGCACAGCAGTAAAACATTCTTCCCTCTTCACCTCCGCCAAGGAAGTTATATTTTTAGGGGAGTTATTCTCTATTTGTCTTCCTGTGATAACTTGAACATTTATAACCGGATTTTTTTTTTTTTTTTACTAAAAGTGCACCTTAATCCAAGAAAAAAAAAAAATACAAACAACAAAAAACAACAAACAAGTGACAAAAAGTATTTATTGCAGAAACAATGAATTAACTTTTGGTGTGTTTACAATATCTTTAATTTGGGAAATGTGTTTAACAAATGATTACACACTTGCTTGAACTGTGTTCCATAAAGAGAGGTCAACTGCGGAAACTAAATCAATGATATATGATATAACAGAAATATTACTTTATACATTAATGTGGAACTATTTTATTCTTTTTTTATTCAAACACTAACACCACTCACCCTGTTATTCCTAAATAAATTTAGGTGTTTAAAGGAGAACTTTGGTCACATTCAGAATTCAGACTCCTGAAAGTACGTTAAATATGAAATTATTACATTCTGTTCAATTAAAGATTCAGTTTTTTAATTCAGAGTAATTTTCATGTGAATGTGCTTTACTGGAGGCATCCATTTTTGTCTAGGAACACTACTGCCATCTACTGGTTTGTGACGTCACGGTGCGGTATCGGCTGTTGATCAAGTCCCAGTGCTGTATCTGGTGTTTGTCACAACGCGCTATTATCCAAGTCATCTTGAAAACATTCTTCAAGGTGAAATAACTTTTTTTTTCACTTTTACCAAGTGTATAAAAACATCCAACTCCCATGCATGTGGGCATTTTCAGTTTCACTATAGCTCTGGTAAATTTCAATGGTGAAGTCCTCACCATTGAAATCTTCAATAATTGTTGTTGATTGCAGATGTGTCTAGTAGTTCCCATTGATTGTTGTGGTGATGGCAATGGTTCAATTTATTGTAAGTATCTATAATAATTGTTCATAAAAGGTGAAGGAAGTTTCATTAAAACTCATTCACAACATTTATCCTGCCAAAGACCTTAAAAATTTTTTTTGAATCTTATATTATTGTGAATTGCACTTCTTGTGACCTTTTTCCAGAATCTGTTACACATTTGTTTGGTTATTTCCAAACTCTAAGACTTTCTGGCAATGCTTTTGTAACTATATGGATTCAAATATTTTAAAACATTTTCACCTTCGTTGGGAAAATGTTCTGTTTGGTTTTCAGCTGCAAACGAAAATGTTCCCCAAACCTTTCCTTATCAATGTGGTAATTATCTTGGCTTAATTTAAATGGCATAAATTTACATTTGTAAAAAAAAAAAAAAAAAAAATGTTATTTTCAAGCATATTTCTCGAAAACAGGCCTAGTGTCCAAGAGCAATATTTTGGTACTATTAAACCCTCTTCTCACCAAAAGGCAAAAAAAACAACTACAAAAAAACAACAACAAAAAACATTTCAATCTGTTCCCAAATAAATATTTTTTTGTCTTTCCTCCTGACTGTACTTAATTATTATGAATATATTAATATACCCCCCTGTAATGTTTATTTGTTTATATATATTGTATACGGTATTGTTGACTTTAAGTGAAATGATAATAAATAAATAAAAATCTGTGTTTTTGCCATTGTAATTTTACAAATGGCGTCTCAGGGCTGATAAGGAAGTAGATCCCAAGAGGCAGCCAATCAGGGCGGACTATTGAAATAAGGGATTTGGATGAAATTTGTAAGAGGGCGGGGTTTGGGCAAACATTCCTGCTTTCTGATTGGTCACTTCGGTCTACAGAAAATCCCGCCTCTTTCCCAGCAGGTCCTGGCGCGGGGTCTGTCCGCCGTGTACCACGCAGGAGAGGGAGGGGGGGAGTAGGGGCGTAAAAAAAAAAAAAAAAAAAAGGACCACTTGTCACGTGACCGCCCCTGACTCCCAGCTCCATCATTTAGAGGAAAAACGACACAAAGATAAATCTGTGTTTCTGAGCAGCTTTATATATAATTTCATCTTTTAATCGGTGGATGTTAGCTGAGCGGAAATCATAGGATGAAATTAAACCGAACAGGATTATAGCATCATTCCCGGATTGCAAACAGGAGGTAAGGCCATTTTCATTCATTAGACGCCCAGATCACAGGAAGGAGGGAAACAGATTGACGAGAAAAGGCGGATTCTGGTTGCAGCTTAAAAAATTGCTGTAAACGTGCAGAGAGTTCAGCCCATGGACGTTTGGATGATGATGATGATGATGGTGCGGTGGTGATAAAGAAGCAGCTAAGAGGCACCGTGACTCACAGGCTGAAGGACGCTCCTCCATCGGCTGTGATCACGATGCACCGCGTCCTCCTCCTGCTGCTGCTGCTGCATCACCGCCACCCGCTGAATCAGACCTACATCTTATGGAGAAAAACGATAAATGACATTTTAAAAATCTATCGGGACGATTTGTGACGGATACAGCTGTTTGTGCTTCTGGAAGAAATGCCCTTCATACTAAAACCAACCGGACTGAAGTTAGTTTTAAGTTGGACATTTGACCAACATTTGCTCTGGTTAAAGCTGTTTATTAGCTCCGTTTAAAAACCTTCTTTGCACCGAATAAAATGCAATCGGAGAGTCGCTCCTGTGCTTCAAGTGCACCCGTATTACAGACTTTACAGTAAATAAAGCGGCGGCCGAAAACGGCTACATCGTGGAACGACTTCCTGTTTTCAAAATAAAAGGGTACTTTTTGAAAACGTGAAGCGACATAAAACGTTAATATTTACCTCGTATTTAGATATTTCAAATACCAAATAATAAAAAGGTGAAGTCATCGGAGTCTCATTATCCCAAAAGTGCCTATTTTTTCCATATAAAAATTAAATAAATCCGAAAATAAAACGCGTAACTATTGAAGCCAGTAATGTATTATAATCTCGAACTAGGCTGATATGGGAAATCCAAATTAAGCTATAAAACTCGATTGCTTCTCAGCTTCAAAAACTACACTTTTATTTTGAAAACAGGAAGTCAGTACGCGGTGTAGGCGTTTTCTACCGCCGCTTTGTTACTGTAAAGTATGTAATACGGGTGCACAGGAGCGCAGTTTACCCGGAGCCAGGAAGAGGTTTAAACGGAGCAAATGTCGAATATCCACCTTAAAACCAACTTTGCTGCGGTCTCTAGCAGGTTATTAACAGTCAACTGAAGTAGACGTTTATGATAAGCTATAAACGATGAAATTAAGTTTAATCAGTCAGCTGATATATATGTAGAGCAGTATTTACAATCTGCTCAGTCTATGCCTGAAGGGCAATTGGGCATTTAAAGCTTCTGCATTTGGCCTGAATGAGCCTTACAATGAGATAAAGTTAGCTGTGATTGCATATAGTTTAATGCATATTCAAACAAATATGCTCATTGATGGGCAGGTGCTGTTTAAACTGCAGTAATATTTCCAGTGATTATCACCAGAGGCCAGTACAGGAGCTGAGGTGATGTTAATGTGACCTTTGGTACAGTTTCTGCTATGAGTGAAGAGCCTTAAATGCTCTTTTTTTATCAGATCACTGATACATTTGTAAGAATAACCAGAGGCACTGTTGCAAATTAAATACAGTTTATTGAATTCACAAGTTCCTATGGGACCATCAGTTTATTTTATTGTATAAAAACCACATTGAAAGCAGGAGTCTATGCTGGCCCTGGAAACCTTATAGCTGGAAGACAAAGTTAAAACCCAACTAATTTAGTCTGTTTAGGGGAGGGAAAAAAACAACAACAAAAAAACACAAACTCAACTAAATACACCCAAGTGTCCCCAAAGTAAACACACTTGCACCACAAGCCCTGGTGAATAATACCACAAAGAAAAGAACAAAACTTCCCTTCCACTAGTCTCAATCTAGATGAAATAAAGCTTAGGACCAAGGGACAGCAGGTCAGAGGACTAGACCAAAAAAACTCCCCATTCCTTCAACCAAACCAGCAAAAAAACAAAAGATGTTTGACCAATTTAATTCAATTCAGTTTATTTCTAAATCTTCATCTCAAGGCACTTTCCAGTTCACCAGATCACCCAGTCTGATTCATTCAAAGTTTTCTATCTAAGGAAAAACCAGCTGATTGCATCGACTCATTGACTCTTCAGCAATCCCTCACTCTAAGCATGCTTGTAGCGACAGTGGAGAGGAAAAACTCCCTTTGAACTGGAAGAAACCTCCAGCAGAACCAGGCTCAGTGTGAGCGGCCATCTGCTGAGGCCCACTGGGGTTCAAGGAGACAGAAGCAGACATAGAAAAAGAAGCATAGATACAAAAGGCAACTGTCAACCAGCTCCACAGGCGGCCCCGTCCAGGAAACACACAGCCAGGCAGACGAGCTCCGAGCCAGCTCCCATGTCAGTTAGCTTAACCCTAGCAGCTCTACTACAGCACAGCAGTTACCAAATGATTTTGGCGACAAACACTGCTGTCCTAAGCAGCCTATTCTTCCAGAATTTCCTTTAAGATTGTTTGAAAAGCTTAAACAAGCCTTTTCATGTAATACTGCAACAAATACTGTTGGCTTGAATACTCGGTTTACTCACTTACTTCTTAGGTAATGCTACGTTCACACTTAAAGCAGCAGAGGCAGCAGGAGCAGCTTGTTTACATGAAAGTCAATGGCTGACAAGGTGTGGCAAAAGGTCCCGCAGCGCGTTTTGAGCAGAAGGAGCAGCGCATTATGAGCGTCTGAATGTCTGACGCGTGGAACGCGCTGCAAGCGAAGCAGCTGCTGGAGTTGGAAAAATTTAACTTTAGCTGCTGGACGCGCCACATCAACCAATCAGAGAAGCTGATCTGGGAGCTGGCAGGGAGTCAGACGCAGCACTGCTGATGCAGAGCGCTATGATCACTTCTCTGAAACAGTTTATTAACGCCTAAATTAACTTAAAATGCTGAAATCTGCCGGTAAAAGCGGTTCACTTTTATTATCCTGCTGCCCGCAGTTTGGATTATGTACATGAAAAATTAACTCTGGTTGAACTGACTGGACTGACCATGTTTTCAGGAGGACTTTTTCCCTTCAAAATAGATTCTAACTACTTTTTACCCGCTAATCACAGCAAAAATAGCCGCCCACCGCGCATCAGACCCACCTTTCCAACGAGCAGCTAGAGCAGCAAAGATGCTTCAGCCACGCGTCAGAACTAAACTTATAAAAGCGTCAAAAATGAAGCAGCACACATGATTTTGCTGCTCCTGCTGCTTGCTGTCTGAACGTAGCATTAGTTTAACTGTTGTACTGTTGAAATGATCTAATCACGTGTGCCATCATGCATAATGCTTTTTATGTGTGTGTGTGTGTGTGCACGCCCATTATAGTCAGAGTGTGTTCGTGTGGGAAAAAAAGCTATTTTTGCCGACCCTCCCCCCCCCTTGATGCAAAAGTGAAACTGCACCTGCTTCTGAGACAAAATGCTCAGCCACATCAATATAACTTCTTCTTCAGTTTTCAGTTTTGAACGCAGCTCCGATTGAAGTTTCTGCACCTGTTTGGAAGGTGGAGGCAAACACTGACCAGTGATCATGGCAGGTAAGCTAACCCACTTCTGGTTTATTAAGATCTATAAAGCTGTACCTGTAAAACAAATGTCTGCATGTGATGATTTTCTTTTTTCTTTTCTCTGTGTGGGCTAGAAAACAACTTCCCTCCCCTGCCTAGATTCATCCCCCTAAAGCCATGTTTTTACCAGGACTTCAATGAAATTCCAGACCATCAGCGCACCATGTGCAAGAGGCTCTACTACCTCTGGATCTGTGAGTGAACCTGCATGGGAAAGGCTTGAACAGTATTATCATTTTATTTTTCTCCATACAGCAACATGAATGTAAAGAAAAGGAGTAGGGCCACTGGAAAAGAAAAAGTTAACGGATTTTTACATTTTATTTCAGTATAATATGAGAAAAAAAGTTTTACTCTTTAATCTCAGAATTCTGATTTTTTTCTCAGAATCGGTCTCCGCCAGTCACGTGACATTTGTTGCCAAGACGCCATTTTAGGTGGAAAAGGCGTAGTGTAAACTAGGGGTGTAAATAATAATGGTTTTGTATCGATGCATCGATCCAAAAGCCGACGATCCGATGCATCGATTCGTCCGCAAGATAATCGATTCATGTTTTTTTTTTCCTCCGGTCTATTTTTATCCATTTGCTCCTGGGCGTAATTCTCCTCCCGTGCTGCGGTGGTGCTAAACCTATTTTGCCCTCCTACCTCGCTTCCTGGTTATGCTCTTACAGCAGTGTGTTGCAGTGAGCTTGACACAGACATTTTAAAATTATGCTCAATATTGAAGCGTGGTCTGTGCTACACGCTGTGGGTCTAGATACGGCCGAGGCGGAGAGGAAGTGGGGGCGAGTTTAGTCTGACGACGGAGGGACATGAGGGCCAAAAAGAGCGGAGATCCAGGTGGAAAAAGGGTCCCAGCGTTCTCGCGCACCTCGCTCTTCTAGCGGGTCAAACTTCACGAGTTGTTTTCCGCAATTTCGGTCATAAAAACAAAACAAGCCGGCCTCCTGTCTGCGGCACTGTCTGCGGTCAGCTACAATCTGGGAGAGGAGCAGCGGAGCGTCTGTGGAGGGGGCGGTGACGTCGTCACTTCTTCTTCTTTTTTTTTAATGGCGGTTGGCAAACAACTTATAGGTGCATTACCGCCACCTTCCAGAATGGAGTATGGACCAGACAAACTATTATATTCTCCCTAAAATACCCGTTCTTCTTAGTAGGGTTGTCACGATACTAAACTTTTCAACTCGATACCGATACTACGGAAAATACTCGATACCATTTTCGATACCACAAGGATAAAAACAAAGACTCCAAAATTCTACAGAAATATTTTCATTAATAAATAAAATACAATAAATAAATACAATAAAGGTTGTATGCTGTGCATAATATAAAGCAAGCTTGATAAAAAAACTTATAAAATTAAAATTAAGTGTTCCTTCCTTTGCACACATAACAATGACAAACCCGTTAAGAAATAAAAATAATTCTCAGCAGCTGCACCTCTTACAAAAAAAAGTCTGAAACTGAAAAGTGCGTAGAATTATTCAATCACACAGTGTTCTGAATGTGCATTGTCCTCTATTCTGCACTTTAGATGAATGACTGCTTAGGTGCCACTGGTGACGGCACTGTATCGATACTTTTGAAAATGAGTATTGTATCCGGATACAACGTTTCAGTATCTATACTTTTTTGAGTTTCGATACTTTTGACAACCCTACTTCTTAGAAAATTAAAAATACTACCAAAAACTACATCCCCAGATGACCTTTGAAACAATTCCCTTATATGTAGTTTATTTTTATTCCTGTCTAACTCTCTACACAACATCTCTCTTTCCTGAGTATATTTATTACATTCTAAAAAAAAATGTTGGACAGTTTCTCTGGAGCCGAGGTATTGCATTGAACTCATTGCACTGATTTTTGCAGTATTTTTTGATGCAACTTTTCTACTTCTGTTATTTGCTGTTGTTTCTAAAGAAAATGCATAATGATATTACAGCTTTCATTGATTTATTTCAAACTTGAAACTTTGTTTAGCCTGTAAGGTGTAAAAAAAACAAAAAAAACAATTAATCGATTAATCGAATCGAATCGAATCGTGGTGTATTCTTGAGTATCGAAAATAATCGAATCGTTGGGTCAGGAAATCGATACTGAATCGAATCGCCATGATGGATGTGATTTACACCCCTAGTGTAAACAACCGCAGCATAGCTAAACGAAGGACTAAAGGCCTGCTTACATAGCAGCCTGTCCAAGATAAGTCATTACAGTTAACATAAGCCTGAAAACAGGGGCAGATTTACGAAAATCGGTCTCCGCCAGTCACGTGACATTTGTTGCTAAGACACCATTTTAGGTGGAAAAGGCGTAGTGTACCGCGCCCGAGGTAAACAATTGACGTCACTTGTCGGAGACCGATTCTGACTTTTCCCTCAGAATTCTGACTTTTTTTTCTCAGAATTTAATCTGACTGACTAATCTAGTAACATTATCAGAAAATGGGTAAAGATCTTACATTTTTAGCAGCATAAAATCTATCAACAAAGATATATTAACATTTGGGTCCCTGTTTCGTAGTTTTGTAAAAATCATTGATGAATTACGATATGAGGTATATATTTATGATTTTTAAAGCAAAATGCTGTACAGCTCCCTTTTTACATTTTATTTAATGGTTATTTGACAGATCAAAACACAGTAAAATCAGTTGTTAAGAAAATGATTCATAGTTTGTTTGAATGTTTGACTAAATCAAACCTAAAAACCTTTTTGTGCCTTTTGTATTCAGGCCCCTTTACTTTGATACTCCTAATTACAACCCTGCTTTATTTAAAGCCACTTTATCAGTCAGCAGAGCTTAAAGTTTGTAATTTAAACGTAAATCTGTCTCTAAAGGTTTCACAGGAAGCTGCAGCAGAAAGAAGACCAAAAGAAATCCTTTTTGTGGCCGGTTATGTGTCATGCAGGGGAAAAACAACCCGCAGGCGGCCTAGATTCAAACGCCTGTGCGATTCTTTTAAATGAGTTAACATTAAAAAATAAAAACAAATTAAGACAGGATTTTTTTTTAAATAGAAATTTCTAACTTTTGGGACAATATCATCTGATAAAGACAACATTTATATACATGTTTAAGCCAGAATGATTTGACATTTAAATATGATTTCCCTACGACTTTAAATAGAACAGAAACAAAATTCATTACCAAATGTTTTTGTTTTACTTTGTTTTGTCTTCCAGATATAACAAGAGTTTAGTAACTGTGAGGAGAATTTCTGCTATATAAAAAAATAATAATATAGCATGAAATGTTTGCAACTACAAAATATCTTGTATCTTGATCCCTTCCTGCTATAGATAGGAATAGCGTTTAGTTCCAGGTTTTATCCAGCAGCCCAACAAAGCCTGGTTTTGGTTTAGAAAACATGCAAATAGAAACAGATGAACGGGTCCCCCCCTTCGGAATGGGGGTCGTTTGGCTTCTTTGTTAGCCTGCAATGCCCCATACCTGTCTATGTCTCTGTTCGAAAACCTAGGACGCATCCTTAGAAGACCGGATTCGAAGGACGATTACGTCATAGCGAGGCGCCGAGGTCTGGTCGGATTCCAAGACTCCTCCTCATGCGGCCTTAAAATGCGTCCTTCTTTTTGCCCGATTTGAAGGACGGGTCCGATGTATCCTCGCTATCCTTGGATATCCCAGGATTCATTGCGAGACCAAGCAAGCTGTGATCAGAGGGAAGGTTACTTGGCGCCGAACAGTGGTGAAAATTGGAAGTTCAGTTTAAAATAATACAACTCTGTGAATAGTTCCATCTGAAATTAATGAAAATAGTTGTTTTAATGGTTATAGAGTCAGATATGTGGCGGTAATGTTTGATTTATCTAAAGGTTTTAATTAGTTACTGTGTAAATCGGTTTGGCTGTAATTTAAGGACAGATTCTAATATATCTGCAGGATGGGGACTATAAATCTGATAGGATTTTTATCTTTTTATTGCTGTTTTGCACAATATGCTTAACTAAGTATTTTTTGTTGTTGAATATTAGAGATTTTGCAGATATATTTTTTATAAATACATTGTTTAGATTTACTTATATCTTTCTACCCCTTTTATAGAATAGAATAGAAAATCCCTTTATTGTCCCACAATGGGAAAATTTACAGCAGCAGAAAGATTATTGAAAATGGTCACACAAATGTGGACCTTAGAAAAATGTATAAGAATAACATAATAGGGAAGAGTTAAAATATAAACAATAAAATACTGTAAAGTGTTTTAACAATATAAAACTGGAGAATTAATAACCAATATGCAGCTATGGACATTTTTACAGTAATTTGAAAATAGCAGCAACATCAGAGATGTGCAGAATGACAGCAGCAGGTTATTTAACTGACTAAGGTTTCTATCATTACATTTGATTTGATTTGTTCCTGCTGCCGGTGGTTGGAACCTTTATTCCACTCTGGATTCTTGTTAATGTAGTCTTTGTTCACTTTACAATAAAAAAAAAAAAATAAACAAACAGTTTTTCCTGCTTTGTTGTCTCAACTTTCACGGTTGCTAAGCAACAGAGCTTACAGCGGTAAAACCCGCCGAAGGGTGGACCTGTTCGAATTCACAGCCTAAACTCTTCCGGTCTCCTTATTTTCACGGACTTCAAAGGATCCAGTCTAGGTAGACCGCGTCCTTGGAGGATGCAGCCCAGGACTTCGAACAGAGCCTGAGTCTCTGAAACGGGGGCATTAAAGGGAATTGTTGGCCTGGCTGAGTTTTGAGGACAAGATACCGCTACCATAAGGTGTAGTGGTAGAGCTACATCTTATGGACAAAGGTTCGTTTGAGGAACCAGAATGTTCACATTTTGGACAAAGAAGACAGCTGGTTTGAGAGGGGAGTGAAGGAAGCCATCTATGTCCATCCATCCATTCTGCTTCCGCTTATCTGGGGTCGGGTCCCACTGGCCTCCCAGTGGGACGTCCCTGGAACACCTCACCAGGGAGGCGTCCAGGAGGCATCCTAACCAGATACCAGAGCCACCTCAACTGGTTCCTCTCGATGTGGAGGAGCAGCGGCTCTACTGAGTCCTCCCCAGATGACTGAGCTCCTCCCCCTATCTCTAAGGGAGAGCCCAGACACACTACCGAGAAAACTCTTTTCAGCCGCTTGGATCCGGGATCTCGTTCTTTCGGTTATGACCCAAAGCTCATGACCATGGATGAGGGGAGGTACGTAGATCGACCGGTAAATCGAGAGCTTTGCTTTTTGGCTCAGCTCTCTCTTCACCACAACAGAGCGGTACAGCGCCCGCTTCACAGCAGATGCTGCAGCAACAGAGTTGATTCCTTCCTGCTATCATCGCAGCCCCAACCCCTTTACAGGAGAAGAGAGGACCTCCCCTATTCAGCCAGACCAACTATTCCCTTTAACGATCCCCCTTTCAGAGACATAGACAGGTATGGGGCATTGCAGGCTAACAAAGCAGCCAAACGACCCCCATTCCAAAGGGGGGGGACCCGTTCATCCGTTTCTATTTGCATGTTTTCTAAACTAAAACCAGGCTTTGTTGAGCTGCTGGATAAAACCTGGAACTAAACGCTATTTCTGACATTTTTAATTGAAAAATCTTCCTGGATGGAAGAGAAACGTCTTCAGACTTGGAAACAAAGTCCAGTGGATTGATTTTTGTTTTTTTACTTTCTTGAAAATATCTTGCGGCTTAGGATCAACACTGTTAGGTCCTTCCCAGCTGTTGGTTATTTATGGATATAGTAGGAAATACAGTAGAAATATACAAGTTAAGCAACCAAGAGCTTTAAACGCTGAAGATAAAAAAAAAAAAATTGTCTAAACGCCTCTGTCCTTAACGTGGTTGCTGTTATGCTGCATTCACACCGGACGCAGCAGAAGCAGCGAGTTTACATGCAAAGTCAATGGTTGACGCGCGTCAAGGCGCAGCAAAAAGTCATGCTACGCGTCTGAGCAGCTGAAGCAGCGTATCGGGCGCGTTTAAGCATCTGACGCGTCGCAAACGCGCTGCTGCTCGAGATGGAAAAATTTAAATTTTGCTGCTCGACGCATCAACCAATCAGAGAAGCTGATCTGTGAGCTGGCAGTGAGACAGACACATCGCTGATGAAACAGAGCGCTGTGATCGCTCCTCTGAAACAGTTTATTAACGCATACATTAACTTAAAATGCAGAAATCTGCCGGCAGAATATGTTCGCTTTTATTATCCTGCTGCCTGCAGTTTAGATTATTTAGATGAAAAACACCTACCAGCCGCCGTGGTGAACTGCGAGGAGGCGACCCGGCCAGAGGCTGCTGATGAAGGGATTCCTACTGTCGGCGCACCGCTGGTATGTGGGGGTTTGAGCGGCTCCGACAGAAATAATATTGGGAGGCAGGATTGTAATCTGAATGAACTGACGGCACTGATTACGTTTTCAGGTGGATTTTCTCAACATATTAAAACTACTTTATTCCCACTGATCACAGCAAATATAGCTGCAAGGCAGAGAAAGGATAGTGAAGCTCCGCCCAACGCACGTCAGACACACTTTTGCACCGCGCAGCCAGAGCAGCAAAGCTGCTTCAGCCGCGCGTCAGAACTAACTGGTACAAGCAGCAAAAATGAAGCAGCAGACGCGATTTTGCTGCTTTTGCTGCGTCCGGTGTGAACGTAGCATCAATCATGCAATACCCCCTTTTTGAATTGATGTTTATCTGTAAAGTTTTCTTTGCATAAATATCAAGTCAACTTGTAAAAGTGAGGAGGGGGCACTAGGACTAGATGAATGTTGCAGAGGAACCTTTGGATCAGCAGAATGAAACCGTCATGCTGCTCTGTCCCTCTGTGATGCTGACAGTGAACACTGCCACACTAGCCGTGAACCTGATTGGCTGCCTGGCCTGGATGTGCGGCGGAGGAGGAGCCACTAACTTTGGCATGGCCTTCCTGTGGCTCATACTCTTCACTCCTTGTTCCTACGTGTGCTGGTTCAGGCCCATCTACAAGGCTTTTAAGTAAGCACCCCCCCCTCCCCCGCAGCATCCACACTGTGAAGCGTTTCCACCTGATTCACCTCCTGTCAATCATCTCCTCTCTGCAGGACCGACAGCTCTTTCAACTTCATGGCTTTCTTTTTCGTCTTCATGGCTCAGGTGGTGATAAGTATCATCCAGTGTGTCGGCATCCCAGGGTGGGGGGTCTGGTAAGAGCTTTCACTCGTTAATGAAATAATATTGATAAAAGCTTTTTTGGATTTAATATCTGAACTAAGATAAGTCATTGGATGTTCAGTGTTTGTTGTGCATACCTCATAAGTGACTCATTTCCTGGTTGTGGTTCCCTCAGTGGCTGGCTGGCAACCATCACCTTCTTCAGCACCAACATCGGCTCAGCTGTAGTCATGCTGATTCCCACCATCATGTTTACTGCCGTGGCGGTGCTCTCCTTCGGCGCCCTCGCTAAGGTGATCATTAGAGATTATTCCTCTCAGTTTATTTGCTTTGTTATTTTTATTTATTTATCTGTTTTTTTTTTAAATAAGAGATATGAGCTTAATTACTCTTTGCACTTATTTTTATTCTTTTATCTTTTTACCAAACTGCTTTAGATCTGTGGTCATTTCTCATCTTTAGCTGCATTTTTTTTATTTTAATATCTGTCAAAGAAGGGAAACGGATTTAATTTGTGGGGCAAAGAGGCAGAAGTAAAAAAAAAAAATCTGTGACATGGAAAAAAAATTGGAAATTCAAACGCAACCCGGAATTTAACCCTAATTTACATTTATTCAGTTAGTTTCTATTTCATCCTAAATTATTCCTTTAATGTATTTTATGAAATGTATTTTCGTATAGATATATATATATATATCTATATATATATATATATATCTATATATATCTATATCTATATCTATATCTATATATATATATATATATATATATATATATATATATATATATATATATATATAGATATAGATATATATATATATAGATATATAGATAGATATATATATATAAATATAGATATATATATATATATAGATATAGATATATATATATATATAGATATATATATATATATATATATATATATATAGATCTATATATAGATCTATATATAGATATATATATATATAGATCTATATAGATATATATAGATATATATAGAGCATAGAGCATTTTTTTTCTAGAATTAAGCAGTTATGTGAGACCTTGGCAATAGAATAAGGCAATTTACATTTAAAATAAGAAAAAAACTGCAGTCTCTTATTTCAAGTGCATAATATCTAATTGTCTTATTTTATACTTGTTTTAAGAGTAAAAATAATCATTCCATTGGCAGATTATCTTATTTACCTGCTCAAATTAAGGATAAATGCAATTAATTTAAGACATTTTTACTAATTTTTTGATAGTTTTTAGAGTGTAGAGCCTGATCGCCCCTCGTTACCCCCTGTGCGCTACGTGACGCACGATCAGGGTGAAACTCGGCCTGATCTAAATCTCGCATGACTGGAGAAGTGGCCAGAAAAGGGCCGGTTGTACAGTCTATGCCCGGCTTAAGTACATTTTTTTTTTTTGCATTTTTCCCACCTCTTCATAGGGGGTCCAGTGCCCCCCATGCTCCTCCCTTTAGCTCCACCCCTGTCTAAAATATCTGTGTCTCTTATTAAAAGCTTAGTAAAGGATCATCTCATTCTCCTTCCAGGTGCATAATTTCTACCGTGGCAGCGGCGGCAGTCTGGGTAAGGCCCAGGAGGAGTGGACCACGGGGGCCTGGAAGAACCCACACGTCCAGCAGGCGGCTCAGCAGGCGGCCATGGGCGCCGCACAGGGAGCGATGCAGCAGAACCAGTACTCAGCGGCTCCCACCTACAATTATGACGACCCGATGTAGGACAGGCGGGCGAGCGGAGAGAGAGAGAGAGCTAAAAAGGGATCAATTAAGAATTAGGTGCCCTTCATTTCAATGCAGGACAAACTCATTTCAGATAGAAAATAAATGAAGGAAAAATGTACTTTTAAACCAGTTAAATACCTTAGAAAGTTCACTTTTGGATTAACGACTTGCTGGTATTGTTTTAGCGATTGAGCCAGTCTTAAAGAAATGCCCCCTCTGCTCAGCAGAACTCACACATTAATATTTCCCAACTTATTTTAAATCTTCTTTGTGTTTCTAGTGGGAGTAAGAGCTAAACCTACTTAAAGGTTGATTAAAGGCACACAAAAACTTTGAATTTATTTCTGTTAATACTCACAGATTAGCCGCCAGGCCATATTAAAACATTAAAAATAAGTTGTTAGAATGAGATAGATGTAAATTTATTCATTATCTAGTCAAAAATGTATCTGATTCTCATTTGATGCAACAAAATCAGACCTAATTCTGTTTGTTGGATCTTTATGAATTCCTTTAGAGGTGATTTTTATTTACCTCCAAGGTTTTAAAGCAGTAGCTTTTCTTTCATGTTGCTATGCTAGCCATAGCATCACATCCTAGCCTGTCATGTAGTATGATAACGATGAAGCTACTCTTCAGCCATAAGAACTTTTTTACGTCAACGACTTAAACGTTCAGATCGTTAAACGTTCGGATAGAAGTCTCTCAGCAATCTTGGTAAAGATGCGTTAAAAAAAAAGGAACAGATGGATCCGTCAGTGCAGCAGCAGAATCTCACAGCAAACATTTGGATCCTGGAAACGAGAACAAGAATTTTTTTGATTAGGATTTGGATTCATTGCATAAATACCCTAATAATCATTTTATGGTGGCATGCAAGAAAATAATTCTGCTTTATGTTTTCAGTAAACAAGCAGCAAGATCTGCTAAATCCGAGCTGAGGAAAGGAGGAGATTATTTGGAGACAGAAACAAGCAAGTTTTACTGAAGCGTATTGGATTCACCAAAGAAAAAATAATCAGACAGATTATCTCATAATAACGAGATATTATGAGATAATCTGTCTGATATTTTTTTCTATGGTGAATGCAAAATGCTTCTGTACAATTTGGAGGGAGAAATTCAAGTTAAAGTCAATAAACGGGGGCTTTGGAAAAAACGAGTAAAGAATATTTTAATCTCAAAAGTAAACCCTAAATTACGGAGCCCCTAAAGGGACATGAAGGGGGAAAAAAGAACTTTTGCGAGATCCCGCAATAGTTTTGCAGGATCCCGCAATAGTTTTGCGAGATCTCGCAACAAATAAACTTTTGCGAGATCCCGCAATAGTTTTGCAGGAACCCGCAATAGTTTTGTGAGATCCCGCAATAGTTTTGTGAGATCCCGCAATAGTTTTGCGAGATCCTGCATTAGTTTTGCAAGATCTCACAAAACTATTGAAGGATCTCGCAAAAGTATTGCGAGATCTTGCATCAAATAAACTTTTGCGAGATCCCGCAATACTTTTGTGAGATCCCGCAATAGTTTTGCGAGATCCTGCAATAGTTTTGCGAGATCTCGCAAAAGTATTGCGGGATCTTGCAAAAGTTTATTTTTTGCGAGATGTTGCAAAAGTATTACGAGATCCCACAATACTTTTGCAGGAACCCGCAATAGTTTTGGGAGATCCCACAATACTTTTGCGAGATCCCGCAATACTTTTGCAGGATTCCGCAATAGTTTTGCGAGATCCTGCATTAGTTTTGCAAGATCTCGCAAAACTATTGAAGGATCTCGCAAAAGTATTGCGAGATCTTGCATCAAATAAACTTTTGCGAGATCCCGCAATACTTTTGTGAGATCCCGCAATAGTTTTGCGAGATCCTGCAATAGTTTTGCGAGATCCTGCAATAGTTTTGCGAGATCTCGCAAAAGTATTGCGGGATCTTGCAAAAGTTTATTTTTCTCGAGATGTTGCAAAAGTATTACGAGATCCCACAATACTTTTGCAGGAACCCGCAATAGTTTTGGGAGATCCCACAATAGTTTTGGGAGATCCCACAATACTTTTGCAGGATTCCGCAATAGTTTTGCGAGATCCCGCAAAAGTTTATTTTTTCCCTCCATGTCCCCTCAGGGGCTCCGTACAAAAGAATTATAATCATGTTGAAGGTTGAATTTTTCCTAAAATGTGAGATTGTGCTTCTCTGATAAATAGATCCTGTATTTAACGACGTCTTTACCAATAATTTAGTCGCTTCTCTTTTTAATTAAAACGATTGTTTTGCTGCCGTTTTGATTTAGTTTAAGTTAAATAATTTCCACATTCTCAGGGCGGGTGCAGGAGCTGTTTTTTAAACACATCAAGTTTTTTTTAGGGGAATTATGTCTTTGTTTTATTGCCCCTGTTAAGCCATTGAGGAACATCTTTTCGTTTTGGTTGATCAGGCTGATTTGCGTTCAGGCGAAGCACACAGCGTTTAGAGTTTCTTATCGGATAAACATTCCTAATCAAAGCTGAACACGAGAAAAGTGAAGGAAAACCAAAACAATCATTGAAAAAAAAGAAAAAGTTATAAATAATGGATATATTTGTTGTCGGTGCTCAGTGATGGATGTCCCCCCCCCCCCATATTCTTCCATTAATCCCTACAAGTGGAATGCTTGTGAACTTCAGGCCTTACATTAGTGTGTCATCTTGTGGTTGTTGGTGTAATTCCATGAATTGATGTAATATAAGGTAGAATATTAAATTAAAGTAAATGATTTCCTAATGAAGTGAAGCATAAAGAAGTGTGTTGCCCGGGTGACGCCATGTTGATCTGCAGCCAGACGTCTGAGAGCTTCCCAGGGATCCAGTTGGAGGCTTTTCCAGTATTAAGCTTGATAAAGCTGTGAACATGTGTAACTTAATGGTCCTTATTTTAAAAATCTGTGGTTCGTCTTGTCCCGTTGTGATGATGTGGTTTTAAATAAGCAGTTTTTTATTTCTTGGTTTTAATTTTGCACCCACCTCTTGTTTGTTTTTTTCCTGTGTTTTTTATTTTTATTGTATTTTTTGGGGTAATTTGTGGACGAGACTGAAGCACACGTTCATTGTGTTCGTTTGATGGCTGTGATGAAATGTTTGCTTTAATTATAATTCTTTTCTCAACACCAGAAGTTGGATTTACAGTCAAGCAATACTTCTATAGACAGAATCTAGTCAGATTGAACATAAACTGGCTTCTTCGGATATTATATTGTCTTAGTTTGAGAGGATTATAAAATAAAAAATAAAAAAAACTGTTTTAAAGGGGATTGATTTTATTATGCGACTGCAGAAAAAATGTTTCACCAGCAGAGGCACATGAAGTAGTTATTGATCTGTAAATTGCACTGCACATCTGCTCATCCTTTGTTTTTAGTTTCCTATACGGTAAATGTAAAACATTGCACTGATGTAAGCAGTTTGTTAGGGAAATTAGCAGTGAATTACTTATGTCTTAGCGACTGCAAACTCCTGAAAGGCGTCACTCTGCATTCGGTGTGGCTGTATCAAAGCTTCTGGAAACCATTTCCCATGTTTCCCACCTTTACTGTACTGTATGTTCTATGAAATGTATTATCATGTATCATAAGTAGTCCTGAATATTTATGGAGGTAAATATTTGCCATGGATAAAGACATGCTGTACTTAGATGAAATAAATGTTTGAGGAGGCCTCGTCTCCTTAAGTGACGTAAATGAGGAACACATTTTTTTGTGTGTATTACTTTTGTATTATTTGGTCCTGATAGAAATTAAATTGTTCTTGTTTCAGCCGGCTTTTTATTTTCTGAGTAAATGCAAGATGGTTATTTATTCCAGTTGACAAAAAAGAAAAACATTAGTAAAGTTTAAACAAATAATTCATTTTGGATAGAAATGGTCGACGTAATGAAACTATTTTTGATTTTTTTTTAATGTCAGAATTATTTCTTTTCTTTATGCTCTCCTGATTTGATGTCTGTTTTTCCACCTGTGCATCACCAACAATGTTTGCATAAACTTGCAAAAGGTTTCAGTAAAAAATTTATATTAATTAAATACAAAATTATATAATCTACTTAAAAGTTCCTATTCACAAAGTTCCTTAAATGTTTATTTTCAGTAAAAAAAAAAAAAAAAAGCTTTAAATCATTAATTAAATACAGTTGATGAGTCAGAGTTAAAGCAGAAGGGAAGCGCGGGTTTAAAACTTGTTTCATCATTTCGTTGCTTTTTAATTTTTTCCACAAAAGACAAGTGATCACAAAGTTTGTTTTTTTGGAAAAATTTGTTTTTTGGTCACTTTTTATTAAAGTGTTTTAAGTGACAAACACTTAAAAAAGTGTTTGTCACCTTTTTACTATTTTCTAAGGATGCCATTTAACATGATTGCATCAACTCTTCAGCAATCGCTGACACTAAGCATGCTTGTAGCGACAGTGGAGAGGAAAAACTCCCTATATAAGTGGGGTAAGCATTTTACTGGGGTAAAATGTTTTGTTTTGGACGATTAAATGATTCCCTCTGAATTTAGTAAGAATATAAACAAAACAAGGTCCAGAGGCGTCCCTGGTGAATCTATATCATTAATGGAAGAGCAGAAGGTGATTAAAACAAAAGAGCTAATCTATAAAACAGACATGGCTACGGCTTGATGCTAACGTGTTTGTTAGCTGGCAGAATTCTGAGAGAAAAGTCAGAATTCTGACTCTTCCCATGTTAAATTGAAAAAAAAATAAAAATCAGTTAACTTTTTTTTTTCCAGTGGCCCTAATGCTCTTCCGTAACATAATGGAACTATTTTTGATTTTTTTTTTTATGTCAGAATTATTTCTTTTCTTTATGCTCTCCTGATTTGATGTCTGTTTTTCCACCTGTGCATCACCAACAATGTTTGCATAAACTTGCAAAAGGTTTCAGTAAAAAGGTTATATTAAATACAAAATTATAAAATCTACTTAAAAGTTCCTATTTACAAAGTTCCTTAAATGTTTATTTTCAGTAAAAAAAAAACAAAAAAAAAAAAAACTAAATCATTAATTAAATACAAAATGTTAAAATCTAGTTGATGAGTCAGAGTTAAAGCAGAAGGGAAGCGCGGGTTTAAAACTTGTTTCATCATTTCGTTGCTTTTTTATTTTTTCCCCAAAAGACAAGTGATCACAAAATTTGTTTTTTGGTCACTTTTTTTTAAGTGTTTTAAGTGACAAACACTTAAAAAAGTGTTTGTCACCTTTTTACTATTTTCTATGGATGCCATTTAACATGATTGCATCGACTCTTCAGCAATCGCTCTTACTAAGCATGCTTGTAGGGACAGTGGAGAGGAAAAACTCCCTATATAAGTGGGGTAAGCATTTTACTGGGGTAAAATGTTTTGTTTTGGACGATTAAATGATTCCCTCTGAATTCATTAAGAATATAAACAAAACAAGGTCCAGTGGGATCCCTGGTGATGCTATATCATTAATGGAAGAGCAGAAGGTGATTAAAACAAGAGAGCTAGTTTAGTCTCTAAAACAGACATGGCTACAGCTTGATGCTAACATGTTTGTTAGCTGTCAGAAAGTCAGAATTCTGAGAAAAAAGTCAGAATTCTGACTTTTTTCCCATGTTAAACTGAAATAAAATTTAAAAATCAGTTAACTTTTTTTTTTTTTCCAGTGGCCCTAATGCGCTTCCGTAATATGAAACTATTTTTGATTTTTTTTTTTATGTCAGAATAATTTTTTTTAATGCTCTCCTGATTTCATGTCTGTTTTTCCACCTGTGCATCACCAACAATGTTTGCATAAACTTGCAAAAGGTTTCAGTAAAAAAATTATATTAATTGAATACAAAATTATAAAATCTACTTAAAAGTTCTCAAGAAGTATTAAAAAGTTCCTTAAATGTTCATTTTCAGTAAAAAAAAAAAAAAAAAAAATCTAAATCAGAGGTCTTTAACGTTTTCTAGGCCAAGGGCCCCCGAACTGATGGCGAGATGGAGCGGGGACCCCCTAATTATATATATCGTATGAAATTATGTTATATTGGGATTATTAGAGTATTCCTGATTCTGATTCCTGGTTGATGGGACAGGTGTTGTGAATGAAACGGTGTCCAGCTTGAAAGAACTCCTGGGTGTCGCTGAATGTGAGCATTGATGACTGAAAGACATCTTCTGCCTCCATTTATCTGTTTACTACAGTATGTTTTGAAGACATTGCAATTAGTGGAAACAATTGCAGGGGGGGAATATAGAAGAAAATCTTAATCAACTAAATCTTTCGCGACCCCCATGCAGTACCTCTGTGGACCCCCTAGGGGTTGCGGCCCCCCTGTTGAAGACCTCTGCTCTAAATCATTAATTAAATACAAAATTATAAAATCTAACATGTTTGTTAGCCGTCAGAATTCTGAGATTAAAGTCAGAAAATTGTGAGAGAAAAAAAGTCAGAATTCTGACTTTTTTCTCATAAACTGAAACTGATACTAAAAATAAAAAAAATCTGTTTTAATTTTTTTCACTGGCCATAATCCTCTTCCGTAAATTCATTTGGACTCTTTAATAGAAATACCTGTTATGAACATAGATTAAAAAAAAACAGCAAATATTTTAAAATTCTTTATTCATAAACTTGATGCAAGTTTACAAATTACTGTACATGGTCAAAATATCTTCAAATGGAAACTGAAACAAAAAAAAAAAACAAATGGGGTGAGCTAAAAGCAATGACTAATTATTTCCTTTGTTGGTAAAAGAATTAAACAACTGAGATAAACGGATGTTTTCCAACAGACAGTCCAAGTGGAGAAGAATGATGATGTCATCACTTCATGGAGGTCAACTTCAGCTCTTCAATATCTGGCCTTTTTTTTTTTAGAGATATTCTTTCTGATTAATAAAGTTCTTACAGCAAATATTGTTAGTAAAGGAGCAAAAGATTTTGGGTGTAAATAGTTAAATATTTGGGCTGCTCAGTGGTGCAGTGGGTTCCATTCCCGGCCGAGGGTCGTTTGCATGTTCTCCCTGCATGTCCAAAAGCCTCCCACAGTCCAAAAACACGACTGTTAGGTTAATTGGCTTCTCTACATCCTCCTTAGTGTCAGTGAATGGATGTTTTTGATGGAGATGGACACCAGCACCCCTTGTGGGATTATAAATGGATAGTTTGTGCCAGAAATGCAAGAAAAGCTTCCAACAAATGTAACAGAGCATGGAGGGAAAAATATGCGTTTCTTTCCTGAACTGAAAATATTAAGTTAACTTGTTCCTAGAGCGCGTCCTCAAAAACATCCTTGCCAGATATGCAAACGATATGGAAACTTTTCATAACTCACTGAAGCTAGGAGTAAATAAAGTCAATATTAAAAAGATAATTCTGCAGAATTCCCACTTCTGTTTGGGTCCTCAGCTTTCATTGCCTAAATCCGACAAAAATAAAGTATTTCTAAAATCCTGGTTGTTTTGAATGACATCTTACTTGATAAGGAGGGCAAACATTAGTCCATTTAAAACCCAGATAACTCAACACAAACACGCATGAACCTCCTTATAGGAATCACTGGTTACCTGAGTTGCCTTGAAGACATACTTTTGCAGACGGTTCGAACAAATAACCTGCAAAAGAACCATCAGATCGACAGATACAGTGTGCGTCCTGTGCTAAGGGGATGGACACCTGTGGCGTGCTGCGGCGCTTTGCATCATTAGGATCAAAATGTTGGAGTTTTAATGTCAGTCTTCCTTCTCCATCACAATAACGCAGTTTCCTTTATGACTCCAAAAACAAACGTCGTAGGCATTTAGCTAGAGACTGGAGAATAAGATCGGCCAAGATCCAGAAAGGCTGTGATTGATTGATTGATCGACAAGGTGTGGCTATTAAACAGAAGCTAAGGATGTTCCTACACAGGCAGTGATTAAGAATCAGACCAGAGAGGCCAAAGATCGGGAAAAAAATCGGTAAAGGAGGAGATATTTGGGCTGCTTTTGTCATTTCAAAGTAGTTTTCTACAATTGTCTATAGTCTACTCAAAGAAATGTAGTTTAATAACTCCAATAACTAGAATGTAGGTGGCTTAGAGGCTCAATTAAGAGTTAAAATTGTATAAAATGTAATAGTATAAACTGAGATCAGAACTAAAATAAAAGTGGATGGACTGCCAGTCTAAATTTAAAGACACAATATGAAATTAAATGACATTAGACATCAGATTGAATCACTTTAATGACCATTTTTAGCTTTAATTCATAAAAATGATGAACCTACAACAAATGATAAAGTCATACACTAAGGTTTGTTTACAGGGGAGGAAAAACGGGATGTAGGTGGGGAGTAAATGGAAATATGTAGGTACAAAAATCCGGCTGCAGAGCGGCTCAAGGGGCACATAGATCTAGAGTCCTTTATTTCTGCTAAAAGTGGTCCGATTGCTATGAAGGTCAGAGCCGAAAGGAGGATAAAAAAAAAAAAAAAAAAAACATCTTGAAAATGTAATTAGTCTGACAGTTGGAGAGAGGGAAGCGAAATGGAAATATTCAGACTGAACCACGTGAACGGACCTGTCTAATAGCCACACTTTGTCTGTTTGTTTATACAGCTCAGAGGAAGGGACCGCTGTCAGATGTGACACATGCTGTTAACTTTGAGCAGAAAGGACTTCGTTTGGGCATCAAACCTTCACAGCAAAAAAAAAAAACAGAAGTCTGCCAGCAACACTAAAAATAAGGCAAAACCAGCCCTTCAGATTTAAAAATAAAACCTGTCAGAACGAAACCTTCTGTTAAAGTATCTTCTCCTCACATCTGAGCTTTCCTTTCACCACTGGCTGATCAGCTGATCTTTATTTCAACAACAGTAAAACCTTTTTGATTCCTTATTTCATGAATTTTGAAGAAAAGAAAAAAGGCTGAGGGACGCAGAGAAGCTTCTCGGGTTTAAGATATGCTTCCAACATTTACCATATAACATCTAGGCTGTTCAAATAACAAAAAAATAAGTCAAATAATGTCTAAAACAATATTGCATTTATGTACCTGTTAATCTCCAGAAGAAGAAAAAAAATAAAAATCAAATCACAGTCAATTTAAAAACTGGTGCAATGAGGTGCGACTTCAAGAGCTTCGGTTTTGATCTTTAAAAAACAAAAAAACGGCATTTAGACAGAGGGTCACTCACTGTGGGGTCCACTTCGCTAAAGCAGCTAAAGAAAATTATTTCCCCCACATCTAAAGGGGAGGAGAAATCTTTGTTTCCTCCTTTTTTCCCCCCCAAAACAAGAGATGGTTTAGAAATGTTCCTCTCAGATTCTCCTCACTGAAACAATTAGGGGAGGAGAATAAAAAAAAAAAGTCTTTTCCAGAGCTTGGCCAGAGAATACTTGTCAGATGAGGCAGCGAGATGGTTTCTATGAGAAAGATGATAAATTCCCAGTAAGTCAGAGCGGGAAAATATTCTGAAGAAAACAAGATGACCCAAAGACGTGTTCCCAGTGCATAGCGGGGGAGCCGCTCCTTATCCATCCTCTTTAGGGGGTGTGTACCAGCCTGCAACCAGAGCAAAATTAGCACGTTTCACAAAAGTTTATCCAAATTTTTACTTCTTTTAAACATCAACATACCGTTCTTTTCGTGAATCTGCACGAGGGATTTGTACGACTGTTGTGCTCTGGCAAGATTGTACTGGTTCTAAAACACAAATGACAATCGCGTTAGAATCAGAAAAATCAATCCACTGGACTTTGTTTCCAAGTTTGAAGACGTTTCTCTTCTCATCCAGGAAGATTTTTCAATTTAAAATGTCAGAAATAGATACCAAACAGGAAATATCTGAGTTAACAGTGACACACACGCAGACGACCGGGTTACTGAGCATAAACCAGGCTTCAAATAGTCACTCAGTCCCCACTGACTCGCTAAACGCCACGACCACGGTGTGTTCTGCCTTAAAGGTGCAGTAGGAGATCTTTTCTGATGCATTTTTTTTACCATGCGGCTTAAAGATCTGCCCACAGCCGCTTAGCAAGCAGTGAATAGAAGGTCTGGAAGTGAAAGTAAATTAAACGCTCCTCGCTACAGTGAGAAATCGATGAATAACACCAACAATAACCCGACAAAAGACGGTCTGTTGTCCGCTATTGGATCCTGACATGTCAATCATGGTCGTCTGCTTGTCCCTCCCCCCTGTGTGCGTACCCTGACACATGAATCGACCCAATGCTCGTGCAGGATGCCATGGCTGGAAGCTAGCCACCGTTATGCTAAGTTCACACCTAAACCAGCAAGAGCAGCAGAAATGCTTGTGCTGCTTCATTTTTTATGCTTGTACCAGTTTAGTTCTGACTTGCGGCTGAAGAATCTTTGCTTTGCATCTAGCTGTATGATGGAAAAAGTGGGTCTGATGCGTGTTGGGCGGAGCTACGCTATCCTTTCTTTGCCTGGAACAATGGCAGCTATATTTGCTGTGATCCGTGGGTAAAAAGTAGTTTGAATCTATTTTGAAGTGAGAAAGTCCTCCTGAAAACTTAATCTGTGCAGTCAGTTCATCCAGATTACCATCCTGCCTTCAAAGATTATTTCTGTCGGAGCCGCTCAGACTCCCGTACACCGGCAGTGCGCTCTCACTAGGAATCCCAACAGCAGCCTCTGGCCGGGTCGCCTCCTCGTGGTTCACCGCGGCGGCTGGAAGGTGTTTTTCATCTAAATAATCCAAACTGCAGGCACCAGTATAATAAAAGCGAACATATTTTGCCGGCAGATTTTGACATTTTAAGTTAATTTAGGCGTTAATAAACAGTTTCAGAGGAGTGATCATAGCGCTCTGCATCAGCAGTACTGTGTCTGTCTCCCTGCCAGCTCCCAGATCAGCTTCTCCGATTGGTTGATGCAGCGCGTCCAGCAGCTAATTTTTCCAACTCCAGCAGCTGCTGCGTTTGCAGCGCGTTCCGTGCATCAAATGCTTAGCAGCTCACGATGCACTGCGGAACATTTTGCTGCGCCTTGATGCGTGTCAACCATTGACTTTCATCTAAACCAGCTGCTCCTGCTGCTTTAGGTGTGAACGTAGCATTACCTAGCGCAGAAGTAAGCGAGTAAACCGAGTATTCAAGCTAACAGTACTTGTTGTAGTGGTACGTGGAAAAGGCTTGTTTAGGCTTTCCAAACAATCTTAAAGGAAAATCTGGAAGAAAAGGCTGCTTAGGACAGCAGTGCTTGTTGCCAAGATCATTTGGTAACTTCTGTGCTGTAGTAGAGCTGCTAGGGTTAAGCTAACTGACCCCGATGACAGCCCCCCAAGATCTAATGTTGAACTAGCTGGGTTTGCCGAGCTGATTCCAGGTGTTTCCAGGTCAGCATTTGTTGCTACTGGCTCTGCTTCGAATGCTTGCCGGGTGTTGGCAGAGGTCATGGGATAATAAACTGTTTCAGAGGAGTGATCATAGCGCTCTGCATCAGCAGTGCTGTGTCTGACTCCCTGCCAGCTCCCAGATCAGCGACGCCCTGCAGACAGCGTGCGCGTTCATGCGTTTTGAAGGCGTGGTTCGAGGCGTGGTCTGAAGGGAGAGGCATGGTTGTTTATGTTCAAAAATAAAGCTTGCTGGATTCGTTTTTCTAAAATCTACAGCACTTTTAACAGCAGTTCTATTAGCAGTTTTCGTAGCACTTTTCTAAACTTTACTAAGCAACCATTGCTTCAAACACCTCAGCTCTTCTGCTTTCCTTGAAATTTGCTCACTTAAGTTCTCTAAAAAACCTCGGAGGACACGATACCTTATTGGCTCCAAACTGGACTCTGGCTTTGCCTTTAACCAGAGTTGCATTTATCTGCATAATGACAGATTCTATTGAGTAGGCACTGCTCCAGCCCTGTAAGCACAACATGGACACAAACTTATCAATCCAGCTTCCTACTACAGATAAATCTCCCAAACACTGAGTGGGACTCGGTATACGTACCTGTTTTGTGAGAAGTTCCATGCACAATGCTCCTCCTCCAAGGACATAACTAGAAAACAAACATCATTGATAATATTCATTAAGATTTTTTTTTAAGAATCTGTAGTTAATAGCATAAATAAAGCAACAGTAAAGGTTTGGGCTTCAGAAGTATGGAAAGCAGTGCTGTTTGATGAGGGATCAAGGAGGTGAAGATCACGGCACACTTACCCCCCAGAGAGCACAGGAGACACAACCCGTACAAAAGGAGGGTCAAAAGGAAAATTATCCTGTTGATGCCATAAAAAAACAAGAAAAACAAACAAAAATGTCAGTTTTGTAAAAAGAAAAAAAAAAGTGAATTTTCCCAAAGAACAAAATATAAAGCTTTGACTCACTTTATAAGAGAAATTGAGCAGAATGAAGTCCATTCCTTCCTTTTCTTTTAAAACCTGCAAGTCGCTATGCAATGGACTATCGGGATCTACCCTGAAAAGAAACCAGAGTTAGATCCAACAGATAAGACTGGACCTTTGGTGGCCAGAAGTAGAACTTACTTCCTTAACTTGACGTGCCATTCATAAAGGCTGTCACTGACTAGTTCGACTGAATAAATACCTAAAGAAAGGAGAAAAAAATGAATGGTTTATTTCATCCGTTGTAAAATTGAAAACCGCAGTAATGGCCCTGTCACACCTTGCTGATTTCTCCAGCCTACGCCTGACGTTCCAGAATCTTCTAAAAAAGCGCTGGCGTACTCTGAACTCTCAATTTTGGGCGTATACATAAAGTATTTATAACGACTCCAGAACTTATATCCAACAACAGCCTTACTTATCCATGACGCACGGCAGCGTAATGCCCATGAAATGATGCTGACGCATCAGTTAAAGTTGCTTAAGCATGATTTGAAACGACGCGCCTGGAGGCATTCTGTCTGCATGAAAAGATTTCTTTAATCGCAATATTAAAGGAATAGTACACCCAAAACATGATTAGCCTTCATTTTCTACTCACCCCCATGCTGAACAACACTCTGGAGTACTTTTTTGATATCTCAAATGCATCTGGAGATCTGGGAGGCTTCTTGCTGTCTGCTTCTTTGCCGAGCTGAATGCGCACTTTCGTCTGGTTTGGTCTGCCGCGGTTTCCGTAGACTTGTGAAGCGCTTTCAGGAAATCCTATACACTACTGTTTATGCTCTAAAAACATTCTAAATGACTTCGTTTCGAGTAAATTCTGGACGCTACCCACTCAGGACACTTGGAATACATTGGACGAGCAGTATGGAGGAATATTGACACGTTTTTTGTGGACTTTTATGGACCTTTCTGCCTCGGGCGCCATAGACCTCCATTATTTGAATGTCAGCAGACAGCAAGAAGCCTCCCAGATCTCCAGATGCATTTGAGATATCAAAAAAGTACACCAGAGTGTTGTTCAGCATGGGGGTGAGTAGAAAATTAAGGCTAATCATGTTTTGGGTGTACTATTCCTTTAACCTAGCTGCTGTTTATCGCACGACACGACCCCCCCCCCCCCCAAAAAAAAGAAGAAACAAAAAGGAAAAGAAAGACAGGTTCGCAGTTGTACCAGATTCAGCATCATGTCTGCCAGGAAGTCTGTCGGTCGTGGGCGTTGTCACTACCCGATCCGTCCTGGAAGCACCATCCGTTCTGCGCCATCAGCTCATTTGCGCATCCACACATACACCCGGGTTGTCCTTGATTTTATTTTGTTAAAAAGACCTAAATAGTTCTAAAATATTATCAATTAAAGGATAATAATGTATTTCCTGAGAAAATAAATGCCTTAAAATTCTTTCTGTCGTATACTACATCCAGTGGCTAACTTTTTGGGCTTTTGTTAGAATAATTGTATATAAATGTATCTGTGTAGTGTTATCATGTATAAAGCTGTGTGCTATGTGCATGTGTTCACAGCCACCTTTTCTGACGTATACTGTGATTTGTGAACTTGCTTTTGGGAAGTTTGTGATTGATTTACGTGCAGCACTCGACCTGCTGAACTTTGGTGAACAGCTTCAACCGCTTAAACTTTGACTGAACCCTGAAATTTATAGGATGTTTACTGAGACTGCAAATCATGTTGTTTCTCATTTCTAGAGCAGCCTCAGCTATTGTAACAAGAGACCCCTGATTTCTAATAAATAGCGAGCAGAATGCTGGGACTGCAGAGTGAGTAAAACTAAATTAATTGTCTCTGTGCTTTCTTTCTTTCCCTGCATGTATGTATGATGTTTTAGGTGCTTAGACCTGACAGCTTCGGATTTAAACATAAATCTAGTCTTTTTAAGTTTTATGGACATGTCATACCTTACGCAATATAGTGCACATTTTAAAGAAAGAAACTAAAATGCAGATAAACATGGTTTAATCATATTTTGCTGGACTGCTTTGGTCGTGTCCCATGATGACGTCAGAGAAGCAGTTTAACGAAGAAAATGTAAATAGCATAAAAATTGTCTCACAAAAGTCATAAAACGTTCTTTGACAATGTGTACTAGCATTCTTTAGTGAGTTAAGGATAGAAATAAGTAATTTCAGTACCGTAGTTAAATTATTCATGGAAACTCTGATGTACATGTTTTGGCGCATGCGCAGGACTGATTTTCCTTCACATTGTGGATATGTAAACCTTAAAACTGGTCTAATATATATTCTTTAAAGGCTTCTGTTTTATGCTATTATTATTTGTGGTCTAAATTTGTATGCAAAATAAATAAGGATGTTTTAATACGCAGGTTCAAAGTTTGAAGTTACAGTTTTATTTACAGTGATGGGGATGAAGTCTGGAGGAGAACTGACGGTGTCCTCCTGTGAACCCCCTTTATACCAAAACGCTGCCAATACGCCATTACACAGTAGCTGGAAGGTAGAAACACGTTCAGCGCTTGTCTGGAGATACTTTGATATGTGTTGGAGAGAAGTTCTGAATAAGTTACGAACAAGTTACTCAGAGGTTTAGGATAAGCTAGACGCCACGACTGATGAGGAACTGACACTGAACCTGGAACTGATGGCAGACGCTGGAATACGGCGGGATATTTTGAGCATGCTCAATATTTCTTGACGTACTCACCTTATGTTGACGTGTGCCAGCGGGCTCATAACTTATACACAACGTACCCATAACTTATCCAACGTATGCCAGCGTTTTTGTCAGACTTTTCGTACGTCAGGCAAGCGATGGTCTAAATAGTCAAGGTGTGACAGGAGCTTAAGAGAATGATCCCCGTCTTTACCCGTCTTGTAACTCTGTGACCTGTAGATCTCCCTGAGTTCCTTCATTAAGCGATCTGAGGCTTGCACCGAGCCAGACACCGCACCCTGCAAAAATATACAGCTGGTAAATTAAAAGTTTCCAGAATATGCCAGTGTCCAGTGTATGGGTGAGAATATACAGGAATATGAAACACAAAAAGAAACTGCCAGCTCTAAAACACTCTATAAACATAAAGAGTATCAGTAAGAGTCACTAAAGCTACGTTCACACTGCAGGGCTTGATGCTCAATTTCGATTTTTTTTTTTGCTTTGCCGTTCACATTTTCAAATTTATGTAACTTGTATGTGATCTCCTGTGTGAACTGCAGTCATACAACACAAGTGGCGTTCAGGTCGGATGAATGCGACCTGGCCGTTCAGACACAGGTCGCATTTAAGATCAGATTCAAATTCGATTCAGGACCACAGAGACTAGTGGCCTGAGTCCCATTGCAAAAAAATCTGATCTGTGTTGTTCAGACTGCCATGAAAATATCAGAACCAGATCGCATATGGGTCAAGAAAAAAAAAAAAAAAAGAAAAAAAATCGGACTTTGGTCCCTGCAGTTCTACGGTCACACTGCAGGCCTTGATGCTCAATTCCGATCTTTTTGTGAAATCCAATTTTTTTGGGTTGCCTTTCATATTCCCAAATATATGCGACTTGAATGTGATCTGTGTGAACTGCAGTCATACAATGAAGTGCCCCACATGCGCAGTAGAGGACGCAATGACATCACAGGCCAGCGTTCTCTGTGTTTATGGAGGTAAACATGCATGGTAGTGTCGGAGCGCATCTAGCGATCTTTCCCATTCATAAAAACACAATCTTTTCAAGATGGTTAAACATAAATACTGCTCTCCGCATCATTGTCTTTCACGGCTGTTGTTTTTCTTGCTGCTTCTGCGTAGCAAGACGCAGAATAGTGACCTTTGTCGGGTATTAATGGCGTTCAGGTCGGATGATGCGGCCTGGCCGTTCAGACACAGGTCACATTTGAAAAGATCAGAATCTAATCGGATTCAGGACCACAGAGCCAAGCGGCTTTAGTCGCAGAGGAAAAAATCGGATCTGTGTTGTTGAGACAGTAGGGGTGGAACGGTTCACAAAATCCACGGTTCGGTTCGATTCACGGTTTCGTGGTCACGGTTTTCGGTTCGATTCGGTATATGTTGATTGTTACACCGAAATCCCATAAAATTGATGAAATTAATGAAAAAAATCACCCAAAAAATAATGGATTGTAATTATTTTAAATGATCCGCGGAAACCCTGGATCATTTCCGTATGTTTTGCTGCTTTGAATTTAATCATCTCACGCATGCTCTCTACGATCTCCAAGGAACTCAGAGCGGAGCGGACGGGAGCCTCAGTGGAGGCTGTAGGCTTTGCTTTGTGCAGCCGGTCTGGAGCGCAGCGGAACGGGGGTTGCTGACGGAGTATGAGGGATTTCGGGGTTAGCATGACATGTTGGTCGTGTTGCTGTTAGCATAAACAAAACGTGTTGCACAATGATTGCACACTGTTTCACTTTTATCCACAACTTTCTTTCCGCCGTCATCGTAGGTCACTCTAAATGCAAAGTGGTCCCATACAGCAGACCTATAAAGTGCTGCTGGCGCGTCTTCCAACTCCTGTTCTTTCCCACTCGCCATACCCACACAATTCTCCACAACAACTGATTTTTTTCTGCTACACCCGGCTAAGCTGCTTCGCTTCTTCTTATTCTTGTTTACTACTGGTGGTTGGCTTTGGTCGCAGTACCGCCACCTTCTGGTCTGGAGTGTAAACGCTTCGCCTATGAGAAAAAGGAGCAGCGCATGAACCGAACGCAACACACGCGAACCGAACCGAGACAGTCGAACCGAACGGTTCGGACGGTTTTCATAAATCGTCCCATCCCTATCAGACAGCCATGAAAAGCTCAGATCCAGGTCGCATATGGGGCGAAAAAAAAAATCGGATTTGGGTCACTTCAGGCTGCGGTGTGAACGTTGCCTAAGAGGCACTCACATTCAAGTGATCTTGTCTCTGGTTTTTACGTATTTTCTCCAAGATGGCAAGATTTTCTTTTTCTATTCCATCATCTTCAGATTTCTTTCCCTCTGGGGGCTCCTCTTCTTTCATGTCATAGAGGTCCTGGTCTTGGTCCAGATCTATGTCCTGCTGCGACACATTAAAAGCAAGTTAGGAAATCGGCCTCAGTAAACAAGCATTTCAAAAGCAGAATTTGATAAAACAGTCAGAAACCTCTCCCATTTCCTCCTCCTCTTCCTCTTCAGAGGTCACCTCATCTGTTGGCCCATGCTGTTGTAGAGTTAAACACCATAAGTTAACAAATAGTGTCTTTATTATGTGGAGGAAAGCAGGCACAGAGCTCTGGGTTTCTGGGCCTACCTTACGCTCTTGTGTGATTGGGCAAGCGGGTAGAGGCTGGTCCAGCATTTCCACATCAGGATGTTGTGGCAGATTGTAAAGCCGACACAGATCACAAATAAGCCGCTTCAACTGCTGAAGCAGCTGGAGAGTTCAGGAAAAGAACACGATATTAAGAAATGGACAATAACCGGTTTATATAATCAGACATACAGGAAAGGTTAGAGGCAGTTATTATGGTGGGAAGATCATTCTGCTTTCCTGCTTTTTGATATTTATCCAAATTTAAAACACTATCTAAACAGAAGTGGTTCAGATCGGAATAATTAATTTGTTGATAAAAACAACATTTTCGATATTTTCCAAGATGTTATTAACACTAGGACTCCCAAAATTCTGATACTAGAACTCCCACTGGCCGTCAATTTGACGGCTGACATTTTTCCCAATGGAACGCATTAGTAGTGATGATGTCATCGACAAATGGTTCTAGTGTGCGATATAAACTCATTGTGGATATGTAAACCTTAAAACAGGCCTATATATATATATTCTTTAAAGGCTGTGTTGTAAGCTATTAGTATTTGTGTTCTAAATTTGTATTCAAAATAAATCAATAAAATAAATAAGAGTGTTTTAATACACAGGTTCAAAGTTTGAAATTACAATTTTATTTACAGAAACTGATTGAGTCCCCCTGAACATTTCCCTCACACCACCTTTTCACATTTATGACAAACATAATATGAGTGTTTTCTTTGCCTCGCTGAAGCTAATCTTCAGCTGCGGAGGGGTTGGTAACTTGCGGAGCACATGTGTTTGGCATGCAACGTTTTACCAGTTCAAGGATAAAATCTCTGCGTGAGACGGTGACGTTCAAACAGCTTCTGAACTAAACAAACGCGTTTAAAGCTGCTGTGTCCAGGAGATCGTAAAATACAGCCAGAGGTCGGCAGAGGTCAGGGATTAGCGGACCGCGGTCCGGATCTGGACCCAACCTTATTTAAAACATTTATAAATTATTACATGTTATCAGACGACAGTGTCTAACTTCTCTAGCGCTGCTTCTCCTGTTAATACAGTAAAGCTCTCCGTAACGTCCGGCTCCAGGCTGCACGTGATCCAAATGAGCCAATGAGCTGTCAGTCTGGGTTGCTGCTGCTGCTACTTTTAGACCCAGCAGGCAAACCTGTGGCAAGCCGGGCGATGGGAAAGAAGGAGAAGACCATGAGAAAAAGAGAGCAGAGAAAGTGTAGACTGCTGGAAGAACTGCGGTGAACTGGTGAAAGAAAAGTGAAATGGCGTGCTCAAAGATGACCCTGCACATTTAGAGGATGTTTGGCTCAACCTGCTGCTGTGAAGCAGGATTCTCCACCATGAACAGAATCAACAATAAATCTGGATCCAGGCTCAAAATGAGCTCCTTGATATGTGCTTGAGAATGGCTTAGTCTGCGGTTAAACCCAGGTTTAAAGTAGGGCTGCAACAACGAATCGATAAAATCGAAAAAATCGACTTTTAAAAGTGTTGGCAACGAATTTTATCATCGATTAGTTGTGTCGCGCGATTAATGTGTCATCCGCCGCCGCCGTCATCACATCCACTTGACTGAAACGGGGGAAGAAGAAAAAATACGGCAGAGCGAGTCAGCGCTGCAGGTGCAGTGTTGCCAACTCAGCGACTTTTCAGACCCCTCCAGCGACTATTTTTCAAAAAAGCGACTAGCGACAAATCTGGCGACTTTTTACGGTGTCACTGGCGGCTTTTGGAGACTCTTACGTGAAAGCATGTATCGTTCCTACTCTGCCGTGGGGCGCCTCCCCCATCCCAACCCCGTTCTCCCGCAGGAGTCCCTCTCAGCGCTGCAGTCAGAGCCACAGGATGTTTACCCTCAGCGTCCAGACTGCAAATGAAGCGCGCATGCGGCGGGATTGACGGCGCAAATTGATCACAATAATTAAAATAGCCTGCGCTTTGTAAAGTGAAAAAGTCGTAACATGCAATTTTTGTAAACCACCATGTTTGTTTGGTTTTAAAGTGGAGAAACGTAACGTTAGTTTCTCAGGTAGCTCATCTGATGCTTTCCTTACCGTGTTAGTAGGTTACAGACAGTGATAAGGTTGGCTACTTATTTTACTTTTAAGTTAATTTGAATTAGCTTAAGCAGAATTTATATTTACTTTATAAATAAATTAACTTGTAAATTATGAGGGCAAGGCTTTTAAAGTTTAAATCTTCTGGCAAAGATAAAGTAAAGAAGATCCTGCAATTTATGGAAGTAAAGCAGAATAAAATCCAGCAAGATCAGTAATATGTCAATTAATTATCTGCCACATTCCCATGTAAATATCTGTCTTTGGAGGATGTGTTTTTTAGCACCCCTAGTTCTCTCATTTTTATTCCAAATACAATTTATAATTTGAATCACAGGGCTATTTTTATCTCTATGGTTCAGTATTTTCTCAAGTAGCAACTTTAACTGCTATACTTTCCTGTCTTAAAAGGCAGAACTCTTCTAGTCTAAAAAAACCTCATTTGTTGAAATGGGGGGGCCTATTGTTTGAACCCCTTAGAGGCTTTTAAAAACAAAAATGTCTTTTTTTGCGCTTTATGAAACAAAGTAGCCTATATTTTGTGGATGTACAGCTACATTTCTCATGTAAGTTTGCGTAGTTTTAACACAAACATTTATTTTTCATATTGCACCAGTACAGTTAATGAGGAACCTGTACTTTTGTGCTTGTTTGTTCTGTCTAAAATGTTTATTTTGGAATAAAGAGTATAAAATATAAAAAATATTTTTTGTCCGATTCATCGATTAATCGAAAAAATAATCGGCCGATTAATCAATTTTTAAAATAATCGTTAGTTGCAGCCCTAGTTTAAAGCCTTGCAGGGCAGCCTAAAGCCCACTGCCAACATTAAGACAGAAAAAAGAAAGAAAAGAACAAATGATCAGTTCAGGTGTTTGAAAATATGGGAATCAGGAAATTGTCTATATACCAAACTGAACGATTGTTGTTCTCTACTTCCAAAAACATTTTAGATTTTAAAATTGAAACATTTTCTTTTTTTTTTATTTATTTAAAAACATTCACTGTAAATCATGGATGCATAAACACCTCATTTTATTCCAGTGTTAAATTCTGTTTAAAGTGAAAGATTATAATAAAAGATGTCTCCGGACCTTCACTGGTTGATGATTTTATTTATTTGGACTCCGCTGATTTTTTTTTATTGGTCACCCCTGTTTTACAGAATACTTTATAACCATCTGATCAGACTGATATGTCTGCGTTTTGCCGGGGGTGGGGGATAATCATGTCAGAATCTGAGCTGCTTCCCACCCAGTGCTCCTCATCGCTCTCCCTCTCCACCCGAATCGCTATCATCAATATTGTGAAGCATTTATAAAGCCTGTTTCGCTGTCAGATTTTTTTCTGAAAGCCATTTTTCCGTATCATTCAAAGAGCTAACGCTGATACAGCTGTCAAGATCAGATCGAGATAAAATAACCATATTTATCATTTTACATTTTTATTTTAATAAAAAACTAGGTGAAAATGAAGGAAATACAGAAAAAGAAAAAGTCAGTGAGTATGAGCAGCATGGGATTAATGTAAATAAAGTTATTTCCCTTTAAAATCTCAGAGCCGTCAAAATGACAGCCTTGGGAGTTCTAGTGTTAAGCTATGAGCTTAGTGGTTCAAAGCAGGTGGCAAATATGTAATGAAAATAAAATAAAAATAGAGATTTTCTCCTCTGAGGAGGATCCTTGGTTAATCGACGTACCAAGGTGCTGCCTTTTCTGACATCCTCCAAGCGCTCCAAAACTTCAGCCAGGCTGGGATCATCGGAGTCAACAAACCATATCGGGGGTGTTGAGGGGTAGGACTCCTGTAAGAGAGGAGATAGGAGACGAGTTCAGTTGCTGCTGGTCATTTTCTCCACAGCACACCATTTCAGTTTTGGTCATTTGGTGGAAACTTTTTCCTGATATGAAAAGGAGGAATCTGCCAATATCTACTTCTAACCCACACAGGGAATAATTTACAACAGTTTTGAAATACTTTGAAACCAAATTCTTATCAGCTACTCACTGCACTATAGGTAAATACTTAAAACAACATCCACGAGCAGGTGGTATATAATTTTTTTTGATTGATTGATCAGGTTATCAATCTTCCCCATTTCCTAAAAACCTCCTGACACAAATTAGAACCACAATTACGGTAAACAGGGCATATGATTAGGGCTGCAACTAGTGATGGGATCATGAAGCCAAACTGATGCTGCATTGATATCGTCTCACAGAATACTGACACCTGCTGGACCTTTAGAGACACTACAGGCGGGCTTATTTGACAGACTAAACTAAATTTATTTACTGACCTGACAAAGACACAATTAAAGTTATTGTAGGTTATATTGTATTATTTCATGTCTAAGTTTAAATTTTAAAAATCCTTGATATTTTAGATGCAGCAAAAAAATAATGTAAACATATAATGTGAAAATTTAGGGGAACATGCGAATGAGGATACTTGTTGACTAGGATTTAAATCATATTTTTAAACCAAAGTACAGTAAAAACAGTAAGTAAACTAAGAGTCGATTTGAAATGAACTTTAATTCAGATAAGTTAGGTGATAACTGAGCGAAACAGGATGACACAACGAGAAAATTAAAATAAAAACGCAACGGCTGAAACGTTTATGTTCCTTTTAGGCTGCTTCAAAATTCTTGATAATTTTAATGATAATACACAGAAAATGAGACACTTCTTTAAGCAGATGCATCATGTTGACAGAAACACAGTTTAATGAGTCAGTCAGTTAGAAACAACTCCTGTATCGGTCACATGACACGCTCACCGATACAGTGTTTTGCTCTATGGGATCCACACATCGGCATTGCTGGACCCATCACTAGCTGCACCTAACAATTATTTTGCTTATTGATTAATCTGTCTATTACTTTTTGAAATAATTGATAAATAACTGGATAGCAAATGGTGCCTTAAAGCAGATTTTATACAGAGCTTAAAACCAGTTAAAGCTTAAACTATGCCACCGTGTCTGCTTCTGTCTCCTTGAACCCCAGTGGGCCTCAGCAGATGGCCGCTCACACTGAGCCTGGTTCTGCTGTAGGTTTCTTCCTGTTCAAAGGGAGTTTTTCCTCTCCACTGTCGCTACAAGCATGCTTAGTGTGAGGGATTGCTGAAGAGTCAATGAGTCGATGCAATCAGCTGGTTTTCCTTAGATAGAAAACTTTGAATCAATCTGACTGGATGATCTGGTGAACTGGAAAGTGACCTGAGATGACATGATGTGAATTGGAGCTATAGAAATAAACTGAATTGAATTACAGGTTTATTACTGCGGAACGTTGATAACCAGAAAATTTGCGTTTTTAGTAATAAACCTGTAATTCAATTCTGCTGAGGCCCAAAGAAGGAGATCACCTGCTTGTATTAAAGTATACATATGAAGGAGTAAGATGCCGTGTTTGGTTATTTTACAAACCTCTGAGACAAAATGCAGATACACAATAGTTTCAGTGAGGCTTTTTTTGTGCTAAAGATGACTGAATATTGTGTTCGTTTTGGGTTTCAGGGCACATAGAGATTTCAAGCCACCAAAATTCTGGGTTGAAGTAAAAATGTCACATTTACATCAACCTAGTGAATGTTTACATCATGGCTGTGAGTAATTTTAAATCCAATATCTCAGCACACAGCCGCCCACTGAAAAAAATGATTCGTCCTCGTCACGCTGCAGAGAAATAACACCTTTGAGCATGAATAACTAGCTCTGACATTTCAATTAGATTTGTAGTTTCAGCAATCCTCTGTTTATTCTGACAAGACAGCACTAACTTGTATATGCTTATATCTGACCACGGATCTACAGTTTTCTAAAGTCAGAGACAGTCTCTAATCTGAAATTTCCCGTTTTTATTCTGACACACTGTTTTAAAGCTCATTTACTTTTAAATAAAGCACCAGAAGGATGTCAAACACGTATATAGCTTTAGTGCAGAGCTGGAAATCTCCATCCGTGAAAGACTGCTGGGTGCATAAAGGAGCGCTATTGCAGATCCTTCCTACCAACCTCTGTAATGACTTATTAATCTTTGCTAATCTGATAAGTGTTTCCGATCACAGTATCTTTATTATCTTATTATTTTTCTCATGCTTAGCCTACTGTCTCTAATCTGCTATTTAAGTGTTTTTGGTAAATCTATGTCATTATCTGGACAGATTTGAACCATTTTTAGTATTTCTAAAATTCTGTTTATTTATAGTTTTTCCAGCCTTCTGTAAACCAGCTGCTGATTATTAGTTTTCTATTTTTAACTCAGACATTTCTCATTTATACGTTAGCATGCCATCCATTAACAGCAGCAAGGTTTTTTTGTTGTTGAGATTTTTCCCCCTCTTATGCTATACAATTTATTTTTAAAGATGGTGGCCATGTTTTAATATATGCTTAAGTTTTATGTATAGCTCTAAGTTTTTTCCCCCCCAGTGTTCTTATTTTGCTACTGTAACACTTAAAGCTTCCCAGAGTTAGACATTAAGAGGAATTTCTGTTCTGTTTGATTCTATCCTGACTTAATTGGACAAAATAAGGGGAAATCTTTGTCACTGAATTCTGCAAACTTTTATCAATCATCTTGGAGAATATTAGAAAGGTTTTATAAATTATTATTCAAGCAGAAAACAATATTCAATAACAACATGCATGAGAATAACTGTTCAATTTATCATTAACCAATAGGTTATATAAACGTTAAACAGGGCCAGATAGAAGCGGAGTGTTTCTATCAGCTTGCTTTTATCAGATATTTTAGATGCATGCCAATATACTCCGATATTCTTTTTATTCCTTTTTTGTGGCTGATTCACAAATGATTTCCAATAATAATATCTGATCAGGACATCTTTAAGATAATAGTGCTCTTTAAACTTTATTTTTACTTCTGAAAGAATAAAATAATAAAGGTCATACTTAATATGAGAGGAACAGATCCTTCCTACAAGGTCTCTTAAATGCTCGAGTTATAGAGATATTTACCTCTTCTGCTTTTCTGTAAAGCATAAAAAAGGAAACATATATGATGTAGTTTAGAGTTGAATATCAAAAATACTCCACTATCATTGCAGCCATATTTAATTTTGCCTTGATGACATACAATTTACTTTCAGTCACCCCATCAGAACCTTAAAAACCAATCTATTGACACAGGAAAATGCCTACAGTCCTCACAATTACCCACACATTGGTGTTACTTCAGAGTGCTTTGTTTGAGGTGCTGATGATGATCAACGGAAAAGGAAAAAATGAGACCGAAGAGTGACTGAGATGGTGGAGGTAGGCTAGCTGGCTGAAGAAATAGGTCACAACATGCCTCCTCTAATGAAGACATGTTTCAGTTAAAATGACAGAGGGGGCGTTTAAATATAAACTGAGTTAATCATTTAGGAGTCTGTTTCCACAGTTTTGGTGACAATTCTCTGTAATAAAACAATAATTACAGCCTTTCTAATGAACTGAATGCAGTAAGTCAGCCTCTCGATTGCAAATACACACACATTTATCAATCTAGAATATTTTGTTAAGCTTTAGGAATAATGACAGCCTCTTCAAAGCCACACAAACAACTTTTACAGAAAATATTAATTACATTTCGGTTATAATATCCTTCCTTACATGGGGGAGTGTTGGCCTAGTGGTTAGAGCAACAGGCTTTACTCTGAGAAGGTTGCAAATATCTGGTCTGATCCACACAGACTCCCACTCTGGGTCCCTGAGCAAGACCCTTAAACCTACACTGCTCCGCAGGCGCTACACGATGGCAGCCCACTGCTCCCCAAGGGGAGGGGCTAAACACAGAGTTAATTTCTCCAACGTCAGATTAATAGTTCTATATTTCTATATTTATTTTTACAATATATTTAAGGAAGAAGAAACATCTTAGCAAAGATTTCACTGGTTGTGTGGAAACAAAAGAAGTCAATAGTTAGACCTAAATGTACGAAGGATTATTAGCACCAGGCTAGAGATTTGTTTTTTCTATTTCAATAATAAAGTTGTAAAATTACTACAAAGTTGTAAAATTAAGAGAATAAAGTCGTAACAAGAATAGTCATAAAATTATGAGAAGAAAGTCTGAACATCAAGAGAATAAAGTAATAAAATTATGATATTAAAGTCATAATATTATGAGAATAAAGTCGTAACATTGCGAGAATAAAGTCGTAAAATTACATGAATAAAGTTCTAACATTATGAGGATAAAGTAATAAAATTATGATATTAAAGTCATAATATTATGAGAATAAAGTCGTAACATTGCGAGAATAAAGTCGTAAAATTACATGAATAAAGTCGTAACATTATGAGAATAAATTAATAAAATTGAGAATAAAGTTGTAACATTTCGTGAATAAAGTTCTAACATTATGAGGATAAAGTAATAAAATTATGAGAATAAAGTCTTAACATTGCGAGAATAAAGTCGTAAAATTAAGAGAATAAAATTGTATTTTATAACAACTCCTCCAAGAATCACTTTCTTCCCTAAAATGAGGAATGTGGAGCATCGTGTGAAGTTATACTTTAGCATCGGTTTGACAAATCAGGAAATCTTTTAGCAGCAGCATCAAACTGGGCAGGATGTCAAAGTGGACTCTGGTTGCTGATTGGTGGAGCTGGTCGGCTGTCATCTGCTGGGCGGAGCTCCAAGCTTTCTTTCTGAAACAGGTTGTGGTTTGATGACTTCATTCTCCTAATATTACAACTTTATTCTCTTAATGTTACCACTTTATTCACAAAATAAAAAAATCTCTAGCCTGGCCCTAATACTACGCCATACTAAATGAGACATCAGTCATATTGATTGTTAAAAATAATGTGTTTACAGCTCTGCCAGATGATCTCTAAATAAGGCCTGAAAACTGAAACCTGGAAATGTGCTTGATTACACAGCAGATTTTACCACTTCTGATCAGCTCTAAAGGTTTGAAGGAGCAAAAATGTCAAATAAAAGAAAACTTGAACATTTTAACATTAAGGAAATGCCATGACAGCCTTGTATTGAGCAAACATAAGGTTTACACAATACATTGCAAATCTATGATCGCAATATCATCCGGTGCAGAATCATCACTGCAATAAAATCAGGTAGTGAAAAAAAAAACAAAAAAAAACTGGTGGGCAGAACTAAGACATAAATGTTACCCAGTGATTAATGCTTGGTTTGCGAATAACAACCAACCTGTTTTAAGGTAAACCTAAAAGCATTAGAAAACATTTTTAAGACACATAAAGAGGTTTGATAGTCACCAAGAAGCCTTTTCTAATATTAAGCAATCTATTTTATTTAAATAGACAGGGATTAGTGTTTTTTTAATAGTCTGTATTATGTTTTTTTTCTTATTTCATAATTCTGTATTTATTTTGCATGGGCATATTGATATGTCTTTGATAATTTTGTTTTTATTTCTATGTGGTTCATTCATTAACATAAAAAACAAGCACATTTCAGACCTCCATGTGAAAGAATTTTAATGCTTATATTCTATAAGCAAATAGTGTTATGACTCCACTTGTTCTTATTAATAAATTCATGCACTATATATAATTTTAGTTCTTTAAACATCCAATTGTTTAACAACTCAATTTCATCTGCTACCATGTATTAAGCAATCTGTTTCTTTTAGATGGACGGAAAGGGTTTGAAACCCATAGTATGTATTATGTTTTTTCTAATTTCACAATTCTTTATTTATTTTACATGAGTATGTTGATATGTCTTTGATCATTTTATGTTTTGTTTTTTTCTATGTGGTTTCAGACCTCTATGTGAAAGAGTTTTAGTGCATATACGGTGTTATGCCTCCACTTGTTTTTATTAATAAATTCGTGCAATATATAGTTTAATAATTCAATTTTATCTGCTACCATGACAACTGTAATAAACAATATCCTAGCTATGCTTTTGTACAAACAATTACCTCTGGGAGCTCCCAGCAAACCTGGTCTAACACAAGCTAAAGCTCCACCTTTTCCTTGCGAAAGTCTCCACCATTGTGCTGTGCTTCAGTGAATAAAAGGAGCTGCATCCACCTTTGATCGGAAAACAAGTCAGTTTGTGTCCCCAAAAAAAACGAGCAAAAGCTGAAGTGCTTGTTTGTGCAGAGAGAGAAGGATGTGGTCAGGATGTCAAAGAGCTTCATCTGTGCTACCTGAAGCCCACAAAAAAAAACAACAACTGTCGTCGTGACAACGGGTACATGAAGTCCCTGCATCTGTCATCTTTGCTTCTAGGATTTAAGGAGCATTTACTGTGAAAGTCACTCAATAAAACAATAACCTAGGAAAATAATTAAGTGATTTAATAATTGGTGACGCGCTGTGAGTCTCTTCCTTTGTGTCAAATAAGCACATAAAAAACCTGTCCCGTATCATCGTGAGATTGCACGCCAAATCGTTTCCGATTAAGTTAAAGTGTCGGATTAACATACCCGCTTTATTACGTGCCAAAAAGTTGGCTAATAATGGGATCAGTCTATTTGCTGGAAAGGTAGAAAACAACATTCCATTAAACCGCCTGTGTAGCCTACGTTACATCTGGTTACAACGACATTAAAATGTTCTCTAAAATCATTTATAGTTTGATTTATTAATCCCACAAAATCCATTTCATTAAAAAAAGTTGTAAAACTGTGAGCAGTGTTTTTAAGTGGTAACGCAGTTATTTTGGCTAACAGTGGAGCTAACTACTTTCAGTTATGCTAGCAGAAGCTACCGCAGCGCAGGTTTTAGTAGCACTATCTGTATTTAAAAAAAGTGAATTAAACACTTTTACGGAATTATCTGTTTAAATCACAGTGTATATTTTAATTAAACACCTTTCTGGTTAGAAAACAAACAATATCGAGCAGTTAGTGCTTAGCTGCGCTTGTAAACACGGGCTGGTTGGATGGTTTCAGATGTTAGTCGCTAGCTTGTAACGCAGAGCTGGCCTCAAACTCACCGTGATGTTGCAGTGGATGATCAGCAGCTTTTCTCTCGTTACATTGAACTGGCAGCTTAGCTCATCGGGTTTCCAGTCTATGATTCGGAACCGCTCGTGATTTGGGTCAAAAATCGACTCCAGAAACTTCAACTCGGCCTTTAGCCCCGAAACCGACATCTTCTGTTCATCTCAAAGCAGCAGGCCGCTGGCGGAGGGGAAGTCAGGGCGGAATGAGAGCGCGCGGGCGGCGGACGCAGCTCCGCGGATCTCGCATGTTAGCGTGAGAACAACAACAAAGAGCCGCCAGGAGACCAAAACCATCAATAAGATGCGCATTTTTACAGCATAACAAGTCAGACCTTAAGCTTTGCTCATCATTTTTGGTCATTAAAAAAAAAGTCTGTTAAAAATATATAATTTTACGGAAGAGGATTAGGGCAAATGAAAAAAAAAAAAGAAGTTAACTGATTTTTACATTTTACTTCAGTATAGTATGAGAAAAAAGTCAGAATTCTGACTTTAATCTCAGAAATCTGACGTTATTCTCTGAATTCTGAATTTAATCTAATAATTCCGACTTTTTTCTCATAATTCTGACTTTAATTTCCGAATTCTGACTTCAATCTCAGAATTCTGACTTCTTTTCCCCCCCCCCAGAATTCTGACTTTAATCTCAGAATTCTGCCCTTTCTTAGAATTCTGACTTTTTTCTAAATTCTGACTTTAATCTAAGAAATCTGACTTTTTTTTCTCAGAATTTTGACTTTAATCTCAGAAATCTGACTTCTTTTTTTTTCCAGAATTCTGATTTTAATCTCAGAATTCTGACTTTAATCTCAGAATTCTGACTTTAATTTTAGAATTCTAACTTTTTTCTCAGAATTCTGACTTTAATTTCAGAATTCTGATTTAATTCTGACAGCTAACAAACATGTTAGCATCAAGCCATAGCCATAGCCATAGCCATGTCTGTTTTAGAGACTAAACTAGATCTCTTGTTTTAATTACCTTCTGCTCTTCCATTAATGAAATAGCATCACCAGGGATCCCTCAGGGACATAAAAAGTCGCCTAATTCCATCATTTCCACCAATGTGTTCCTGTTCCTCCCAAAGAGCTCACATCTTTGTCAGTTAAACTAAATGCTGCCACATCTCTTCCTTCATGGTGCCCATCTACATTAAGATCCAGAATTCTGAGATTAAAGTCAGAATTCTGAGAAAAATGTCAGAATTTTGACTTTCTTCCCATATTAAACTGAAATAATATTTAAAAATCAGTTAACTTTTTTCATTTTTTCAGTGGCCCTAATCCTCTTCCGTATTATTTGAAAATTTTAATGAATGTAGACAAATGAATAAATAAAATCCTAAAAATGGGTAAAAAACTGTGGGGTGTCATTACGTCACCGGTGAATAAATTACAGAATTTAATCTTATTTGTCCACAATTACTTTTTGTATTAAATCAGCTGAAAAGGTAGATGTATCCTTTAATCAGGTACATTTATGTAATTACAGCAAAACTACCATCTTCAATTAAACTAAATGTTCATGTTTGAAGATTATTAGAAAAAAAAGGAAATTAATTAATCAATTAAACTGTAGATGTCAGTACAGATTAGCCTACATAACGAAAATATGAACAAGACTGTAAATCCATCCATCCATCCATCCATCCATCCATCCATCCATCCATCCATCCATCCATCCATCCATCCATCCATCCATCCATCCATCCATCCATCCATCCATCCATCCATCCATCCATCCATCCATCCATCTTATTGAACCACTTTACCTTGTTAATTGTGCTTTACCATTTTTTTCTGATTGCTTAAGCTAATTTTTTGTTACTAATGGCTGTTTTTGAAAAACTCTACACGCAAAAGAGAAAACCTTTCACCAAACCAGCAAAACATTGTAGTTACCTTTAAAAAAGCTAATAAACCTAGCTTAGCTCTTCAAACCTTCGTAATAATTCTATTTTAGTATCAAACAGTTAACACAGCCCATCTTATTACAGTTTTTTTTTTCTGAATCTTAAACTCTTATCCATGCTCACTGAGAAAATGGGGTCTCTGGGTCCGGCCCCAAGACTTCATCCACATCACATGCAGTGTCCTCTTGGCCAAAGCACCATGGAATACGGTATCCTGGCCTGACATGATGATGGGTCAATAATCCCCCATGCATCCTTCGTTGCTGTGAAAGTGCTGTGTGTTGATGGGGGTGACGGTCATAGACCTTCCAGCGCCACGCAGAGAAAAAGTCTTCAATTGGATTCCAGAATGGAGAGTACGGAGTTTGAGTGGGTGATGTAATGAATGTAATTAAGTAAATGGCATTTACTTAATTACATTTAGTTACTTTAACACATTTTTTCTTGTTAGAATGGTAGGACATAAAACAATTGTGTTAAAGTAATTACAAATTATTAAATAAATGCCAAAAACAGACACATTTTTTTGAGTGTGTGCTCCACACAGACGGCTCACCTGTGGCTTATTTTTAATTCTTGGGCTTATTGGAAAGTTAACTAATTATCTAAAATAGTTTTAACATGTGATAGTGAGCCAGAGAATAGTGTAAATAATAACCATATATGTGTAGTTTTACTAGGAGTGTGTTGATCATTTGGAAAGTTGCTGTAAAGCAATGAGTTGAATTTACGGTTCTGTAAACCTACAGTTTTGAAGTGTGTATTACACAAAAAGCAACACTGGGTGCAAATCAGTGTTTGTGATTTTTAATTTTGCAAATTTAATAAGTGGTTTATATAAATAGTATCAGTAGGTTTTAGAAATTGTGCTATAAAAATCACAGTTTGGGTTTAAGCATTCAGAAAAAAACTAATAATTCAGTGCTGACCTTTAGATCAGTTCACCTCAGGAAGCTGTTCTGTGTTGCCCTGATGTGACACTAGGTGGCGCCGTAGATCAGTGTCTTCCCCCTGTTAACAGCTATTGTTGCTTATGAGTGGGAGGTTTGACGACATGCAACACAAACAGCCACTAAATGGACAGACAAGGAGGAGCACACAACAGAGAACAGGGTGTTTTCCAATAAGCTTTGGATTATAAAACTAAGGAACAACATTCAGGTAAGAATATTTAAAGAAACTAAGCAAATGCATGAAAAATATTATTGTTTTAGAATTATTATTTATGTTATTGTGTTATGTAAGAGTCAAAGTCCAGTCCAGCATAAAAACATGTTTGTAGAAATCAATTTTTAATATTTGCATTTAAATGGGACTATTCTTGTTTACTGCATTTGATGTGTATTTGCTTTTAAATTATTTATCATTCTTTTAGTATGTTTGTGAAAAAGTTTCCACTACTTAGAAAAGAACAAGGATACAGTAAGGCTGCACTGAGAAAAAAAATTGAACTCTAGATAAGTCATTTCTTTCTTCAAATATGTGCATTTTTTCTTGAAATGAGACATTTTGCCAATGGAACAAGACAACTTACGCTTAAAATAAGAAAACACTGTTGCATTGTCTTATTTAAGTTGGATATTATCTAAATATCTTATTTTAAGAGTAAAAATACTCATTCCATTGGCAAAATATCTAATTAACCTGCTCAAATTAAGGGTAAATACACTTAAGTCAGGAAATTTTAACTTGTTTAGATTGTTTTTCCAGTGTTAACAGAAATATGTTAGTAGAATTTAAACACTAAATTAGCGGTCTCAAGGACAATAATTGTTTTAAGGACAGTTTATAAAACATGAAACGAAAAATTCACGTTAAATGAAGCCCAAGCCAGGATATCCTAAAGCAAACTAGACGAACTGATAAAAAAAAGGGAACAATCTAAGGAAACCCAGCTGACCTTTAAACTTCCTTTAACCAGTTCTTTCCTGAAAAGTGATTATTGGACATAAAAAAAACACTTTAAATAACACTTTCTGATGCATATGTATACTAAATAACTCTAAAACATGAGGACAGGTTTAACAGAATTCAACTATTATGGCTTTAGTTACATACTGTAGACTTATAAGGATTGCATCATCAGAAGGAGTGTCATGAATAACAGTTAAAATAATCTTTTTTTCTAGATCTGTAGAGTTACACCCTCTAAAATTATAACAATACACATCATTAGGTCATATACATGCATCAAGTTATTGACTTGGCAAAAGTCATTCCTCCTAGGCGAGCCTGTTTCTGCAGCAGGCAGCTGCTTGCTTTCTGTTATTAACTAGAATGCAAGTAGTAACAAGCATGTTTAACATGTCAAAGAGAGGAAAACTGCTTTAACAGGAAGAAACCTGCCTTAGAAGCAGGTTCATTGTAAAAGTCTATTTGCGGCTATGGCAAGCCATTTTAACATAAATTCGGTTTTAACACCTTTAAATATCTCAAATTGTTTTATGACTAGATGTTTTAGCGATTTAAGATATCTCTAATTACATTCTAACTAGTCGAAATGACATCAGATTTACCATTAACTTGTATGGAGACGTCAATTTAAGATATATAGAATGAATTACTGACTATCTGAAATACACATTTCAGATATCTACGATTAAATTACGACTATTCATAAAGTTATTTCAAGATATCTCGATTTTAGTTTTGACTAGTCATAATTCTAATTAAGGATATCTCAAATACCACCATAATTCATGATATCTTAAATGTATTTTAGGATAGGAGATATTATGGCAAGCCATTTTAACATAAATTCGGTTTTAACACCTTTAAATTCAAGTTATCTCAAATTGTTTTATGACTAGACGTTTTAGCGATTTAAAATATCTCTAATTATATTTTGACTAGTCAAAATATAATAGATATCTCTAATTACATTCTGACTAGTCGAAATGACGTCAGATTTACCATTAACTTGTATGGAGACGTCAATTTAAGATATCTAGAAGGAATTTCTGACTATCTGAAATACATATTTAAATTACTACATTTAAATTACGACTAGTCATAAAGTAATTTCAAGATACTGTATCTCTATTTTAGGAGGCTACATATTTTTCATTTTTTTCTTTGTTTAATCACCCATAAATCAGAAATGGTGAAATTAAAATAGTGGTTCCACCTGATAAATATTCCTCAAAGCCTTTCTGTTATACAAATACAAACTATTTATAGTTTGGGAGTTGTACTTTCTTTAATTCACATATTTAATTTCGGGCGGAATTTGCTCTTCAGACCCTCTGGGCGTAAAACATTAAAAGCATCATTTTTTTAAGGTCAAAGCAAAGATGTCAAGAAAGTGAAAAAGGTTTTAAAGAGGTTTTTCTACAAACTACATATGATACATGCAGAAGCTCAAAATCACAGATATTTCCTTTTTTATTTTTCCTACCAAGGTGAATCAAGGTAATAATTAATAATAATAAAAAAGGGGGGATGAGGTTAATTTTTCTCAGGATGTCAATTCACTGACTGGATTTTCTGTATTTTGCAGGTATCCTACGATCAACATGAAGATGCCTGATTCCTGTTTTTTCATCTTTACTCTGCTTTTAGGGCAACTGTCGATCACATTAGGGGGGAAGATTCTGGTGTTCCCGTTGGATGGAAGCCACTGGGTAAACATGAAAGTAATCATAGAGCAACTTCACGCCAGGGGCCACGAGATCACTGTGCTCCGGCCCTCTGATAGCTGGTACATTAAAGAAAAGTCCCCCCTCTACTCCTCAGTGACTCTTTCCTGCCGCGGTGGGTTTGAAGAGAACTTTGAGACATTTTTAATTCGACAGCTGGAGGTCCGCCTTCAGATAAAACCCGGAAATTTTTGGTCCAACATTTGGAAACGCATGGAAATGCAACAGGTGATTCTGGATCAGTTCTCCCAGTTTCATAAGAAAGTGGGTGATTTAATCACCTACATGTTTGAAAATGAAGACCTGATGCAGTCTTTGAATGCTTCCAAGTATGACATGGTCCTGACAGACCCTGGCATCGGTGGCGGTGCCTTACTGGCACGCAGACTCAAACTTCCTCTGGTTTTTAACGTCAGATGGACCATTCAGGGTGAAGCACACCTCCTCATTGCTCCTTCACCTCTTTCATACATCCCCTTTACTGCCACCGAGCTCACGGATAGAATGACTTTCCCTCAGAGATTAAAGAACGTCCTGAGTTACTTTATGGGCATGTTCACACTATCATACATCTCAGAACCTACTTACAAACCCATTGTCCGGCGCTTCTTTGGCCCTGATGTGGATTACTCAACCGTCTTCCTTGATGCTGACATCTGGCTAATGAGAAATGATTTTGTGTTTGAATTCCCTCGTCCAACTGTGCCAAATATCGTCTACATAGGGGGGTTTCAGTGCAAGCCCTCAAAATCTCTCCCGACTGATCTGGAGGAGTTTGTCCAAAGCTCAGGAGATCATGGGATTATCGTAATGACTTTAGGAACGCTAGTGGGCGACCTGCCCCAGGACATCTCAGAAGAGATAGCTGCAGCTTTTGCTCAGCTGCCTCAGAAGGTTATTTGGAGATATACGGGACAAAGACCAAACAGCCTGGGCAATAACACGCTTCTCGTCCAGTGGCTGCCACAAAATGACCTCTTAGGTCATCCTAGAACCCGAGTATTCATCACCCATGGAGGCACCAATGGTGTTCAGGAGGCAATTTACCATGGCGTTCCAGTAGTCGGGCTTCCCCTGTTCTTCGATCAACCTGATAATCTATCCAGGGTTAAGGCAAAGGGAGCGGCCGTGATTGTAGATATTGCCACAGTTGACAGGAATATCTTCAAAGAAGCTCTGATGACAGTTATCTATAACTCCACCTATAGGGAGAACATGCAGACCCTCTCAAAGCTGCACAGAGATCAGCCGATGAAACCTCTGGACCAGGCTGTGTTTTGGATAGAGTATGTCATAAGACACAAAGGAGCCCGGCATCTGAAGACACAGGGCCACAAAATGTCCTGGTTTGTTTACAGCTCTGTTGATGTTTTTGCTGCGTTGTCAGCAGCTGTTCTGCTTGTAATTTGCATTTGGGTTTCAGTTGTTAGGTTGATGTGGAGAAAGATTTTTACCCAAACAAAGATAAAGCATCAATGATATAAAAATAAAAACAATGATTGAGTGACATTTTGACCCGTTTGTGATTTTCTTTGTAAAAAATATCATAGGTGGAAAATTAAAGCAGATCTGAAAAACTCACACAGAGAGAAAAGACAATTATAAGAAATGTATTGATACAGTTACTTTAGTCTTTGGCGCTCAGACCTCGGCAGGAAACATAGCGCTGAATTTTGATTGATATGCATGAACAGCACTGGAAACAATATTATGCAACCGTTTTTGGCATTTACTTAATCATATTTAGTTACTTTAACACAATTGTTTCATGTTAGCGGGGTAGGACATAAAACAATTGTGTAAAAGTGACTAAATATGTTAAAGTAAATGCCAAAAGCATTTGCATTTTTTTTCCAGTGAGCAATAAAGAAGTGGAGATAGATGGAGTTGGTCAGTCTGTAGACTGCTGGTTAGATAGACGGTCTGCTGAGCTTTATGGGGAGATCCAGTGAACTGCGTGAGCTGATACTAGAGCTGGGACCTGGAAGATGGAAGTCCAGTTGGATAACACAGGTTGAGAGAACCTGTCTATGATAAGCAAGCATGAAGCGACAGTGGAGAGGAAAAACTCTCCGTTGGGAAGAAACCTCTGGCAGAACCAGGCTCAACATGGCGGTCTCCTGCCGGACCGGAGATGAGACGCGGAATGCAGTAAGAGCCCAGGAGGAATGACGCTCTGATGAAGCTTTAGAAAGGATGGTGGAGGAGGGGCTGGAGGGGGGTTGAAACCGGGTCATCTGAATGAAGTCACAGCGCACCCACCGCCTGCGCACAGGAGCAGACAAGTTGTGGATCGGAGGCCTTTTAAGATGAACTTCTAATTTAACACTAATTCCGAGTTGGACCAATTTCGCTTTTAAAGTGTTACCTCAACACTGCAAAATTTACTGTATATATTGTCCCAAAATTTAGAAAATTTCTATAAAAAAAAAAAAATCCTTTCTTAAAATCTGGTGGGTTTTTTCGTCAACTTCTGCAGGCCAGTTAGTTCTACGTCACCCTGAACACCTAAATTTGGCCAATCATATATCAACGGTTATCTGTCAATCAAATTTTTTTGGTCATAGCATCTTGATTCATATGTCGCAGCTAATATACGCAACGGTTGAAATCAGAATCCTTTCCTTTCCCATTGAGTTGCGTCCCAGTGTTCACGGGGATGGACGTCTGTGTCTTCTGCAGGCGTAGAGCTAACAGAACTGGCAGCGTTGCGAGGCAAGGGCTCAAACATGGACGGCTGGAAGCCTTCTACACCAAACCAAGCTTCTGCCGCCCTGGCGTCCTCTTCCACAACATCTTCGTCCCCGCTTTCCTCCTCTAAATAAAAAATGGATGACGAAGGAGACTCATCCACAACCTCCGACACTAAACTCTCCTCCTCTTGCATGTTTCCGCTGTCCATAGCGTTCCTTGACAGCGTCATTTCTAAGTCACCAATGTAGTGCTAGTTGGTCCCAATGGAATTTCCCATTGGGAACCTACTAGCACTAAGTTGCTAACTGGTTAGCAGGATGCTGCAGACAAACCGGCCACAACTAAACTTGCTTGCAAACCTTACGCCACAACAATCCCGCCCCCTTGATAAACGACCAATCGCATTCACTTTATTCACTCGTGTAAAGTCGTGCACCGCTTGGGAGAATTCGGAAATGCAACGATTGGAACAGCCGCTTCCCTACGACTTTAAAGGAGAAGGAACAGGAGGTAGTAGAGAAAATCTAAGGTATTCAGAAGAAGCACAAGTCTATGTAGGCCAGGTCTGATGAAAGATACAGCGCCTGTAACGATCTTGGTTCTGTGGATTTTTCTCTAAGTTTTCAGTTTCAAGTTCATCCAGGTTTTTCCTTGTTTTCTAGCTTTATTGGTGTGTTCTAGATTCATTTAAGTTTCTTAGGTTTTTTTTGTCTGTCCTCTGTTGCCCCCTTGTGTTTTCTTTTCCCTTGGCTTCCTCATCAGCTCTAGTCACACCTGCTCCTTATCAGCTCATCAGCCCTACCTTTATTCAGTCAGCCATAAATACACTCCCTCTGCAGTCCCTCTGTGCTGGTTCCTCGTCTTACTTTTTCTTACCCTGGCTCCTTGATGGTTTTCCCCTGATGTCTCTGTGGGTCTGGTTTGGGTTTGATTTTTATGTTGGATTTTTGGATACCTGTTTTTGCTGCCTTATCTTTCATTAAATCTTTTAAGAACTCACCCCTGCCTGTCAGCCTCTGCATTTGGGTCCTCACAAAAACCTAGAATGTCATAATCCTGGCACTGATGGTTGGGTTTTTTCCTCTGCTCCTGCTCACCTGCCTAATTGGCCCTGTGGCTGATTACTGCCAATCTGATTCACCTGGTCCCTGCAGCTATTTAGGCTGTTTGCTTTCCTGCCATCAGTGTCAGATTATTCAACCTGTCTCTGTGTGAGTTACTCAGCTATCAAGTAAGTGTTTTGTTCAGTGGAAGTTTTTTGCCCATATGTTTTTGGTTTTTGCCTTTCTCCCTGTCTGCCCTGCTTAGTTTGGTTTTTGGCCTGACTGCCTGGATTTAGCCTGTAATCGAACTTGGACTGTTTTTCTGACCTCGGCTTGGATTTTCCCTGGATACCTCTTCGGCTCTCGGATCTCAAGGTTTCTGACACTGCTCTGGACTGGATATTGGCTTCGCATAATCCCTCACGGACACTTCAGCTCGCTTGCCAGTGGCTGCCGCCGGCTCCCCCACGCACTGTTCTTTGAAGCGGTAACGACCGCAAGCGGTGGACTGTCTCCCCCTGGGTTACTCCTCTCTGAGCTTCGAACTGAACTCTCAACCAGCAGAGAATCAGAGAACCCGCTCTGAGGAGTTTCCATCATCCTCTTTCAGTTATTTTTGAAATAAACCTGTGTTGAAACATTCTGTTGTCTGCTGAATATTGGGTCCAACTTTCAGTTCCCGTTACATAGAAACCAAATCTTGACAGAAAATGAATCTAGAACACACCAATAAAGCTAGAAAACAAGAAAAAACCTGGATGAACTTGAAACTGAAAACTTAGAGAAAAACCAACAGAACCAAGATCATTACAGCGCCTTAATGTGGAATAGTTTGCAGCATCTGGCATAAACTTCCACTTTTGCTTTTAGTTAAGTTAGACTTAAACAACTTTAATTGTCATTTTGTATGCACAGAAAACTTTTTTTTTTTTTTTTTAAGATGAGTTATTTTTGGTTTGGTATTATCAGTATGACACAGATTATATGACTTGATTTAGAGTTTTCTTTATTTTTTCAACAGTTACGTAATCTGACGGCAGTGGGGAAAAAGCTGTTAGAAGCGTTATGGCTTACCTCACCTTTCATGTTGAAGTGACTCGTTCACGCTGAGCATGTGAAGTAAAATGTTCCGTCCTTACATTACTCTTTTGTAAAACTGAGGAAAATTTATACTCTTTTTATAATTTCAAAAGCTTCTACTTAAGACTCAACCAGTTAAACTAAATCACCTCAATCACAATGCTTTGAAAGTAATTAAAGTACAAAATATTTAATCTCTAATATGAGGTGAAAGCAACAATGAAACTTATTCATTTTCATTTCTTTATTGTAATTAAAATATAACAAACTTTACAAAACATTGAGGATGATTTTAACTATACATCATTTTAATGTTTATACAGTTTTTGGTATTTAAATGCTTCTTTACAACATGTTTCAGTTCTTTAGTTACTAATATGTCTGATGAATAAAGAATGATTATGTATTTTGGGGGGAATAAGATATCTATAGAGATATATCTATATCTCTCTCTCTCCATATATACAAAATACAGTTGATCCTAAAATGGCTAGATATCAAATATAATGCTTGTGAAAATAGCAAATTTTTATTTATAGCATTTTTTATGTATAACATCTTTAGAATATAACTAAAATAAGACTTTATAACCAAACATGCCCTAACATCCATTATTTTAATGCATAAACCAATATGTACAATTATTTTTCTCATTTTGTCACAGATCGTTGGTTCAGTCTAGAGAACAGCATTGACCTGCCTATACTCTTCATTTCTTGAAGTTTCATTTTCTTCTTCAGCACATTTCAAGGCGATGAGATAACATATGAGATAAAAAACAACCAACCCCAACGCTGTCAAGAGTCCAATGTACTAAAGAAAAAAGGAGCAGCGGAAAGAAGGAATCTCATTAGAACATCAAAAGCTATTCATCATTTGAATTATTGTTTATTGCAAGTCTTTACAGATTGTGAATGTTTCTTACTTGCGATTGGGAATACCATAACTGGGTTTTGTTCAGTAACACCTGAGATGAGTTGGCTGGTTTACACCATTTCTGAGGTGCAGCATTATCAATCATTTCATACTTTCCTGACCAATTTGTCTTGAGACATGCCCAGTAACGACCATCAATGAACACTATAACTGCCCATATTGTAGCCGAAACGACGACGCTACTCAGGGCCTCAAAGAAGGATTTGCATTGAAGATCACATGGAAATTTAGCGACACACATTAGCAAGAAGACTATTAATGAGGGCACAATAAAGAAGGGTGACGTATACACCCAGTTGTATTTAGGATCGCAAGGACATGCAAACTCTAGTTCTATTAATTTCTCCAATATTAACTGAATTAATCCAAAACCCACAGTAGCTGCCAGTGGGCTGGTTTTTAGGATGTTTTTCACCTCAGACAGCCATTTTTTCTTGAAATCCATGATCAAATCTATAATTGAGGAAACACAGAAAGAAAAAAGTGAAATCAAAAAGGCAATGATATCTTTGTATTTAGATGTTTAAGTCACGGCTGTCTTCTTTTCATCAGAATCGCAGAAATTGCAAAAAATTGTTACAGTGAGTTTCAGGTAATGACTTAGAGAAAAAACGCCTAAAATTTTAACATCCTACTGCCTTCAGAGGAACCATATTCTAAAACATGTCTTAAAAAGTGATACGATTGCTTTTATTGCACTGCTGCAGTGTCCATAAAATAATGACATTAAGACTTAGATAATTTTTATTGTGTTAATTTCTTTTTGTGTAAACAAAAAGAAACTTTGTTTTCAGACAAAACATAAAGTCCAGCATAAAGAGCTGAAGTTTTACTTTAAGCTGGTTAAATTGAAAATAAAAACACTAACTGAAAATGCAGTAGATACTAGGGTCAAAAATAAGGTCAAAATGGGTTTGTGGTTTCCATTGTAGGAAGCTGCCTGCACACTTGTTCACTATCCTCCACCTCTGCTTACTTTGCTCTGCAGCAACAGAACCTGAGCAAAGCAGCAGAGTCGGACAGGGATGCCCCTTAAACATTTGTTTCGATCTTCTACATGTTAAACATTTTAAAGAAATTAAATATGTGCCTACTTTCCCAACTGTCTTTCCTTTCATCTTCCTTTTCTGCCATCCTAATGTTTTATATTTAAATTCAAAGTATCTTTATAATATATCATGAAACTAAAATACTGAGAGGCAAATGGTTCTTACCTGAATTGGTTGAACAAAAATAGAAATGAGCAAATGTGTCGCTAAGGATCTCTCTTCCACTTTGGCTCTATCTTAAGATAGATTAACTTCAAAACAGGAGAAACAGTAGGCGGAGTTATCTAACTAACCAATCCAAAGCCCTTCACATTCGCAAATTGAGAGAGTTTTCAAACTATTGTAGAATAAAGGATAAATAAGCAGTTACATGTGATTTCTGCATAGATTGGCTTAAAACACACAACAAGCTACAATCTTAAGAACGAAAACTTCCCTGTACAGCAGAAGATACTTCTTGTGCCTGCAACCTGCAAACTTCCTGTTTATATTAAACTGACATCCTTCCCCGAGGAGACAATGTAAGCTTTCACAATGGATATTTCAAGAACTCAATTTTTCTGACTTAAGTGACTCACTAAAAAAACAACTAAAAACTGCATTAAATTAGGTAAAATATAGAAGACATGGGAGAACCTAGAGGACCCTATATTGGAGAGCATAGATTTACAACATTTTCCTGTATTTAACTGTGAGGTCTGTATGTGGGACAGAAACATAAACAGAAAGGATGTGGACTTTATACCACAAATGTGATACAGAAACTTAATTAAAAAAAAGAAGTCCAAATCTGTAAAACATGAAACAGAGCAATCACCAAATATGAGAGTGTCTCCAACACGAAGACAAAAACAGGAGGAAATGATAACAGGAAGCCAAAAGAGTTTGGGTGTCAAACTAAAACAGAAACTACGGGATCCAATAACAAACAGTAATAAAAGACTGCAATAAAAAAACCATAAATGCATCAGAAAAACATCCAAAGTCCACCATATACAGTTTTTATTCATCTCAGAAAGAACTTTATACACTGATATTCTCAGGGTAGGATCTTAAGAAGTTTGCTTGGGTGCAAATGTTTTTCTAGACTCATAGTAGATATTCAAAGAAGCTGCAAAATGACCCTAAATGCATCAGAAAAACAATTAAAAACATAATATTCAACATAAAACTGATTCTATTTGTAAGTACTTAAAAACATCTCAGAAAGATCTTTGTACGGTAATTCTCTCAGGGTGTGATCTTCACACCCTGCTTGTTATGAAACTTTTGCAAATGTGTGTCTGTAGACTCAGAGCACTCAAGCTGCAAAGGGATTTGTGTTTGCAGTTCAGCAGACAGCGTATGCAAACCTTTTTCCATCATAAACAGCTTCCGATCGAATGCTTTTGAATTAGCTTTGCCTCTCGTGTTTTGTAGGTGAAAATGTAAAAGCAAAAAATTATAAGCAATACTAAGCTTTTGGTTTGGCTGAATCTTCAACCATTCTGTGAACCATATGGTGAATTATGCCTGGTGTTAAAGTTGCCCAGGCTATGTGTGATCGCTTGGTGTTTTTAACTAAAGGTTATTGCACTGGACAACACCAGGGTAGTTGATGTGTCGTTTCAAAACTAAAACCTTTCAATATATGACTTTTATAGCTATTTTGTCTGGGTTGCTGTCAACGTTGCTACAAAACTGTTTTTTTTTTAGGTTTGTGCTCCCATTGTCAGGGTTTAGAAGAGGAAGGACCAAGCATTCGTGGTAGCCAGACAATCAGTTAATTCAAAGGGGCTTATATTTAAAAACCGCAGATCTGCAGTAACAGCTAGGACAGGAACCTCTGCAGGAGGGAAACACAGGTTAGTGACCACATTAATCTGGCAAAGGATGATTATGAACATTTGAGTTATTAACCTGGTCATAAAGTTCAGTCCGTGCCCAGTAGAAGAGGTGGATGGCTGCCAACACCACGCAACCGAACGCTGCCTAGAGAGTTCCAGATGCTGAAGCTTTGAAGACTGCAGAACTGGAGGGGGATCAGATCCAAACAGATGAAGGAAAGCAGGAAAATCAAGAGGGCGAAGCCAAAGCTGGTGTCGAGAGTATGCTCAGTGTTGGGATCTGGAGTCTGTGTCCATCTTCTCCACCAGAGGGCGCACTAGATCTCCTGGGGACATGAGCTGACTGCAACACCTGTCTTCAATCTGCTCATCAGGAGGCTCCTACTTAAGGAGGCGGAGACTGACACTCCAGTGCCAGAGTGTTTGCCAGTAATGGTACCAGCAAAACCTGAGCCAGTCTACCAGATCTTGCCTGATTCTTGTGAACCTGTCTGACCCTGTTTTCTCCCTGTCTCTCAGAACCTGACTTGCCTGGAAACCTGAAACACTGAAGAGAGAGACCTCAACCTGGAATCTGCCTGCCTGCCCTCAGTTTGCCTCTGCCAAGCTCTCAGTTCTCCGCCTGCCTGCACTCAGTTCAATCTCTGCTAGCCCTCAGCCATCTGCCTGCCTACTAGCCTCTAGACCCTCAAGTTTCCCCCCCGTGCTGATCAGTTCCACTTCTAAGCAGGTATCCCCCCCATGATCTGATAAACAGCAGTTTACCTGGAACTCCTCTAACCTCTCTGTCCTCCTCAGTGGAGATCCAGTTTGACCACCCAAGTTCCTGCTCACATTTCATTTACACCTTTTGTCAATAAACCTTTTGAACTTTCTCCTAACCTCCGTGTGTTTCTGCATATGGGTTAGACATCTAATCCCATCATGACACTCAGGAGTCTGGGCCAGAAGATCAGAGATCTGAAGAGGTACACTGTAAAAATGACAACTCAAAATTGTTCACCTTACTAAGATTTTTGCATTCACTGACAATAAAATTGCCAGTTGGAACTTGAACTGTCTTTTGTGAGCCAGTTGAACTCACTTTCATAAGTTTCTGATGAAAAGTTCATCTTATTCTATAAATTAAGTTGAGTTTACTTAGAAGTTGTAGTTGACACCCAGTCCGAGCGAGGTCAACTTATCTGCACATGCTCATTTCAAATTTGTCATGGCAACCGGCTGCTACAGGGTTTCCATGGATTTTCCCAGGAGCTCCCTTCTATATTTTGGTTCAGCCATTTGGTCACTCTGATGGCAGTAACTTTCCCTGAGGACTCGTCCAAGAGAAAACTAAGACTGGTTTCCCGTCATCTCTGGCAATATTGCATTATTTGTAAGGTTTTAACAGGAGTTGGAAAGTAAAAGAATATATGCTGAAACCTGATTTGCTTTAAGCATAAGATTACTTGTTTACATTGTGGAATTGTAAACCTGTTTTTGCCAAAGTGGTTCAAATAAACATGCAAAATTTAACAGGTTTACTGTCAGTGCTGCTCAGTGGCGCAGTGGGTAGCACTGCTGCCCTGCAGCAAGAAGGTTCTGGGTTCGATTCCTGGCCCGGGGTCTTTCTGCATGGAGTTTGCATGTTCTCCCTGAGCATGTGTGGGTTCGCTCTGGGTACTCCAGCTCCACGTCCAAAAACATGACTGTTAGGTTGATTTGCTTCTCTAAATTGTCCTTAGGTGTGAGTGTTTGCATGAATGGTTGTTAGTCCTGTGTGTCTGGTGACCTGTCCAGGGTGTACCCTGCCCCAAGTGGGGCAAGCGTGTTTACTGTCAGTGGATGATTTAATGGTGGGGATTCAAACTCAAAAATGTAAGTTATTACAGGGGATGGTAATCTGAATTTCAAATAACTTTTTACAGATAATCTGAACTTAAAATAATAAGTTTTTACAGACTTGAAAGTTCCAGTAACTTGAATTAAAAAAACTTAGTTGGCAGAACTTGAAAAACTTAGCTGACACAACTTAATAAGTGTAGTTCTACAAAACTTAAAAAATTAAGTTGATGCCTTCAACTCAAAAATTCTGTGCAGCCGGTTGCCTTGAAATTTTGAGTTGAACTAACTTTTTCGTTTTTACAGTGTACTGAAGGAAAATCCAGGTTGGTGTCAGGAAAGAGATCCAGGTTCAGTTCACAGGCAGAATCCAGCGGGAGTCTGAAGACAGGTCAGGCAAACAGATCAGAATTGGAAACAGCAGGCTCAGAGGTCCAAAGGCAGAACGGGTCTGGATCAGGCAATCAAAACACAATCAGGGACGCTAGAGAACTCTCACCTAAGACTTGAGTAATCTGGCACTAATGAGTGGGAGCAGGCAGGTTAAAGAGATGAATGATGAGAAACTGGACGAAGCTGGATAGATGAATCGAATGAAAAATCAAGCAGGTTGGCTTGTCTGCAGTGAAAAGAAGGACTGGGATATTTACGTTTGCTGTCGCCTTTTTGGAAACACAGGAAGGAGCAATCAGCTAAGTGAGCTTAGTGCTTGGAAAAATCTTTCATTCCTTTAGAGACAGCATGAAAAGTCAGCTGAGTGCAAAACATAGAGAGGAAAACAAGAAGAAAAGGGACGAGAAGAGAGGGACAAAACCTAGAACAGATAATGGATGTCTATTCTATTAACTATAAACCTAATGACTGATCTCAATCTTCTAGGGAAGATCAGTATGTTTACCAATCAGATGTTCTCCATCAGATAACACATAAGTGTACAGTTAAAATGACTACGATTTTAGGGAGGTTTCATTTGTCACAAGATGCATGCTAGGTTTGGGGTTGCAAAGTCAACAATACACTGCAAAAAACTGTCCATTGTCACTATACCTAGTTTGACTGTAAAGTGCCTTAAACTTGTTCTGAATTTATAATATATCAATAAAATGAAAAGAAAAGAAATGAACTAATTTAGACAGAGTTCCTTGTTTTTGACCAGTAATTAATTGCTAAGGCTTCATCAAGTCCTATTTCAATTAAAAATACTTTATTTATCCCAAGGGGAAATTTAAATGTTGCAGTAACTCATAGGTTATTATTTAAACAGGTGTTTTAGGTGTTAGCTGTAGGCAGGAAGGATCATCTGTAGAGGTCTGTCCTGCACCGATCTGGAGAAGCCTCTGACTGAAGACACTCTGTTGTTATTTAAAGGTGCTCTGAAGAGGATGCTATGCTCACTGTTGTCCATGATTTCCTTCACTTTATGAAAAACTATTTGTATAACCTGAAAAGAAATGTAAAACTTGCTTCGATCTAAAACAGAGGAAAATGCATTTGCCTTAAAAATGTGCACGAAATCCAAGCAGATTTCAAGTTACAAGTTTTTTCTAAACATTTTTATGCTTCTGCATATATGTTTCAGTAACAAGACAAGAAATTTAAACAAGGGTTTAATACAAATATTTTTTTTGACATCAAACATACTGTGAAACGTTGAAAAATCGGAAAATACAAGAAA